CTAGGTGGAAATACTTTTTCCGAGATTCAAAAAAAACCAAGCGAGATACAGGTACTATATATCTTCCGCATCAGAAAGAATACTCTCGTCAGAAAAAGCACACATTCGATCCGAAGATGGTATCGGTCTGTCGGGAAAAAAACGGCGGATCGGCGCGCCTCGGAATCGCCCATCATCGCTTTGCGACTGCAAGCCGCGGCTGGGGATTTGGTGCGCGACAGCGGCGAGGCGAGACATTTTGCTGCGACGATCCGCCGTTATTTTTCCGACAGACTGATATCACATCTAGACTTTTACAAAAAAAATGTTTTTTTTATTTTAAAAAATATAAGCTTATTGGACTGTTTGGCCTGTTTGGATGTATAATATTTTCCGAAAAAAAAATCTGAATTTTTGTACTTCAACAGCTTTCCTTGTCATTCTGGGCTAAAGTTCAAATCATACACTTTTTTTAGGGGTTTTGTCAGCCGATTGCGTCAGATCGAGTATCGCTAGAAAGCTCACACTACTAGTTTTAATCATCATAGCTTATCAAATACCTATCGAACGAATTCTGATACTATAAACTAAAGTTATCAGTATTTTTTGGCTGACAAAGGGAACCTGTTATTGGCTTTTGTAATCAACTTGAATATATAGGTACTATCTAAATGTTAATGCACATCTTACAATTGCATCAAACATAAACTTTTCTAGAGAAAAACCTAGATTTACCTCCAAATTTGAATGTAAAATAAACGTCAATTTAACTCTAAATGTACCCATCAACCCCTCACCTCTAAACTACACCCGAAACTCTGCCTAACAAACCAAATTTCAATCAAAAAATCCCACTGTAAAACAAACATGGGTTTCAAAGAAGTCGCAATGTACACATTGAGTCGGTTTATAAACATTCAAACAAGATGAAAAAACGATTTAAATAACCAGAGGGCATAAAGGAGCCGCTGTTAATCCCATTCCTCAACCGGGATTGCATCAGAAAGCGCTGAGAACTCAGCAATTTGTTTTGCATAATCCCCGGGCTTGAACCCGCTCAACGGATTGCAAAGCGAAAAATCTTGTGTATTTTGTGATATAAATTAAATATTTTTATTCGAAAAAGGGGCTTGATGGGTTTTCAAGTGCAATCAAAGTACATATGCAATATAGAATTTACATATTTGGGTTGAAAAATTGGGTTTGGACTGGCTTATTGAAGTCAAAATATTTGCAAAAAAAATAATTTTTTTCTGCGCAAGATTGGCAGAAACTACTAGCCCAAAAAGCAATTTTTTCTCTTTCTCGGTCCCCGCATTTTGCGCAATATTTCGTCTGCAATGACGAAAGTTTCTGCCGTGCTTAAAAGGCATAGCAAAAAAGTTCTGCAACCTTTAATGAAAATTTGAGTAATTCAATTTCCAAAAATCGATAACAAATCCTATAGTGCTCCAATTTGGACAGTTCTTGGATGTAACAATACTAGGCCTCCTCGACTTTAATTTAGGGGTAGTTTCTGATCAACAGCTTGTCAAAAAAACTTTAAAAGTGATATGTCAAATGGGAGTACCTCTTAGGACATTTTTTTGTCATAAGTCCCCCGCTTGATGGGCTGAACCACTATTATGATGTTACTCAGTAGGGTACCTTTTTCGTTTTTACCGGGACGTGCCGGCCCATCCGGAAAGGGTTAAAAATAAAAAAAATATCCTAACAAGGGAAGAGCGGTAAGAGAGAAAAACACTTTTTGGCCATAACTTCGCTAGTCTCGAGCGGAAAAAATTGTTTTTTTTGTCGAAACATTACCCTCTATGCTAGAAATAGACATGAAACTTTTCGTGCCGAAATTCGGCAAAAATGTCAAATTTCTGCCGACTTTCGATATAAAAATCCGGGCAGTTTTTGCAAAGCGCGAGATACGATTCTCGCATATATTTTGGAAAAAAATATTCTAAATTTGTGCCAGGTTTCATCAAAATCTGAGCGTCGCACTAGGGGCACTTCCCCTGTCAAAAAATATGATATGATCTGCAGCCATTTAATCGCCTTTTATCAACTTTCCAGCGGCCGGAAATCTGCATGATTCACTTAACGATCTTTCATATTTAAAAAGTCCACAGAGATTTAAACAGATAACTGGCCACTTGTGGTCAAAAATTAGGTCGATAAAATCAGCAAAGATATCAAAAATAGGACGACATGGCCGGAAAAAGTTGACATTTTAAAGATTTGCAACCATAAAAGGCTGCAAAATTTAAAGCCGCTTTTACAAAAAGTAAGGTCTTTAATCTGCAGTGAACATAAAGCCTGGCAGCAGGGCAGTATTTCAAACGAAAATTTTTTAAAAAATGAAAAAACACGAGGAAGATCATGCTTTTTCTATGAATTGCGGCCTTCGAAAGCAGGTTGTATAAGCCACTGAATCGGAAAAACGAGTGTTCTATTTGGCTGCATTCAACCGAAGACTTGAACTTGACAGGGTTTTTGAGGATTTGACAGGATTACACAACGTTTACAATGACATTCAGGGAGGAAAGCTGTTAAAAAAATAAGCAAAAATTTAAGTCTCCTTTTGTATAATAGAGAGGAAAAAGCTTGGAATAAAAACAATTGAACTCGCTTCTGGATGCCAAATCAAGGAGTTATAAATGAGATTTTGAACTGAACAGACTGTGGGATTAACCTTGAGGGCATTGCAAAGGTTTTCGCTTGATCCGAAAACAAAAACTGACGATGAGCCTGGGAACTAATCGCGCTTGAAAAAAGTTTGAAAATTCAAAACAATAAATAGTAATACTCGTTGATGTACCTAAAATCAAAAATTTTGCTTTTCACAAGTGCTCCGAGATGATGCTCAACGAGCTTTGAGGACGAGAAAGCACGCAATATGCGGAGAGCGTTGAAACATTAAATTGCTTTTCGTTTGGCCATAACTCTGCCAATTCTACGAGCAGATGATTTATTTTGTGGAAAAATCCTTCTCTTTCCATTAGAAATCATACTGAAAGTTGTCGTGCCAAAAACTTGCATAAAGGTCTTGGACTTTCACCAAATTAAAATCTTGCTATTTCTACATATACGATCCACAATTCCTAAATATGAAACGCAAAAAAATAAATCTAAAGTTACTATGAATTTCATCCAATGTTTAGCCCAAAAGTCTTGGTATTTCTGCAAAACGCGATCAATAATCCTCTAACATGAGACACAAAAAATTGATCTCAATTTACTACAAATTTCACAAGAATCTTAACGTCTCTAATCCCCTGTTTTACCACCCCGGTCATCGTCATTTCTGCAAAATTTGTTTCCCCTCCCCCATTATCGTCCAAAGAATTACTTTTCAAAGTCCCTTGTCGTGCCCGCATCCTAATCGGAGAACAATCCACTTGGGGCCGGACTTGGACCCTGAACGGAACCGGACTTCAAAAAACACATAAGACTTGTCCGAATAAATAGCTCCATTTGCGGAATTTACTTGGACTTCAAAGGCCTTTAGTCCAATTTTGTTTTGAAAGGAAGGAAAAGTTACAATTTGAATGTTTGTCAAGGAGAAGATGACTAACCGGATTTTAAGAATGAAAAGACGGTTTTATCGGGGTGATAGAAAATCTGGATTCTAAACATTTTTAGTATGAAAAATTGTCATCCTTTTTTGCATATGACAAGCAAAATTTCATTAAAAAATCGATTTTTTAAAGATCAAAACCAAGGCCAAAAATATGGCGTCTAACTGATTGCTAGCAACATGAATTTAGCGTAGTCTCTCCAAAAAATTGCCCAAAATCGCCCCTACAGCCCCTTGAACCTTGAAATCTTTTGTTACAGCGGCACTTATCTTGAAGAAGCTCCACTACGAAGACTTCTTCAAGAAAAAAATGCGTAATGCCTAAAAAATTAGAAAAATTTGCGTGCACGTTCCGAGAATGAAATTACATTTTTATCGGAGCAGCTAAATGACTTTAACTCTGCTCATCTCGCTAAAACAAAAAAAGAGAAAGTCTATCTTTTCGCGTCTAAATCTTATCGTGGCCCTGTGGCTTTAAAATTGGAGAAAACTGGCTTAATGCTTTATAATTACCACTTCGCCGACAAGCAATGAGACCAGAATAGAAAATTATATTAAAGATACAAAAATCACGATCATTGTGAACTTGGGCTCTTTTAAGAGTCTTAAAAGACATCTTTATATAATACATCGACTACTCCCTCTAATCACGCTAATCCTCAACTTTCAACTGGCAGCAAAATTCCTTGCAGCACGCCACACCCATGACGCCAAAATCGACCGCAAACTCCGCAAATTGTCCGTTCAAATCAAACTTTATTAAATTTCCGAGCTGATAACAACGTAAACTTTGAGGCAGCCTAAGCGGAAGGATTTCGGAAGACAATGAAAAGATAAGAAAAGCAGATAGAGGAAGGAAAAGATAGTATTCCTGAAAACTGCGTCATTGTGTTGTATTTGGAATGCCCATCTACATAATTGACAAACGAAGATGATGTGTGATCCTGATAGGAATTTTTTTTGGATTGAATGACTTCCTGGTCAAGGTGGCTGATGTTTGTAATGTTCTCTGCAGCTAAAACCCGTAATTTTGTAGATGTGCATTCCAGATTTTTTCTAATGTTGTAGTTTAATTACGTTCTACAAAAACTTCACAAGCTAAAAAGTGTTGAAGTGTATAAATGATACCACCTATACCAGGCGTACACCCCAGCAAGCGGCGGGAAAGAGAACTGGATGAAATTTTAACACCGCAAGTTTCACCTTTTTTGGAGCAAAATTGCGCTCGTACCACGGCTAACAATCTGATATTATACTAGGCACAAATGATGACAAAAGATAATTTGAGACGTCAGGGTGAACTGATGGGACGTATACCAATGGAAATAGCACTGAGTCAAATTTTAAGTTGCTTACCGACTTTTTTTAATAAAAAAATTAAAAGAAATATTTTCAGCTTTCCGTTCCTCCCCACTTGGGTCAATTTTCACTTTACAAAGCGGTCGATAGTCGGATGGCTTTGGATCCTCGTTCGTTGGGCTTTCTGTTCGATCTGATTTTGAGCTTTTTCAAGCAGGAATTTGACTGTTCGGACTGCGGGGCTTTTATGACCACTTTCGGTGAGTGTTGGGCTCAAATTCGAGCCACGTTCTCAGCGTGTGATGCACTCTTCGAGACGTTGTTTATGCCATTTTTGAGGAGAATCTGAGACTTGCATTTGAGCATTTTCACCGAAAAGTTGAGCCTTGTTTCAGTTGTGAACAACATAACGTTGGAATACACTGATTACGCCTTTCCCAAACTTGAGGAAGCCTTTTTGAAGGTGCCAATCCGAGAAGATTCGTTTGAAATTCCGATGTGTGAGAAAGTGACGGATATGAACGCGATTAACTTTACAATGGTCCCGTATCACGACAACAACGCCCAACAAATGATTTTACAATTCAAGAGGTGAGCATTGTAAGAGTTGGTCTCAAACTTTTTCAACCCTTTTTAATGACGTATGTAAATTTTAGTGGCAATGATAGACTGTGCCAATTGAAGTCCCCTTGGCCCATTGTGGACGACAATCTGCCAAGGGCAATTAGTGTGTAAGTTGGCATGTATGTAAAAGTAAAATATTAGGTTTGAAGGGCTTCGAGTGCAATGTTTGAATTTTACAGGGTGGGGCATCTTTGTGGTCCGTCTTTAATTGGCTATAACTTTTTTAGTTTCTAGCCGAATCTTAAAATTCTTTTTTTTCCTTGAATCCTCAACCCCAAATATGTTATCCAAATATGTTATACAGAGGTAAGTCATTAGAGCTATCGGATTTATTCTTGGAGTTCATCTTTTCGGTCGTTTTCGGGTGTTTTTTTTTGGTCTTTTCGGTGTGTTCGAAAATGGAGTACGGTGTGGAAGAAGAAACTTGGGCTGAGGTTTGGTATGGCAAGTACGGTTTGCATATTTGATATCACAAAATGGGGACGTCTGCGGATTCAGGGAAAAAAGAATTTTAAGATTTGGCCAAAAACTAAAAAGGTTATAGCCAATTCAAATCGGGCCACAAAGATGCCCCACCCTGTAAACTTTTCGCGGCGGGACCCCATGTAATAAAGGTTGCCAAAGATGAGTTTGAGAAACAATCGTAATCCTTATCCATCGTTTTTGAACCTAACAGGCATCATTCCGTCGCAAACTAAAACAACGAAGGTTTTCGTGGTGAGACTCAAAGTTGAAAAAATGGTGCCAAAATTATCGCTTAATAAACTACATGTACAGCTAGAAACGAATATCGCTAGGACTCGTTTAAAGCAATTTCCTATAGCCCTCTTTGATTAGTCAGAGGTTTTCGTGACGGGACCCGAAGTTGGATAACAGTTTTTATGTATCAAGATCATTGTGGTACTCGTTTCAGCGACGCTCACCTGGTCCACGTAGACGGTGTCCTCTCGATTAAACAATCAGCGAAAGTAAGTCGTGTAATTACAGTATGAACAAGTTTTTTTTTTAATTTTGTAGATACATGTATTTATTTCTATTATGACTCTTGCAGGATACAACTTTTGACCATCTTGTTATGGCGTCCAGTCTACCATCTGAAAACTTTTGTAAGTAAAGATGACGCACTTTCAAAGGTTTGCAGCTCCAGAATCAGAACTATACCTGCCGTTTCGAGATGCCATTATGATGGATCATTGCAGTTTGGAGATGATTTCGCCTCGTGACGGTGTTTTATCGGCAAGTTATCCTATAATTACAATATTTCGCACATTTATGCATTTTTTGGCACTTACAACAGAAAGCCAAAGTTAAAAAATTTTTGGCGGGAACTGAAATTTCAAATATTTTGGCTAATTTTTTCTCGCTGCAAGTTTTTTGGGATTTTCGCTCATTTTTTACAGTCTGCCGGCCCTATGCAACAGAATGCCAAGATTTCAACTTTTTGGCGGGAAAATAAAGATTTGAAAATTTCATATTTTCGTGCGCTTTAGGGAGGCTGGAAATTGTCTACAATTGTTTTTGGGAGGCTTTTCAATAACTTAACGACTCTTACATTGCCACTTTTACATTTCCTTTATCGTTTTCAGTCAGGCTCGATCTACAGCAGAAAAATCGAATTGTTGAAACGGAAGAAGAAGAAGTTGTGCTTGACCGGAGAGAATGGGACCCGATACTCACAGGTGTATGACATGGCAAGTCTTGAAATTTGATTCAAAAAGTTTTTTGGCCGCCTTTTGCAATCTTTTCTTCAGTACCAAATGAATGCCTTTTTAAACTTTGATTACGCTGACGACATTCAAAGACTTCAAAAGAGATATCCCGATTCCCAAGTCTTGATGGTCGTCCGCTTCAACAAACGCCCCAAAAATCCGAATGGAAGGGCTACGATCGACGAGAGAGAGGAGTATTTCAACACTTGTCATTACTTTTGGCTTGCACAGGAATATGTGGAGGTCTTTTGTGTGATGGCGATTTTGGTCTTGGTGCTGATCGGTGGGTTGATGGCTGCGTTGACGTTGTTTGTGATGACCTTGGACAACATGGTCAAGGAGGTCAGATTGTTGACGGGTGCTGAGAAAGAGTGAGTTTTTTTGAGTGGTCTGTGGTGGGACACAAAGATTTTTATGGATAATTTAGAGCTTTGAAAAATGCAGCTAAAGCTCTTTAAAAGGGCCTGAAAAGCAAGCTTTGGTAAAGGCTGTATGAATTACTAGAAGCCATTTAGAACAATTGAGCGCTTTTCTTGCACTTTGAACGTTTTCGTGGCGGGACCCATATTTTCGAGTGGTTGATTGAGCATTGAGTAAAAGTAAGCTTTGGTAAAGGCTGTGTAAGCTACTAGAAGCCATTTAGAACAATTGAGAGCTTTTCTTGCGCTTTGGACGTTTTCGCGGTGGGACCCAGATTTTCGAGTAGTTCATTGAGAATTGAGTAAAAGTAAGCTTTGGTAGAGGCTGTGTAAGCTACTAGAAGATATTTAGAGCAATTGAACGCTTTTCTTGCACTTTGAAAGTTTTCGTGGCAGGACCCAAAATTTAGATCATCAATATGGTACAACTTCGCGTTGGACGAAAATTGAAAATTTGGCTGACGTGATCAAAGCTTTATTGTTTGCACTGGTTCGAATGTTTTTCTTTCCAGTTCTTTCCCCATTCTCCGATCGCCCAATATCAGCATACAGACTGAAGCGCAGAGCCAGGCGTACACCCCAGCAGGCGGCGGTCAAACCCTGAGGGAGAGAACTTTCTCTAGAGACACTCACGACCCCACCATGATTGAAAGAGAACCTATCGATGATAATGCGACGGCTAACGAAGAAACGGATCTGAAAACTTCGCAATTCCCCGGACGAAGATGACCGAAATTTGATTTGAATAAAAATTCGAATACATGTTTTTAGGGAATCGTCTTGTATATGTACTGATACTATAATAAAATAAGTTGGCGACATTTCTAACCTGCACTTTGCGGAAGCAACTGTGATTTTTAGTTTTAAAATGCGAGAGTTGCTTCCGCAAGTTCGGGTTTTCCATTTGAGAGCCACATTCCCAGATATGTCTCATATAACGTACGCCACTGTAGTTTGAGTTTGTCAAGCCTATCCTTGAAACGAATCGGGTTGCCCACCCACAAGTGGCTTGCATGAGCTAGATACATGGCGTCCATCAGGAAGAGGACAACCTCTTTTTTATTATTTTTTAGACCGTTTGTCGATCTTCCTTCATTTAACAACTGGCCGATTATTTTGCAACAGTAGAGCAGAAGATCTGGAAATAAGAGTAAAAAGTGAGGTGAATAAACGCGAACCTGCTTGATTTTTGCGAAGGTGCGTTATTTCTTCATGATTTCCTATACGCGAGCTTCTGGGGATTCAGGGAAAAATTTTTCAAATTTGGCAAAAAAATAATTATTTTTGTTTTCTTCAGTCTTGAAGAACGGTCAAATCAATGGTTGATGCGTTCAATAAGGTCACTATCAATAACGAAGTTGGACTGTCCAATGAAGAAAAGGACGCATTTCGATGCAAGTTTTAATTTACTTTGCCCATTAGATCAATTCGTGATGATCATTCATAATTTGCGGTTACAGCGGTCAAAGTGCGCGTCCGACAGGCAATCGGTAACTACATTCTGGCAGAAGATTGGGAAAACGCTGAGGACTTCACAAAGTTATCCAATGAAATCATTTCCTTTCTTCTTACATGTGCAAACCAAATGCTGGTGAAGGACGCTCGTTACTGGTCCAACGAAACATTTTCCTATTTCTTTGCCGCCTTTATTGGATATTTATATGGTTCTGACCAGAAGGAAGTTGCAAAGATATTGGCCAAAAAGAAGGATGCATTAAAGAAACTTTCACGCGAGTACGGAAACGGAATCTTTGGAACTCCTCAAGGTATGGTTCTAAGCAAGTGCACTTACGGAGAAGGCCTCGGGAAATATTTCTTTATTAAATAGAGATGGAAATAAATTGAATTCATTGTGTTCATATATAATAGTTGAAACTCTCTGCAATACATACATAAAATGGAAAAAGTTCCTTATTTTGGCCACAACCAAGGTACTCCGCGAACTGCGCCCAAGCTTGGGCACTAAGGTTAGGAAAAAACGCTTCGACCTAGCTGGAACTGAATTACTATAATAGCTTTATAGTTTTAAGGGTACCTACAAAGGCTATGACGACTCATTTAGTTCCATACGGATTCAATAAGTTTAGTTCCGGACATGTTTCATCGTATAAGGTGTAAAATCACAGGCTGCAGCCGTTTTTGAAGGGTAAGGTGGTACGTAAAAAAGAAGGTACCTAGCTGACTAAATCCACTGTCCGGGCATTGACAACGATGAATTGAGCGTGCACGCTAAATTTTGCCTAATTCCGACCAGTTTCCACAAAGTTATAAGTTGTGGCCAAAATAAGGAACTTTTACCCATAAAATCCATCCACTAATTACGTATGATTGGTAAACTATCAGTCTGTCGGAGAAATAATTCGGACCAGTCGTAGGCCGAGGAATTGGTGCACTCGCAAGAATTCAATCCGCGACAAGTCCAAGTTATTTTCCCGACAAACTGATATTCCAGATGTTGTGAGAGTCAATAATAAATGAATCTGAATGATAGGGAGAGGGAACGCACGGCAAACTGAAATAGAACACAAATGTCTTCCGCCCACTTTTGAGTTTCGTCCAAACGAAGTGTCACAACTGACAAAAGCAATAAAATAATTTCGAGAGAAATATTTTTCCATCTAAAAACCACACGAAAAATTCTGTTGTGACATTTCGTATGAATTTGACCGATACTGGGTGTGCAAAGTGCCGAAACGAGGAAGGAGACTCCCTGGGTTGCCGTGGAACGTACTCTTATGACAAATAAATTTTTTGGTTCCTTACGACTCGTCGCTCGCAATCAGAAGCTTCGCTGTACAATAAAATGTTCAGATTTGATTATCAACGTAACAGTTGACCTAATTTAATGACTACACATCAATGTAAGGGTAAGCAATGCTCATCGCAGATCTTTCTCCCTCTAAATGCCATAAGTGGAATTCCTCAAACGTTTTGCCCAAGAATCCATTGCTTGTGGACTTTTTTGAATGTGTCAACCATAAACTTGACTAGGAACTAAAAAAAGCCGTGTGATTAAACGCGCACTTGGACGTTTATTCAATTGCGCGTTATTTCGCAATATTCAGCTTTGCTTACGAACAGAAGCGCAACACTTTTTACAAGAAAAATCTCTGTGATAAATTTCTGTAGACATATCTTACACGGCTACAGACATCAAAGGCCTCATTCTTTATTTGAGTTTCTCCACAGTTGGTTTGCTGAATTCGACGATGGTCTTTACTCATAATAAATTGGGAAATCTTGATTACTGCCCTTCTTGGGCCGCCTTTTACTACAAGGTCATGTGTCTTGTTTTTATGGTTGTATGTTTCTATTGTTCCAAATCTTCAGACCAAGACAATTTTGTTTGTCGTCCGGATCCAAATATAGTAAGTTCCTGTAAATCTTTTACTGATTTTTAGTATCCCGGCTATAAACCATGCCTTCTCGTAGAGATTTTCCAATACAACCAGTCGTATGAGATTGACGCAGATTTTATCAAAAATCTGAACAGAGATGCTTTGCAAAGTCGACGAATTTTTTCCAATGAGCATTTTATCATTGGAATAATGGTTGTGTTTTTAATTTTGCTCCATCTACTGCTTCAAGCACTGAGTGATACTGCCGGTAGGTGGCTTCTGTTTCTAACTCATAGCTTTAGGAGGCTTCAAGCGTGATGTGTTGCAATTACTAATGGCCTCCAAAAACAGTGATGACATATCGTACGCCTTGTCAACGTATTTTTGCTACAACATAAACTCAAACGGAAAAAGTAGGTGTTTAGTCAGAGATAATATTTATTTATTTTTATTATTTTTTTTGTATATACTTTTCTGAATTTTTCAGGAAAATCTCGCATGACCTTTGGCTACGCTTTGCTTCATATCGTACACAGAGTCGTAATTCTCCTAGCTCATATGGCGTGTTTTTGCATTGGAGCGTACAGCTACACGGTGGGGGGATTAGAAAACGGATTTATTGGTTGGGGGTACGAGGAATTGATCAAGTTAATAAATTCCGATGAATCGAGCAGCTTCTACCCGGTGAGTCATACAAATTTTTTTAAGATTGAGCATCATCTTTTGTAATAAAACTTTATTTTTAGGAAGTTTTATGTATAGAAAGGACTACCTCTCAAACATACCAAGAAATAACGATAGCGCTGGACTGCCAGTATCAGTTCTTTACTCATACTATATTATGTGCCTACGTTGTCTACATAGGGTCTGTCTGCGGGATCGTTGTCACCACCTTCTCCATTCTTCGAACCTTTTACACTTTAGACTGCTCTTTTGGAGGACCAAAGGCTTTGTTTGTCGCTCACGTAAGGATTCATTTAAAAAAGTTTATATAAGTTCGAGTTCCTTTACCATAGATTTGGTGGCTTTGATTATATAATAATTAACTGAATTTTAGGATATGTCTGTCCCCTATGAAGCCATGAAAGAAGACATCAACATCTGTCTGGACACAGATCTATTGTTTATCATTCATAACTTACCACATGAAGTTCAGCATGATATTTGTGTTTTTATGACGTCGGAAAAAAAGACTAAAATGGCAATCAACATTTATTGAATAAGAAATCTCGCAATAAATAGCTTTGATTACGAATTGAAACACTTTGAACATGTCTTGACAAAAAAATCTTTAAAGTTCTGTAGAAATGCTTTACAAAAAGATCAGACGTCTCATTGTTTGCTTCTCCAGAGTCGGCTTACTAGACTCAGCGAAGAAGTTCTCAAGGAAATGATGCTCCGATTTTTACTACCAAAGAAAATACCCCAAGTGCGACTCTCAGATTTTCTGTAAATTTTGCACACACGTCGGGCATAAACTAACAAGGGTTCGGCAAAACCTCGACCCCTGGTTTTATCTTGAAACATATACCATTTGAAAGAGCGTAAAAAACTGGTCTAGGATCACCTTGAATTAGCTGCTATTATCCATTTACGTGCTGGCTAGCGAGCATTTTTTAAGATTTTCAAGTTGGATTTTGTAATTCTTTGCTTCTGAGGGTCGAACGGGACCGAATAAACACTTTTCATATAAATATTAGTTACCTATGGGATTGAACGCTTTATCCTACGTCAAAAAATATAAACATTTTTTTGCGTTTGAGACATTCAGGTCGATGTACTCAATGAGCGATTGCGCGATGTTGTAGGTCCTGTAACCCAAGAGAAACTAGGATGTTTCAAACATGTAAGACGTTTTCACACTCAATTTTTATGTACTTTTTATTTGCGGGAATTCCTCCTAAAAAGATGAAAGCCTTTGAAAGTTTCAACCATCCAGGATGTCCCATTGCAAGGTCAAAAACGCCAAAATCAAAAAGATCAAAAAAAGTTGCCGTTTTTGCTTTTAAAACGGAGGCGAGTATACACAAAAGTCTATTTAAAAATTAAAGACAACTTTCTGGCCTTATTCGTTCCATAATAGTTAAAAAAGTTTAAAAAATCAAAAGGGGATTCGAACCTGATCCGCAGGTCCTCCTTGTGAAGCGCCTTACCCCACTAGGCCACCGAAGCACTGCTCCGCTGTGCTTTCGAAATCGATTGCGTTTCTTTTCTCAAAAGAAGGGTGAGACAAGCCTAGAACTAAAAAATGCTCGCTAGCCAGCGTATAAGTGAATAATAGCAGCTAATTCGAGGTGATCCTAGACCAGTTTTTTACGCTCTTTCAAATGGTATATGTTTCAAGAAGAAACCAGGGGACGAGATTTTGCCGAGCCCTTGTAAGTATCAATTCCTGAAAGTTTTAGCTCGCGCTTTGCAAGCGGCGCCGAGATATTGAACGATCTTTGCCGCCGAGAGGGTACGCGGAGAGCGGTCAGAGAGAAAAGCACTTTTTGACCTTAACTTTGCCAGTTTCGCGCGGAAAAAATTGATTTTTTGTGAAAACATTACCCTCTATGGTAGAAATTTTCGTGCCGAAATTCGAAAAGAGCGCTAACTCTTACTTTCTCAAAAAAAATTCCAATTGACAAATCGTATTACGCAATATCAAGACAGGTTGCGCATATTTCTGCCTTATTAGAAGGCAGAAAAGTCTGCGCAGAAAAATTGAAAACCTCAAGACTTCCGCCAATTTCAATCATTCTGAGTTTTACGCTGACCATGTCAACCGTCGATGCTTCTTCTGGCTCTTGCGGTCAAGAACTCCAGTATCTGGAAGAAGAGAAATTCATTTATCAAAGTAAGTTGCATTATGAGAATTATTTCTTTCTGTTCATTCGACATCAAAAATGAAATTTTGTGATCTTTCTAAATGTCGTATTTTGCTTTTACTTTTCAGGTCTTCAACGATCACTTGATCTCCTTATCGGCACCTTGGTCAATTTCAACGACATCGAACTTGCGAAAATATTTCGAGACTACTGGAGAGAAGTGGTTATTCTCTTCCTCAATGGTGGATACTTCTTCGCGGTTCAACAAGAAGGGCAGCCCATCAAAGCCAGCGATGATTTCGACGAATTGTTCACAGTCTTCCTCGGCTATTTGTTCCGAACTGGGAACATGGAGGCTTCGGTCAACTTGAGGAACTGCCAACGATACTTGAAAGGAGGGCTCGAACATTTCGAAAGGAACTTGGGAAACGGCAGTAGATATGTTCAAATGTTCAGATCGTTGCAACGGAACAAAGGATTAGGCCAGTACTTGTTTGTTGATGGAAATAGTTGTACATACTAGCGAATAATAGTAATAAATAATATCTTGATTACATGAGGAAATTTGCTTTACGATTGCTGCAGCATAAATCGTCAAATAATTTTGGAACACTTCGAAAAAAAAAATGTTGCGAACGTCACGTTTTTTTCACTTTCTAAAAAATTTTTTTAACGTAAAGTCTTCCAGGTACAACGCTCACAATCAGATTTTTCTTAACTTTATAAGGCAGAGTTCAGATTTCAATAAAATTTTTTAAGCAAAAGTTGTCAGTGGAATGCCAAATTTTCATCAACGTTCATATTAAAAGTCTTAGTTTTTGTTTGTGTATAGCATGCGCCAAAAATTCCGCATATGTCATCAAAAATTTTAAATTTGTGTCAAGTTTCATTCATATCGATCGTTGCAAATCGAGGGCTCTCCTTGTTAGGAATTCTACAATCACTCCTGCACATTCACACAAACACTTTTACAGGGTGTCCAGAGAAATTCCGCGGAAAGTGTTTGCCGATTTCTCGGCGCTTAGGCAAGATATCCAAAAAATTCTTTTTGCATTAGAAAGAAGACTATGGGCGGTTTTTTTTCTAAAAAAGTTTTTTTGTCCGCCGACGCGGAACATACTGTATTCGGCGGAGACTTTTGGTAGCTTTTTTCTATCTTAAGCGCATCTTAAGCGCTTTACTATGATCCTGAAACAATCGGGAAGCCTTCAGTTTATTTCCACAGAGGATCAGGGGACCGACGACAACGCTATGCAATTGCATTTAGCGACTGCACCGCATTGTGTAGTTGCGTCAACGGCGATAAAGTCCGACCGCATCGTGCGGAGGTTTGAAACAGTGGGGCAAAGAGAAGTTCAATCAAAAAATATTTTGTTGTTTCCTGGTACACCAAGTCGTTTACTGATGGCTAAGATGCTGCCAAGGCTTGGCGACGAAATTTTGGGGAGCATATGGGATCAGCAAAGAATGCTAGCCACATAATGTTTGGGACATCTCCTATCCAAAGCTGAGTTGTGGCCTCCGCCGATACGGAAAGCTCGCCATTCCATTGCCGAATGGTAAACATAAAAATTAGAGACATTCTCTTTTTAACCATCAGAAATCGTACTGAAGCTTTTAAGATTGGTGGGATGACCAAAAAAGCTACCAAAAGTCTCCGCCGAATACAGTATGTTCCGCGTCGGCGGACAAAAAAACTTTTTTAGAAAAAAAACCGCCCATAGTCTTCTTTCTAATGCAAAAAGAATTTTTTGGATATCTTGCCTAAGCGCCGAGAAATCGGCAAACACTTTCCGCGGAATTTCTCTGGACACCCTGTAGACGCCAAATTTGCAGATAAAATGACGTCATTAGCAGAAAGCGTCTATTGCGACAACGCAGAAAAAAGCGATATACGGGAAAGCAAAGTTTGTCATTTATTATAATCTTTGTAACACGAGATGGTTAAGTCGATGGTGGAGACATTCCAGAAGATGAATATTACCGATGAGATCGAGAGGACAGAGGATCAAGAGCCCGTCTATAATTGTAAGTTAGTCCTTTGACAGAGTGCTTATTGGGGATCGTGCAAAGTCAACCTTCAGTGCAACGTTCTGTAGAAGAAAAATAATAAAAAAAAAAAATATAATATTTTTTATGTAAACGTTTAGTAGGTGTACGGAGACTTGCTTCGGTCCAAAACTGACCTTTCAATATCTCAGAAAGGTTCGTTGTAGACAGGCTGTTTGTACTAGAGTCTATTGCACAGATATTCCATTGTAAACCGAATTCCATCCAATTCAAATTTTTCTTTTAGTAGCTGTATGCGTCCTCAACGGCTGTGTGGGAAACCTCGTAATAAGGGAGCAATTCGAAGAAGCCCAGGACTTCCGCCAATCCAAGAACGAGATTCTCTGTTTCCTCCTCACCCGAGGCTCCAAGTTGCCGCTGAAAACTGCGGAAGAAAAGTCCACCGACTACACCGATCCTCACTTTTCGCAATACTTCTCAACCTTCATTGGCCATTTATTTATGGCCGGCAAAACTGAGAAGGCCAAGCTTTGGAGCAAGAGAAAAGAAAGCCTTCAACGAATCAACGAAACTTTCAAGGGCGCCCTATGGAAGAGTGTGAAAATGCATCAGACGCTGAGAAATGTCAAGGTCAATGAGGGAATTGGCAAGATTTTCTTTTTGAAAGATTGTCGTTTCGATTGAATGGAAAAATAAATTTTTAATGGAGGATTAGAAAAATAGCTGGAGCACAGGAAATCTTGTCATCAAAACGTGGTATTAGTAGACGATTCCAGAACCGCTAACACAGCAAAAATTCGGCTTATCTATAGAACAGAAAACTGTTTGGAAAAGGCAAAAAAACTCTCCGTTCAACTGGACATGAGGTCCTCGGACTTCTCGGATATCAAGACTAGGACATTGCCCCACAAATTTCCAAATAAATCTAGGATATTGGTCTTTACGACCTTCAAATCCCACCGCATCCCCTTGCGGGGGGCTTCATCTTCCTTGCCCTTCCTCTTTTACCTCCCCAAAATGACGGGTTGGTGGCTTTGACCACTCGTTTGCACTTTTTCGACTGTAAAGAACACACCGTCCTCCAGTTGCCTGATATCTGGCCTTTCTGAAAATTCTAAACGAAACCTTTCATTTGTGGACAAATCGGGCAAATTGGGCCCATCTCCCTAAATGAAATCTGTCCTTCGTCACTTGTCGCGAAATTATCGGCATTTTTTCTCGCCCGAAATAATTGCTTTTCTTCGAAAAGAAAGAAAAAGATAAGAAAATGCTTTTTATCGGATTCGATGACATTTCGTTTTGAACGAATCACCAAAAAGGGGCGGAAATTTTTTTGTTCTATTTTGGATTGGCGTGGGCTCAACTTTCAGCACAATAACGTAATAAAAGTTTATTTAAGCTCTTGAGCTATCAAAAAATCATAAAGAAAACAAGAAGAGTGACGATTACGATGAGGGACGAGGAATCTCCAGGCGAGTTGTTACACAAATCTCCTCTGCAGCTGCACTCGAACCCGTTGTAGCTACGATCGGTACATTTGTCTTCATTTATTTTGTTCTGAAAGCAATGAAGTCAGTAAAGAAAATAGAGAACTCTGGGGCCTGTTTCATCAACGAAAAATAAATAAAATAAACGAAAGGGAAAGCGAGAGAACACCCAAAACACGTTTCGAAGCGAGAGAGTCGCGACAGATTAGTAGAGACCATCTATAGAGCGGCGCATTTATCACAGCGATCGGAGTGACTTTTTACGTCCAAAACGGGGGGTTCTCAGCAGTAATCAGTGGATAACTCGGCTCCCGGTGGTCGTAGAATCACCCTTCCAAAAACCAAATAAAGCTATTCCCTAGAGCTACGTGATATCCAAATTTCATATTTATACTTCAAAAAATGAACTCAGTAGACACCTAGTAGATCGTAGTATTCAACTTTTTTGACGTTTTTTTCTGAAAAACGTTATTATTTCAGTCAATTTTTAACATAATGGGATAAAATTGGTACCTGTCGATAGCCAAACGTTTACTCTACAAAACTTTTTTAGAGGGGCGGTTTTCAAAAAATGAACTCGGTAGACACCTAGTAGATCACAGTATTTACGCTTTTTTTACGTTTTTTCGAAAAAAACCTTTGTTTTTCACTCAGTCTTTAACATAATGGGATAAAATTAGTACCAGTCGATAGCCCAACGTCTAATCTATAAAAAATTTTTAGAGGGGCGGCTTCTTTTGCCCTGTGGCCTGCGAAACGTTCAATTTCGTGAGACGATGTCTTCTATTTGCGTAAAAAGTCCTTCGATCGTTTCCGAAAAAACAAAAGAGAGGAAAAGGGCGCCCTCGAAACGCGATGGTTTTTTGTGTCAAAAACGGTGGTTCATGACAGTAAACATAGACGTTTCGCAGGCCACAGGGCAAAAGAAGCCGCCCATCTAAAAATTTTTTATAGATTAGACGTTGGGCTATCGACTGGTACTAATTTTATCCCATTATGTTAAAGACTGAGTGAAAAACAAAGTTTTTTCCCGAAAAAACGTAAAAAAAGCGTAAATACTGTGATCTACTAGGTGTCTACCGAGTTCATTTTTTGAAAACCGCCCCTCTAAAAAAGTTTTGTAGAGTAAACGTTTGGCTATCGACAGGTACCAATTTTATCCCATTATGTTAAAAATTGACTGAAATAATAACGTTTTTCAGAAAAAAACGTCAAAAAAGTTGAATACTACGATCTACTAGGTGTCTACTGAGTTCATTTTTTGAAGTATAAATATGAAATTTGGATATCACGTAGCTCTAGGGAATAGCTTTATTTGGTTTTTGGAAGGGTGATTCTACGACCACCGGGAGCCGAGTTATCCACTGATTACCGCTGAGAACCCCCCGTTTTGGACGTAAAAAGTCACTCCGATCGCCGTGATAAATGCGCCGCTCTATAGATGGTCTATACTAATCTGTCGCGACTCTCTCGCTTCGAAACGTGTTTTGGGTGTTCTCTCGCTTTCCCTTTCGTTTATTTTATTTATTTTTCGTTGATGAAACAGGCCCCTGGGTTTCTATAAAATGTCGGAATAAAAAACCTACAGGAGCGCATTTTTTGTATCGTATTTCAAGGGACTCAAGCTTCAACAATCCCTTAATGCAACCATTGTCGTTGCCGCAATCCTTTATAGTGATCTTAGATTTCACACAGTCCGTACCTCTGCGAGATGCATCCTCGTTGCATGTATAGCATCTAATGGAGTTGGTGACGGAAGCTGCAAAGTAAAAAAAGAATGTAAAATGATTGTAAGTACGGAGAGACAAGGTGCCAATGTTGGTAAAACTTCCTTTTTCTGGCCACAACTTATAACGTTGCGGAAACTGGTCAGAATTAGCCCAAATTTGGCGTGCAGGCTCCATTCGTCGTTGTCAATGCCTATAGTGGATTTAGTTAGTCGGGTACCTGCTTTTTTACGTACCACCTTAACCTTCAAAAACGGCTGCAGCCTGCGATTTTACACTTTATACGATGAAACCTGTCTGGAACTAAACTTATTGCCCCCGTGTAGAGCAAAATGAGCCGTTATAGCCTTTGTAGGTACTTTAAAACTATAGAGCTACTATAGTAATTCAGTACCAGCTAGGACGGAGCTTTTCTTCCCAACTTTAGTTCCTAGGCTTGGGCGCAGTTCGCAGAGTACCTTTGTTGTGGCCAGAATAAGGAACTTTCTCCAAAATGTTTTATCAAAGAAAAAAACAAAGTCGTAAAACAACAATCCAAGTAAGACCCATCTCACCAACTCACCAAAGAAAAGGAAGAGCGCCAAGTTGAGGACCAGATGCATTTTTGGCTTCGAGAATTATTAAACCTATCAATCGACACAACCGACCAACACTGAGAGGATCGATTCAATACCATTCTTTCCATAAAGTGCATAGACTATTTTCGTCGCGCATAGTGCATTTTGCTTCTTTTTGCAGTGTGCAATGTTTACTGCGCCCCCAAAATTATCTGTTGATCACTTCATTATCAATATATAAATATACCACATACACAGTCGTATCATCACGTAATTTTTCGAATATTGCCCTTGAGGATTTATCTTCTCCTTCAGTTGAGTCAAATTCATTCGAGAGAATTGCCATGACATTTTTTTTACAAACAGAATTGTATATAGTCTAAAATTTTTCGAAAAAAGCGAAATCAAAAAGGTCAGTAAAGTTTTTATTTCGGTCGCTCTTCCAAAATTCTAGAACGTAAAGGCCGAGACAAGAAGGGCAGCAGTTGTGATGAAGGTGGCTCCGACTCCAATCGCACTGTTGCACAGATCTCCCTGGCAACTGCACAAGGTTGCAGTCACACGCGTGACTTTGAAATCATAGTCCCCAGTGTGGCATTCGTCTTGCTCGACCTTGGTCTAAAATCATCAAAAATTATTATATTTACAAAGTCAAGAAAAGACGATTTATCAAAAATAATTTTACAAAACAAGTTTCAAATATATGTAGCTCTAGATACACTTACCACAGCGCACGTTCGGGCGACCGCTTTCTTTCCCGACACCTCTCCAAAGGCCTTGAAACAGCCGTTTTTGCAGTCCACGATGTGCTTACTGCTAGGAGTGAAGCAATCATCGCCCAATCCAAGAGCGCCCACGCAACTGTAACATTGGAGAGGGCTGGCAAGTGCAGCTGAAAAAGAGGGAAATTCAAAGAAATGCAAAAGATTAATCCCTCTTAAAATCGTGCAAACTCGATTTCAAAAATTCAACCGCGTTTCCGATTCTTTGCCAAGGCTTGGGCGCAGCTCGGAATAAATCTTTTAACTATGGTCCACGCCGGAAAAAATATTCTTTTTTTTTTGGTTTTTCGCAGGCTCTACACTAACAGAAATACTCCAAGTGCGACGCTCAGATTTTGATGAAATTTGGCACAAATTTAGAACGATTGTTTCTAAAGTATATGCGAGAATCCTAGCTCGCGCTTTGCAGAAACAACCGAGATTTTTAGATCGAAAGTCGGCGAAAATTTAGAACTTTTTGCCGAATTTCGGCACGAGAAGTTTCATGCCTATTTCTACCGTAAAGTATAATGTGAAAGTAAAATGTGTGACAAAAAATCAAATTTTTTTGCACAAAACTGCCAAAGTTATGGCCAAAAAACGTTTTACTCTCTGACCGCTCTTTACGTTTAGCGTGCTCTCTCGGCGGCAAAAATTGTTCGATATCTCGGCGGCGCCAGCAAAGCGCGAGCTAAAACTTTCAGGTATTGATATTTAGTACATACACGACGTGTGTGCAAAATTTAAAGAAAATCTGAGCGTCGCACTTGGAGTACTTCCCCTGTAAACCTGGAAGAGTTGTTTCAACATAAAATTGCCTAAAAAATGAAGTCTATATTGTGAATTGAACATTTACAGTTTTTTAGGTAAAGAACCAGGAAAAAGGAAAATTATGAAGGCAGTTTAAAAATTTAAAAACCAATGACAAGACCATGCGCATGGGAAAAAATTGTTTTTTGGTTCAACTTACCCAAGGAAAAGAAGAGGGCCAGACTGAGAAGCAAGTGCATTGAAACCAAATCGGGCTGTCAAGATCCAGCAATCACACAACCGACTAACCCGGAAAGTTCGGGTTTCAAGAAAATGGATTCGATAATTAGTAATCAAAAAAATGTATTTCTCACTGCCAAGGACGAAAATTTTCAGAAAGAAAAACGGCCAAAAGACGACGAAAATTTCAAAAATTTTTTTTATTCAAATAACGATCAAGTAATATGAACTCTTGATGATCATCACAAAGAGGCGGTGAAGAGAGGCATGGTGAAAACAGGATGGATCCAGGTCTTCCGTTGCCGGTTCGGGCAGTCCTTCCGCTCGTGGCCATCACGTTTGAAACAGCCAGTTCCCGGAGGTGCGAGGGCATTACCTTTCTCGTCTTTTCCTTCACCGTTTTCGCGACTGTAGCATTTGACGGAGTTGCTGGAATCCACTGAAACGGAAGGAAATATAAAAAAAAGGTTTATCCAAATTCAAATGTAACACGCAAATTTTAATCTAAGGCTCAGAATGGCTGAGCAACCCGCTGGCTATGCGCCCGACTCTTTGCTTGCCAAGCAAAGACTCGGGCGCAGCTCGGAATAAATAAAAAATTTTGAATGGGCCGAAAAACTAAATCTATTGTAGAAATCAGCAGTCAAGATAGTATTTTGGAACCGAAATTTACTACCAACCTCCAAAACAACGGACAAAGACTTACCCAAACAGAAGAGAATTTCAAAGGCCAGAAGAATCTTCATCTTGACCAACGAGCGACTAAAAAATGGGAAACCGACCGTCCCAGCCAACGTCCGGGACGGAAATGGCTGCAAAAACGTTGAAAAGCCCCGATTTCGTGTCTTCATTCAAATTCTCCATTTAGTGCAACATTTGAATAAAATTTGAATTTTGGGAAAAAATATCTTTTTTTTCACAAGAAAAGTACTTCTATGGGGTGTGGAGTTACACGTCAAAATAAAAAATGAATTTCGTCAAAGCCGTGGCGATCCGCGAAATATTGATTTCCCCTCTTTCTGTGCTTTGATTTCGAAAGGAAATCGGCTCTCTTCCCTTTTTGTCCTATTTTCGCCGAGTGGCAAGAGGAAGAGGGCGCGCGCACAAAGATAGAGAGAGCGGACGGAGAAAAAAAGAAAAAGATCAAGGTTGCTTTTCGCTCCGGCCGCCGTCGAAATTTCCTTTTATTTTCGTTCTGACATATATCAAAAAAATCGCCAAGTCTTCCTGATTTAGAATATGTAAAAGTTAGCCGCCCAATTGTGGCTTTTACGACTAAAAAATCCTCACAGAACGTCAGAACGTTTCTCGCAACACCACGCAAATGCTTTTTTTGACCAAGTTTTTACCAATTCCAAAGTTTTGTTTGGAGCTAATGTAAACCCTGGCATCTTGACAAGCCTTAACATATCAAATTTGAATAATACTACACCTTACAGTGGGGGACCTGATCCAGTGGCAAAAACGTATCATTTTGCATCCGGGAAACATCAAAAATGTGGCAAAATGCTTCCCTTTCCAAGTGAAAAAGCTCCGGTTTTTAAAAGCGCGCCCGCTCCTTTTGTGAGGCAAAGGGCGCGCCCTTCAAAACGAAGTTTTTCCACCTGGAGAGGGAAGCATTCTGCCACATTTCTGATACTTCCCGGATACAAAATGGTGCGTTTTTTGCCACTGGATCAGGCCCAGGATCAGGTCAAATTTTTGCGAATTTTTTGATGTATGTCTCAACCTGTGACTCCATACCCCATAGAAGTACTTCCCTTGTCAAATGTTTTATAGTCAACGAGTTTTTTCAAAAAAAAATCGGTCGAAAAGTTCAAAAAAAACAAATGTTAAATTTCATTCCTTTGCCTTTTCGCTAAAAATTCCAATGTGAAGGCTAGCTACAAGTGTGTCAAGCTCGGGCGCAGCTTGGTAAATTCTTTTTAAATGGCTATAAGATCGGTGACTTTCTCAGCTCGTGAAAATAACAACAACAGAGTCAAATCAGTAAATTTTATTTCAGTAATCTCCTCAAAACTTCTAATGAGCAATGACCAAAAGGCCAAGAAGCGCGGCGGTCGTGCTGAGTGCCGATGGAATTCCGGGAGCGTTGTTGCAGAGATTTCGCTTGCAGTAACACTCGTCGGCTGTTGTGTTAAACGGACCCTGAGTTTGCACATGGTGGGTGCATGAATCTACCTCCACCTTCTCCTACAAAATGTAATATACCGTTGGAAATTGCAAAGTAAACAAACCACCGAGCAGTTCCTTCCAACCATAATTCCTGCCGGTGTCGTGATTACACCTTTTATACAGCCATACGGGCAATCGGTCACATCTTTGCCACCGGATTCAATGCATTCGGCGTCGCCAACGGTACCGTTCTTTTCCCTCGCCCCAGCGCAAACGTAGCATTTCACGGAGCACACGGCAAGACCTGAAAATAGGGCGATGTACAGGGTCTTTCAAGAAATGTGCAGGAAAGTAGGAGGCTATAACTTTCGGCGGAGGCGGCGCAGAGAGTTCGTTTTTGGAATATGTATTTTTCAGTGACATTATTTTTTGCCTACGAAATAACAAGCTTTTAGAGCGCAAACTGAGGTCGCTACGACCTTCTGAAGTAAAGGCATCTCTACCCCGAAAACCAGGGTTTTTCGGTTGAAAATGATCGAGAAATTTCGGTCTTTTTCGGTTGAAAATCACCAAGAAATGTCGGATTTTTTCAGGGGTTCCGATAGAGTTGACGTTGAAAGAAGGGAAGGATGTTGCCAACACGTTGGAAATTTAGCAAATATTCGACTAGCCTCAACTTGGGGCAGATTTCGAGTTTATTTTTCGGTATCTAAGAAGCGTGACATCATTTAGGGATATGAGGAACCTGGAATCGGCTAGCCAAGGCACCAGAATGACTGTGAAGTCTTATAAAAACTAGTCAAAGGGTGTAATGGGCGTCAAAGGACAGGAATGACAACCAAACTTTTAAACCGCTAACAAAAACTGGTTGGCTAGCCAAAGTGTCAGAATGAAGAGCAGCCGAATATTTGCATAATTTTCAATGTGTTGGCAATTCCCTTCCCTGTTTTCAACGTCAGCTCTATCGAAACCCCCCAAAAAAACCCGACATTTCTCGATCATTTTCAACCGAAAAACCCTGGTTTTCGGGGTAGAGATGCCTTTACTTCAGAAGGTCGTAGCGACCTTAGTTTGCACTCGAAAAGCCTGTTATTTCGTAGGCAAAAAATAATGTCACTGAAAAATACATATTCCAAAAACGAACTCTCTGCGCCGCCTCCGCCGAAAGTTATAGCCTCCTACTTTCCTGCACATTTCTTGAAAGACCCTGTAAATACACTAAAAAAGGAGGTGGCAATCGGGCCGGGCCAATTTTTGCGGCCATGGGCCGAAGTCGTCAGGCCGGCCCTGGGCTTTTCAAGTCTGCTCAGGCCCGGCCCTACCCGATTGCCACCTCCAGTTTGAAAACAGTCAGAATTAGCCGAAATTTAGCATTCTTGAGGTTAAAAAACTTTTGCACTTGGGACGTCACGTACATAAATCACGGATCGATTTGTACAATTTACAGAAAAAAAGTGGCTTTAAATATGAACTAGGAGCACAGAAAAGAAGCCTCGGACCTACCCAAGGAGAAGAAGACGGCCAGATGGAGAAGCAAGTGCATTGGGATCAGCGAACGTTTGGGATTCCACCAACAAGACAGGCGACCGGCCCGGGAAACAGTTTTCGACCGAAATAACGGCTTTTCCAAAGTCGAAAGTATTTATATGACATTGGGAAACAAAGATTTTTTTCGAAGAAAAATTTTAAAAAAGATGTAAGAAGATCTTCATTTCTATACATTGTTGTAATTGTATACTTAACCGAAGGGGATGGAAGATGTTGTGTTCATTAAATAAGTTATCTAATGAGGGATAATGGAACGTATATACTCTTTTCACAAGACTCATAGAGTTCAAAAAACATTGGTTTATTTCATTTATTATATTTTGGCAACATTGCTCTGCATTCAAGGCAAAATTATTATGCTTATCCAATAAAAATCAAAAAAAAAATCAAGCCTTATGTTCTTTGGAGACCGAGATATCGATTATTTCGTCATCTTTCTCGTCAGCGCCTCTCTTTTGTCGGAAGGCAGGTCCCTGTCCCTCGATCTGGATGCCACCATTTCCTTGACGGTCTTCTGCAGCAACAACCTGAATCTCGTTTCCATTTGAGTCTCGAACTACTCCTCCATGGACTTCTCCTCTTTCATTTTTTACGTGGATTTCTCCACCCTGAACTTCATAGTCGGCTTGACGCTTGTGCCTCGGAACGGCCAAGACCGCGACCAGAGCTAGAGAACAGATGATGACTGAACGCATGGTAAACGAAGACACAAGTCAGATGAAATTTTGCAATTTTTCGAGATTTTTATAGCAACTACAACAATGGCTGTGTATAATTAAAAAATTGTCTGTAAATGGATGAATAAACGATTTGTTTGGAGAAATGAAACCAAAATTATTTGTTATGGCCATGAACAATAGGAAACAGACATTTGAAACTAATTAGTTTTAGAATTTTGGCTTCAAAAATCTTTGAATTCTTTGTATAGCAAAACTAAAATTAATTGTTGATTTGCCTACTGCAATACGAAATTCATATTGTAGTAGGTCTAAAACGAAACAAAAATCAAAAAAAAAAACCCCCGTTTCATACGTCATCACTGGAATGTCCAAGGCTGCAGAAATTGGTCATTCAGGTCTCGCTGAGGCTCTTGTAGATCCCTCAAGATCTTGGCTGTGCTGGAATTTTGGAAGCCAAAGGCAGACATTGCCACGGCTCCGGAGCCAAGAGCCGGCTCGTTCGGAGCCGGAGATCTTTTTAAATTTTGCACGGAGCCGGAAGCCGGAGCCTAAATTTTGACCGTGGCAATCTCTAGTCAAAGGCCTCTTAAGCCACCAGACCTTCCAGAAAAGCGCCAATCCCAACATCGGGCGCAGCTTGGAAAATCTCTTTAAATAAGCCAAAAACGAAAAATTTTGCATAAATAACAAAGAAATAGTGAAATCAGTAAAGTTTATTTCAGTAGTTCCCTCAAAAATTCTGATAAACAACGGCCAGAAGACTAAGAAGAGCGGCGGTTGTGACAAGAGCCGGTGGAATTCCAATAGCGTCGTTGCAGAGATCTTCTTTGCATCTGCACTCGTCGACTTTGTCATAATTTTGCTTGGTGACGCATTCATCTTTCTCCACCTTTTCCTAAAAGCCCGTTGAGCATGTTGTGTCAGACTTGCCGGCGCGCAGGTCCTTTTGATCGAAGCCTCTCTGTGGAATTCAGTTGTCACCTTCAAGCAGCCGAAGGGACATTCCCTCGTCTCATGGCCACCCGACTTGAAGCATGCTATGTTGACGTCGGAGACGTTCCGGCCTTTCTCTCCAACGCATTGGTAGCATTTGACGGAGCTGCCGAGATGAGCTGCAAATAATGAAGAATTTCAGAGAGGTACCGCGCATTGGCCATCAGCTAAATGCCTGGACTAGGAAAATTTTGGGTAAAAGTTCCTCATTTTGGCCACAACTTATAACTTTGCGGAAACTGGTCGGAATTAGCCCAAATTTAGCGTGCACGCTCAATTCATCGTTGTCAATGCCCGGACAGTGGATTTAGTTAGCTAGGTACGTTCTTTTTTACGTACCACCTTACCCTGCAAAAACGGCTGCAGCCTGTGATTTTACACTTTATACGATGAAACATGTCCGGAACTAAACTTATTGCCTCCGTATGGAACAAAATGAGTCGTCATAGCCTTTGTAGGTACCCTTAAAATTATAGAGCTATTACAGTAATTCAGTTCCAGCTAGGTCGAAGCGTTTTTTCCTAAGTTTAGTGCCCAAGCTTGGGCGCAGTTCGCGGAGTACCTTTGTTGTGGCCAAAATAAGGAACTTTGTCCAAATTTTGTTTTTCTGGAGCATTAAAGGAAAGGAATTTCTCCAAGCTGCGCCCTATGGTAATCAAATAAAATTCGGTTTGAATAAATATTATATGCTTACGTAAAAACTCGAATAAAAATTGCCCAAAAAAATAAAAATAAAACGAAATAATTTCTCCATGCTGCGCCCTATAGTAATCAAAAAAAATTGGTGTGAATAAAAATTATATGCTTACGGAAAAATTCGAATAAAAACTGCCCACAAAAATCAAAAAAAAAAAACGAAATAATTTCTCCAAACTGCGCCCTAGACTCGGACCGGCTTACCTAGAGATAAGAAGACGGCCAGATGGAAAAGCAAATGCATGATGATCAGTAAACGTTTGGAACCCACCGAAAAGACAACCGACGGCTCGGGAAACAAGGCCTAATTTCCCATTCGAATTTTTAGTCGAATAATTCGACTTTCAAGCTCAAAATTTGAATTTTCGTGAGAAAGTTTGATTTTTGTAACTATGAAAAATCGAAATTCCCAAAAACTTCGTATTTTTTGGAGCAAAATTTGCATAGCTTGACCTTTAAGAAAATGACAAAAATCCAAAAATTAAAAAATTTTATTTTCTAAAAAAATCTCAAGAATGATTCTGAGGGGCAAAGTCCTTCCTCGAAATAGCCGAGACAGGCTGGCCAACAGCATCCAAAGAGACAAAATTCATATTGTAGTAGGTCTAAAAAGAAACAAAAATCAAAAAAAGAACCGTTTCATACGTCATCACTGGAATGTCCAAGCCAATTGCCGCAAGGGAAATGGTAGAGCATGTTGGTTTGATGATCAATAACATCGATGGAATGGAGCAGCCAAGCGTCTTTTCTTCCACGACGCTGATGCCAAACGTCCACTGTTTTGAGCTGACTCATGTAGTTCTGATCGACCAGCATGAACAAGTCGGCCTGAAAATGGGATTTTTAGGGAAAAATTGGAAGAAGTTCCTTATTTTGGCCACAACGAAGGTACTCCGCGAACTGCGCCCAAGCTTGGGCACTAAAGTTAGGAAAAAACGCTTCGACCTATATAGCTGGCACTGAATTACTATAATAGCTCTATAGTTTTAAGGGTACCTACGAAGGCCGTGACGACTCATTTAGTTCCATACGGAGGCAATAAGTTTAGTTCCGGACATGTTTCATCGTATAAAGTGTAAAATCACAGGCTGCAGCCGTTTTTGAGGGGTAAGGTGGTACGTAAAAAAGAAGGTACCTCACTAACTAAATCCACTGTCTGGGCATTGACAACGATGAATTGAGCCTGCACGCCAAATTTGGGCTAATTCCGACCAGTTTCCGCAAAGTTATAAGTTGTGGCCAAAATAAGGAACTTTTACCCAAAAATTTTCTAAATTTTGGCTGGGCGCAGCTTGGAAAAAAATTTTTTATCAAAAAGTTGCTCCAAATACCGAAAAAAGGTTTCCACAAATGCCACATTGTCCATCAACTTACATGGCCTTTCTGAAACTTTTTCCGATGACTAATCGAACACTTGAGGCGAACCTTGTCCGTTTTATTTCCCTCCACATCAGTCAACTGAACAAAAACACTGGCACTGGTCCCGGCATGTGGTTTGCTCGCCGTTCTGACCACAATCGAATAATTCCCGGTCTCGGGTCGATCATCGCTTGTCTGGGAGCTGGTCGAAGCGTTGGACCGAGGAGTTTCCAGCGTCGGAGTGGGGAGTTCCTCTTCTTTGGACATTCTCTATTGGAGAGAAAATTGAAAGACGACCGGAAGGAGGGCCGATTTTTTGAAAGTGATGGGAAAAATTTTTGAGGCCAAAATTGGAAAAAATAAATGAAAAAAAGAAGGGTGAAAACAAAAGAGACAGTGGGGGATCTGATCCAGTGGCAAAACACATGGCATTTTGCATCCGGGAAGTATCAAAAATGTGGCAAAATGCTTCCCTCTCCAACTAAAAAGACTCCGTTTTTAAAAGCGCTACCGCTCTTTTTGCGAGGAAAAGGGCGCTAGCGGGGAGCGCGCTCCCTTCAAACCGAAGTTTTTTTACTTCCAGAGGGAAGCATTTTGCGACATTTTTGATGCTTCCCGGATGCACTTAAAAAATGTTGTAAAACAGAAATTTGAATGTCAAATGTAACGTTTACATCGCTTACGGCGAGAATCAGTGTCGAAAACTCTATAGTATGCTCCTATTCCCCCCATTACGTTACAAAAAATATCTTTTTTCATGCATGCAAAGCGGCCTTTATTAAGTTTACCCAATAAAAATCATAAAATTAAGTTTCAAGGGTGTGTGATATCAAGTATTTCGTTATCTTCCTCGTCAGCCCCTCTCTTTTGTCGGAAGTCAGGTCCCTGTCCCTCGATCTGGATGCCACCATTTCCTTGACGGTCTTCTGCAGCAATAACCTGAATCTCGTTTCCATTTGAGTCTCGGACTATTCCTCCATGGACTTCCCCGTCTTCATTTTTTACGTGGATTTCTCCCCCCTGAACTTGATAGTCGTCTTGACGCTTGTGCCTCGGAACGGCCAATACCGCGACCAGAACTAGAGAACAAATGATGACTGAACGCATGATAAACGAAGACACAATTAGTCAGATGAGATTTGGCAATTTTTCGAGATTTTTATACCAATCACAACAATGGCTTTGTATAATTAAAAAATTGTCTGTAAATGGATGAATAAACGATGTGTTCGGAGAAGTGAGATCAAAAGTGTTTGTTATGGCCACGAACAATTGGAAACAGACATCGACGACATTTGGAATTAATTAGTTTTGCTGTTTCGGCTTTTCAGAAACCCTTGAATCCTTTGTATAACAAAACTGAAATTAATTATTAATTCGCTATATAAGCAGTGCAAAAGATTTGGTTATCAAAAGGGTTAGATTGGGTAGCTTTGGATCTTGGAAGCTCTGGCAGGTTTTGCTCAGAACAGTAATTCGGCCAAAACCATGCGTGTAAAATCGGTTATTATGCCGAACTTTTTGGAGATTCCCAAGGCCTGGGCTGGGCCGGAAACGCTTGGCAAAAATATTGATTTTTTTGTGGCTGACAAATTGAGACGTAGAGGTTTATTACACAATATCTCTTAGAATTTTTAAAATACGAGGCTTTTGAAAAGGTTGATTTTTCTCTCAATCCAGTACTGTCTCTGTATAATGTTTGAAAAAAAGTGAATGGACATCAATATACCATATATAGAAGCACGGAGATCAAGATGGATCCTACCTTAAGGCATTATTTGCTTCCATAAAATCACTCCGGGCCAAAAACCACAGTCCCAAAATTTTTAAAAATGTATATGACGCATAGCCTTGATTTTCGCGCCTATTATATGCTGAAGCATCTATCATAAACTATTTTTTCAGATCATGAACTTCAACATCACTCTTCTTTTTGCATTTTTAGTCTTCCTGTTCGCCGGTCGTTTTGCTGTTCGAGCCGACAGCTCTGAAGAATTCGAAGTCAAGGACGAGGTTCATTATAAGAAGATCCTCCCAAATGGAACAGTAATTGAGAGGAATTGAGCTCACTGATAACTAAAAGCTAATATAAAAAATACTGCATGAGATTACTAAATGTAATTGCCAAAAGAAATTTAATTGAATAAACCAATCTTGTCATTACAAAAATTATGTCGGAACGTATTCTAAGCGTCCAAAATCCATTAATTTTTTTAATTTCAAAACAAATTAAACATGTGAGCTAATTCAGCATAATTTAGGCAGTAAAACACAATACTAAAATATCTTTTCTTTTGATTACAATGGCTAAATGTTCAGTCAACCTTTCATCTCTTATTTTGATATCCGTTTTGCTTGTTGTTGATGGAAATGACATGGAAAAGAAGGAGGAGTACATCAGAAAACAGACGAACACAAAATCGTCGCCCTGCAATGACTTCTTTGAGTATGCCGCTGGCAATTCGGATATTGATGAGGTTAAAGACATGTTGAATGTAGAATTAGATGCAGTAGTTGGAGAAGCGGAAGTTCATAAGGTACGATGTGTGTCTCTGAGTCCAAATCTGGCAGTAGTCAGCTTTCAAGTCAAATCTTAAAATTCCCTTGCAACTAATGTGCTTTTACTTGCAGTTCATGTTTCTGCACGGCATCTACAAATACTACGTGAAATGCGTGGGTAAATCAATGCCGGAAGAAGAGCTGACGCTCCAAGAACGAGTCCAATTCGCCAATGAGCGCTTCAAGGACGTTCAATTTCCTCTTCAGCCGCAGGACGACTGGCTGACTCACGATGACAAGTATGATCCGCTGCTGAATCGGTTGTATCGCGCGCTCTTGGAGCGAGGTGCCTCCTTCTTGACCGGTATACCAGCTGCTGCGGCGCGTCAAGTTATCTACCTTCCTTCAAGTTTGCCGCTTTCGGAGAACGAAACGAAATCGGTGTGGTAAGTTGACGATGCTAAATAGTTGGCTATGTGCGTACTCTAATGGAGCAGAAAGGTGTTTTTTGAACCAAAATTATGTCAGCGTAATCAGGCAATTTCGCGGCGGGACTATCGCGCAATAGATGTGCTCTCATTTTTTTTGTAACGTTGGTTTATGGGTTCAAAAAATACTTTTTCTGGCCCTTAAAAAATGTTTTTAGGGATGAGTATTGCGCTGTTACGAAGTGCTCTTCTCGTGACGTTCATCGCGGCAATTACGCGTATACGTACGAGAGAATGAGCCCGGACAAAACAGCCGACTTTCTCCGTGTCTTTCTAGGATACGAAATCGAAATCCGCCACGTCTATCGGCTAGAGTGCAGCGAATGTAGCGCAGATACAAGGGTGATAATTGCCACTTCCAAACATGCCATAACTTCTAATTTTTAGAAGGCTGCGAGAGCCGGGATGGTGAACCAACTCTTCGAAGCCTTGATGTCTAAAAACAACTACTATCCGACGTCCTGCGTTTCCTCTATGAGCGACATGTTCCCCGTTTATTTCCACAAACTGGCGCTGGACAGGGCGCGGCGGAACACGACCTACTTCAACAAAATGAAGGAGGACTTCTTCACGATTTACACGCTAGTCATTAACGAAGCCAGAGAAGCCATCAACGGGAAGAGAGTCATAAAAGATCCTTCATTGCGCGGCCTTTACAATCAGCTCTTGGACAGTGCCCGCCTAATGTTCTACGAGTATCCCGCATTCGAAGACGAGAATTTCGAAAAATATTTCGGGAATCTCTCCACCAAGACGCCATACAGATCGCGGTTCCTCAACAACTTCATCGGGTTGGTCCGATTTGCCAACGAAACGAATAACCCGCTGCCCAATCTGCCGGCGGTCAACAAAGTATGCCTTTTCGGATTGGTCAAAAAATATGTCTTTTCAGGTTGCCCAATATCTCGGGAACGAGTATGCCGTCGCACCCGATTGGCAATTATCCAAGCTCCCATTTTACAGTCCCGACTGGACACCGCCCATTAAATTTTCGTGGGCCGGCAACATCATTGCGCACGAAGTGGGCCACAGTTTTTGTAAGGAAGCTTTATTATTGCAGTGGAATCTCTGTAAAACAAATTCTCATATAACGAAAGCCATCTATGACAAAGTTTTTTGGATGTCCAAAGAGAAAGCTAGACAAAATTTATAACGAAATGCATCTATAACATATGTTTTTGATGATTTTTTACACAGAGGTTTGACTGTAATGCCATATTAAGTCGGCGCCTTCACATGGACACAATTGCGACCCGGTATAAAAGAGCTGAAGCAATGCATAATCGACCTATACAGCAACCAATGTTCGCCAAAGCGCCCAGAAGAGTGTGTTGACCCCGAGGTTACGTTGTCCGAAACTATCCCCGATCTTCTGGGCAAGTACTGTAAAACGTTTGATTTCTCGGCCTAGCCAGGTTTCTTATCTCATCTGTTAAACGTTCCTCTTACAGGTATCCAATGGGCGTACGCGGCTTACAAACGCTACATGCTGTACAAACCGGTTGAATATTTTATCAAGGACCGTCTGTTGAGACTGCTCGGCGACGACCAGATCTTCTTTATAAACCTGGCTCAAAGTTTTGCGATTACGGCCGGTTGGGAGTCGTTCCAGCGGACCAAGGTCCATCCGCCGGGCGAAGTCCGAGTCCGCGGAATGATGGCGAATTTCCCGGCGTTTGCGAATGCCTTCGCCTGCCCAGTGGGTTCCAAGTACAACCCGGAGAAGAAGTGCAACACCTTCTTGGGCACAGTGTTTGGCGATCCAAATATATACGCCAAATACACAACAATTGCGCAGGGAACGTGACGCATGGAAATCAGAATGTAGCGCGTTGTATTTCTTGCGAATAATAAACAGTAACATACAAATTAAAAAGTATTTTTTAAAGTGTTAGACTACCTACACCTTAAAAAATTTTTTTTATTAAATCGCTTTAATCAAACTAACAACGTCTTTAATGAATTCAAATGGCCATGATTAGATTATCTGAACATGGAAAATATTGGTAAATTGTTTTTTTGTCATTTAACACAGCACTTTTCGATGTCGGTTTTGCCTTTAAAACTATGCTTACTAATATTTTTGTTACATTATTTTGTTGACAAGACAAGCAGTGATTCCATGGAGGCCAAAGAAAAGTATATCCAAGGAAATATAAATACAAATTACACTCCGTGCGATGACTTCTACAACTTCGCGGCGGGAGAAATGGACCTAACTGGTCTGCGCACCGGGCTGGAAAATTATGTTCTGAAGTTAATAAAGGATTCAAAAAATCATGCGGTAAGGATGGGGGAGGTGAATCGACTTGGCAAGGTAGGATGTAAGACTTTAGGCGCCAGATGAGCCAGCGAGAGACTATATGTTGTAAAAGTGTGGTGCAGCTGCACCGCTGTTTCACGAACAGCAAAACTTGTCCATAACATAGGATTTATGAGGTCTTTAACTCAATTCTAGGCTAATAGAACGATTGACTGTACGTTGCATTCATGCAAAGACATCTTTCGAAAATTGGATCCTGGGAAAAACCCCGTCTATTCTTGCACACGGCCTCCAAGTCAATTTTAACTTAGTGTCCATCGAGAGACTACCATGTCAACTAAAACCACGACTAACTGAAAATCTTAAATCAAACTTTCAGTACAGCAAATCAACAAGAGAATTTCAGCTTCCGGTAATGCGCAATGTGTACGAGCAATACGAAACGTGCGACAAGGATGAGATTCCTTTCGTAGAACTGAACATGACCGAACGAGTGGCGTTTGTCCTCAAACGCCTAAAGGACATTCAATTCCCGATTCAGCCGACGGATCACAGGATAACCGACGAAAACAAGTACCGCAGGCTGATCTTCCGAATGTACCGCGCGCTCTTGGAACGGGGATCCCGGCTGTTGAATGAGGTGGCCATCGAAGCTGCCATGGGATTCACCTTCCTCCGACCCAGCACCTTTGAACTGTCGGAGGATGAGACGGGCCCAATATGGTAACGTATATAGTTGTTAATGAATCAAGTGTTGCTTTAAGGGATGCATATTGCGCCGCATCCAATTGTACCTCTCGGGATAAAAGTCAAGGCAACTATGTCTATCGTCTCGACCAATTGAAAAACACTTCCATTCCCGAGTTTGTCAGCATATTTTTTCGGTGCAATATCAGCAGCATCAAGCAGGTTTATACGCCGGTCTGCGACAACTGTAACGAAGGAAATGAGGTAAGGGTTGTTTATTCAGAAAGAGCGAAATCTATGCGCAGCAAACTACAGTGAGGGACCTGACCTAGGGGCAAAAAACATACCATTTTGCATCTAGGAAGCATCAAAAAATGTGGCAAAATACTCCCTCTCCAAGAGAAAAAACTCAGATTTCAAAAGCACGCCCGCTCGTTTTGTAATGGAAAGGGCGCGCCCTTCAAAACGAAGTTTTTTTACTTGGAGAGGGAAGCATTTTGTTACATTTTTGATACTTCCCGGATGCAAATTGGTCGGTTTTTTGCCACTGGATCAGGTCCTCCACTGTAGTGAGCAACAAAACTTGTATAGAGCGGGCAGTTTCAGAGTTTCCAACAGTGGCGGACTTGATCTAGTGGCAAAAAACCTACGGTTTTTTCTTCCAGGAAGTATCAAAAAAATGTAGCAAAATGCCTCACTCTCCAAGTGGAAAAAAACTTCGTTTTGAAGTTCCCTCACAAAAAGAGGGTTGAACCTGAACTCTACCCTAAGCATGGCTGCAAACCGGGCCAGCCGGGCTTAAATCTCCAAGCCCGGCCCGGGCCCGGGCTTGGGAAATTTGGAAAGCCCGGCCCGGTGCGGCCCGGAAAATTTTATACTGGTTTGGAAAGAAAGAAAGCGGGAAATTAAAAGAAAATTATGGCAAATATTCGCAAGATGTAAAGAAAAATTTAGCAAAACCTAGGTACATAAGGTCACTTTACGTTCGCTATCAGCATTGTGTTCGAAAAAATGAAAAATCCTATTGTAAAAGCTTATTTTTTCCTTTTTTCCGGGCAAAACTCAAATTTCAAAAAACCGGGCCGGCCCGGGCCGGGCCGGGCCTGAAAATCGAAGCCCGGAGTCGGGCCGAGAAGTTAGTCGGCCCGGCACGTCGTTTTTTTCTGCTAATTATGGTTTGTCCCACCACGACTAAATTTATCAGTGCCAAAAAGTTTTGGCGTTGTGCAAAAATCGGAAAATTCACTTTTTATTTTCCGCAGAAACTAAAATCGACCAGTGCTAATCGGAGAGCAAAGAAAACATTTCGAAAATTAGTGGTATAGGAACGTAAGTCGCTATTTTCACTTTTTGTTTGATTTTTAGGAATCCATTGAAATCGGATGTCTAGTATAATATGAAGTTGAATTTTCTCGAAAAGTAGCTCTGAAACCTGGTCTGATTTTTTGTGTTCAGCTTCGTCATATCTTCATGCAGCTCATGAGCTATCGAGAACCCCAAGATTGGGATCGAGGGTCAAGTTACCGGTCAATCTTTTGTTATTATAGGTCAACTTTAGCGTGAAATTCTGAGCTCAAGAAACGATTTTACAATACAGATTTAGCGCAAGCGGCAGCCGCAACACGTCAAATTTGCGTAAACACAATTATTTCGATATATCGATCAACCGTGTTGGCGTAAAACCGGTCGTGGTAAATCAAAGTTTGTGGCGTTTCGTTCCGATTTTTTCACTCAATAATGGAGCCGTCAAGCTAAAAAATCACTTTTCAATTACGCGCCAACGATGTGCCCGGCCCGGGCCGGAAAATTTTGCAAAGCCCGGCCCGGAGCCATGCCTACTCTACCCCTTTTCTGAACTTTACCCCTTCAGAACTTTACCCCTTTTTCAACTCCACCCCTTGAATGAACTTTACCCCTTTTTGAACACTACCCCTCATTTTGAAAATTGAAAAAATGAGGTGTGACATCTTATACGATGAAAAATTTTTTCAAATTGAGAAAAATTAGGTGTGACACCTTATACGATGAAAAATTTTTTCAAATTGAGAAAAATAAGATGTGACAACTTATACGATGAAAAATTTTTTCAAATTGAAAAGAATAAGGTGTGACACCTTATACGATGAAAAATTTTTTCAAATTGAGAAAAAGAAGATGTGACAACTTATACGATGAAATTTTTTTCAAAATGAAAAGAATAAGATGTGACAACTTATTCTTTTCAATTTGAAAAAAATTTTGCATCGTATAACATGTCACACCTTATTCTTTTCAGTTTGAAAAATTTTTCATCGTATAAGATGTCACACCTTATTTTTTCAATTTTCAAAATGGGGTAGTGTTTAAAAAGGGGTAGAGTTCCGATTTTTTGGCGAAAATCAAAAAAGGGGTAGAGTTCAGCCTTTTTTGGGGTAGAGTTGAAAAAGGGGTAAAGTTCAGATTGGGGTAAAGTTCAGAAAAGGGGTAGAGATCTGCCGCAACGCAAAAAGAGCGCGCTTTTAAAAAATCGGAGTTTTTTACTTGGAGAGGGAGATATTTTCCCACATTTTTTGATACTTCCCGGTAGCAAAATGGTACGTTTTTTACCACTAGATCAGGTCCGCCACTGTATATTGTAGTCATTCTTTTCAATCTTGCAATAGGCGCCGACCTGGGCATTACCGTTGCCGTATAGCACGGTTGTTGTTGCCAAAAGTGCTAAAAGTTTCCATTCTTAGGCCATCCGAAAAAGGCTATATGGAATTTATTTTTGCCTGATTTTACTGGCGCACCCTGTAGAGTCAACGTTAGGTCAAACTGAGCCTCCGTACAACGAATCCCTTGAATTACAAAATTGGTTTTTGGTACCTCGCAATTTGTTCTACATTGGCTTGAAGTATTTGATGGTCTTATAAAAAGATAAAAAACATTTAGATGAAATCCCGAGCCAGCCTTGTCAACGAACTGTTCGAAGCGTTGATGTTTCGCCAGCCCTACACCATCTTCAGTTGTATCCTTTACGTCAAAGACGTCTTCCCCGCGTACCTTCAAAAGCTAGCGTTGGATGACGCTAAAAAGAATTTAACAAATTTCAACTTAATGAAAGAGGACTTCTTTACTGTTTTCAACTCGGTTTATCAGGCATCAGTCGATGCTCTTGGCAGAAGTCGCGCCTTCAAGGACAAAGTATTTATGAAACACATTGTGAAAGGCTTGAGGCTCAGTAAGATGATGTTCTTCGACTACCCCGTGTATGAGGACGCAACTTTTTTGAAGTACTTTGCAAGTTCGGACTTTTCAAAGCCGTTCACCCACCGACTCATGAACAACGTAATTCCCTTGATTAAATTTGCCAGCGAGACAAAGAATAAAGTGGCATATATTCCGTCGGTGGATGAGGTAAGTGGCTGCAGCTTCACAAAGCTCATTAGCAGCAAGATTCATATATGTATATTGAAACCTCTGTGCAATGAACCCTTCTTGAAGGGCCAATTTTAGGCCAACCTAATCCAAAGACAAAAAACGTGCCGTTTTACATCCAGAAAGTATCAAAAATATGGCAAAATGCTTCCTTCGCCAAGTGAAAAAACTTCGTTTTGAAGGACGCCTAGCAAGAAGAGCGGGCGCGGTTTTGAAATCTGAGTTTTTTCGACTTGGAGAGGGAGGCATTTTGCTACATTTTTTGATACTTCCCGGATACAAAATGGTGCTTTTTTTGACATTCGATTAGGTGTGCCACTGTATTAATCCCAAATTTTCAGAAAGCCCGCTACTTTGCGGAGAAATTTTCCCTCGGGATGGACTGGGCTCTCACGCTTCCCCCAATATACCAAACTGGGTTGTCACCGGTCATTCTTTTCTCGTCGATTGGATCAATAATTGGCCACGAAATTGCGCACTTTTTCAGTAAGCATTTTCAATATAATGAAAAAGTTGAAAGCCTACTAATGAAAAATTTGAAAGCCTTTGTCGGTTTTCTTTAAGAGTTCAAATTTGATTTTCAGATGCGGTATTTAACCTGGCATTCCGATATCCAGAGTTGCAGAAGATGAAAGATTGTGTGGTTAATTTGTACAAGGATCAATGTTCTCCGCAAAACAAAAGCATCTGCATTGATTCGGAACTGTCGTTCGCTGAGACCTTCCCGGATATCATGGGTATGGACTTCTTTTACTTGTTGTATACACATTAGACAGTCAAGCAATTCTTCTCTCTCTACCCGCTTTCCAAATTCTCCATGGTATACTAGGTAGTGGAGAATATGAGACTTGATTTTTAGCCCCACTTGGCCCCCTAAAATTTCAGTTTTAGGTGCGCAATGGTCCTACTCAGCATTCAAAACCTACACCCTTCACAAGCAGTCAACACCGGCCGTCAAAAGTCGTCTCTTACATTCAATGAGCGATGACGTCATATTCTTCATCAACCTGGCTCAAACTTGGGCTTATGGCCCGGACTGGAGTCGGTTCAGCCCCGCCCGACGTGATCCCCATCCACCGGCGCCAGTCAGAATCTTCGGCATGCTGGCCAACTTCCCAGCATTTACAAACGCGTTCCGTTGCGAGCTGGGATCAAAATATAATCCGACAAAGAAATGTGATACATTCATTGGTGAGTTCTTCGGTGATCCGAATGTTACTGTCAAATATACAACAATAAAGGCGTAGTCTGACGAATTAATGGGATGAAATTTGAAAACAAGCTTTGAGATAATACAGGTTGACAAAGACATCTACATAAATACGATTTTCGAAATAAATATGAGTTGCATTTGTTCTTTGTGGGAAATCTGGACGAAAGAATCAAAAAGTTGTTGGCCAGAAAGTCGACTCATCAGAAAGAAGTTGATCAGGAGGTCCAAGAACTATTATAACAAAAAGAAAAAAGGTGGAAGGAAGAATGACAACACTCACGGAGATGAAAGACGTCAATGTTGTGACTTGTAAAGTGGTAAGTGGTGTCTGAGTTGGGTTGGGAGGGGGTTCTTGGTTGTTCTAGGCAGCTGAAAGGGAAGAGGAATTCAAGGCGATTTGAAGGTAATGGGTCAAACTTTCTATAGTTAGCGGCATAAAAGTTTAGGGTGGTTTGAGTTGGGTTAAGAGGGAATTTTATATTGCACTAGGTGTCTGGATGGGGGAAAGTTGAATTGAAGGTGCTTGTGTGGAAAATGGGGATCGACGTTGAATACGAAGGAAGCTAGTAGGTGTTGCTACGAACTAAAGCAATTTTAAATTGGTGTCTTATTGTTATTTCGGCTTAAAACTTGGCTTTATGTTGTACCAGACAGGTGGAAAGTAAAAATTGATTTTTGGCAGGAAATTAGTCTCAATATGGGATATTTACAAGATTATTTGTCCAAGAATAAAACCAATAAAAAAGTTACCGAAAAATTTTTCGATTCTTATGCAAATTTTGCACTAAGAAGATTGAAATCTAAATTGGTCCCTTCATTCTTTTCACACTCTCGTCTCTCCGCGCGGTGCTTCCGACATGATGCTCCTTCGAGAGCTGAGTTCTACTTCTCGATAACGACCTTTCTGCAGAGTCTCAACTTTTGAGGGTCAAGTCCCGAACGAGTTCCAGATAATAACCCATGCAAAAGGTAATGATGGAGTTTTTATTCGATACACGTACAATCCGTCCGAGAAAAATTTGACGTAAGTGGGACGCGGGTGCAAAATTTCAATTTTATGTGCAAGAATTCATCTAGTAAATTGGTGACCCTAATTTTGTGGATTTTTTTAGTTCGACAGGGAGGTATTTTGCTGCGTTTTTGATACTTGCCGGATGCAAAATGATACGTTTTTTGCCAGCCGATTCGGTCCGCCACTGTAAAAACATTTCAAAAGTGTTCAAATTTCGCAAAAATTCTTTTTCCAGTCTCGAAACGAAAAAATTAAACGGTTAACCCGAAATGTCGTTGACCCGATCTGTCCCTGACCCGAAACGCCGTAGCGGTCGGCCCAGCCCGGGGGCCGGAAGAGGTCGGCCCGGCCCCGGGGCCTTTAAAACTCGTTCGGGGCCCACTAGCCATGTCTAGTGTAACATAACCTACTTGCAGCCGTCATCGCGCCTTCCATGTTCGCTACGAGTTCTCCACTGCGATGGGAATGCGGACGCCGAAGAAGTGCACGGACGGTTTCGATGTAGTGAAGCTGAAGAGTGGCAAGAAACTTGTCGTCCCGGTGAGTTTTGTGACTATTTGTGCTTCTTTGATGGTTACGAATAACGCGCTTTGTTTCAGAGGGTAATCGATAATGTGGAGGCGAAGCGAAGGCGAATTTGGTGCATTTTACGAATACAAGTACCAGGGGACATCGTACTGGTACAAGTTGGAGGCAAACCTAGGCCCCAGATACAAGCAACCGCTCGCCAGCGAGAGCGGCGTCTACCAGCTGGTGGAGAAATATTTCAAGAGCCCAAAAAACGGTAAGTTGGATGCGGACCAAAAAAATTTTTTCTTGTTTCCGACAAAAAACTCGGTTTTCATAATGGTACAAGCCATAATTAGCACTAAAAAACGACGTACTGCGTAGGCGCGTTTTCAGCGAACTTTCAGTTAGCACATTGGCTGCAGGAAAAGGCATTTCTCGGTTTGCAAGAAGAGCGTCCCTGATTAAAAAACTTTTAAGCCCCCTTTGTTTCAGCTTCTTTTACTTTGGCGGCATGCTCGGCTGCTGTCAATTCTCCGTAGGCGTCTACTGCATGCGGGTCAAAAATTTTGGTCCAAACTTTCGCGAGAATCAAGGAGAGCGTGTTCTACGCCAAGCAAGACCAAGATACTTATCGGGTGAGTGCTTATATTTTTCTTCTACCTTATATTTTTCTTCTTCAGTTCGTAATTACTGCTATTAGAATCGGCTCGGAACGCTCGGCCTTCTATCCAATTCCTGAACTGGCTACCACTCACATCCACGCGAAGAAAGTGTTGAATGTGGAAGATGCGGAGAGTCTGCTCTACATGAGCTTGGGCATGATGGCTACATTGCCTTGGGCGGGAATGAAGAATATTGAAGAGATTCGAAAGGCCAAGTTAGAGTGCACTGACGTATGCGAGGTGCCCACGGCAACCCAAAGTAGAACTTTTGTTTATTGCAGTTGTGTTGTTAGATAAATGTCAATGTTTGTAAGATAAATGTCAAAGTATTTTTGAGAGGTTTCAAACGTTGAGACAAGAAGAATTCCGTTTTCAGAAACAAAGATTTCACGGCCGATATGGTATTACGGTATGTTACAGCACGAAGAGAACAAAAAATAATTCTTTCATCGTCTTCGCAAGGGTCGAAAACGTTGTAGGCCGCAAAATTATTGCATTTCAAGGTAAGATACGACAGTTGTAGCCAATTACTTCGAAAAGAGTAAATTGTAAAAAAGGGTACCTTGTTGAAAGTTTTAGGAAAAAATATTGTTCGCTTTTGTTTAGCACCTACCAACAGTCATTTTGATGCAAAAAACTAAAATTCGATTTTTCCTATTCACGCCTAACGGACGGCTGATGCATTGCTAGTGTCGAGAGCACTTGAAACCACTGATAAGGGCCACATTTAGTCTATTAAATTTCCGAAATTTATTGTTTTTTCGATACAAAGACGATGAAGCAGCTCGTTTTGTTGAGTATTTTTGCTATTGTTCTTGTGAACGGTGAGTAAAAAATCATAGGGATTCCGAAAATTATGAGTGTTACTTTGAGACGTACTAAAGATTATTGCAAAAGGTAAAATATGGCCAAATCTGATAAAACACAGCCAAACCGAAAAAATTGGCCGATGCGTCCAAATTGGGGCAAATGGCACAAAGAAACGGTCGAATAAAAAGCCACAGTTTATAAGACTTGACCAGAGATTGCCACGGCTCCGGAGCCGGCTCTTGGCTCCGGCTCCGAGCGGCTCTGGCTCCGAGCCGGGAGCCAGAGCCGGAGCCGGAAATTTTGGGGTCGGCTCCGGCTCCCGAGCCCAAAGTCGGAGCCAGGCTTCCCAGCGGTCAGAAAAGTAAAAATTTCGTGATCTTGTTAAACCAAATTGCTTGAAAAACACTGCGGAGGATGTGACTTTACTGCAAAAACGTTGGCTGTATCTCTGGCACTAATAACTTTTATTTTTGGAAAAACATTTTTAAAAAACGTTTTGCATGGGAGCCGGGAATCGGAGCCGGAAGACTTTTTAAATTTTGCACGGAGCCAAGAGCCGGAGCCGGAGCTGCAAATTTGGCCTCGGCTCCGGCTCTGGGAGCTAAGAGCCGGAGCCAAAATTTTGACCGTGGCAATCTCTGGACTTGACCACACATTTTGTCGGTTTTGCCACACTTTTTTTGAGTATAATTAGTGGTTTTCCACCGTGCAACTGGCTTTTTTGGGCTGTCGCTCGATTTTTTTGGCCCTCTGACCTTTTCTGCCCAGTGCAAACTCCAAAAAATGCTCCAGCGATTTTACGAATGGACTTGTACATATTATTTCAGCCACCTCTGGGCGTCAACTCCCCGCCCCAGGCGAGGTTGAAGCCGCCGGCCTCAAATGCACTCTCTGCAAATACACGGTGGACTTTGTGTGTTCGACGTTGCTGGACCCGCGAAAGAAGACCGGAACGGCCTTCTTTCAGCTGCTGACTCAAATCTTCGAACGTCTTTGCTATGGGATTGGGGTCGATGAGGAATGCTGCGAGGACAAGTCCAAGTTCGAGGACGCGGTCGGGAATATTTTGACTATTGTCACAAACACTTTGCCAGATGTGTGTAATGTAAGTGGGGGATGTGATATCAGTTGGTCGGGAAAATAATGTGGATCCGTGGCATCGAAAATCGCAACGCCGCCGAGAAAATGGATTGTGTCGCTGCAGAAGGAATTTGCTTTCCCATCAGCGACGCAATAGGGGCCGCGACATTGTGCTCATTTCTTGCAAAGAACTCTCGTATCTAGAACCACATATTTACTATTCTCTGGCGCCTTTCAGAGCGTGGACCCCACGTCCTGCCCCAAGGGAGAGCCCAAATGCGGACCTCAAACCTTCCAGAGCCTGATCTCCGCCAAAAAGCCGCGCAAATTGGAGGAATCATCGGTTCGGACGGTTGTTGAGGCGCTGTACAAGTCCGCTCCGACTCTTCGTTCCGTCATGGATCAGGAGGCAATGACCAAGCAGGTCATGGAGCATGCCCTGTCGTCTTAAAATGAATGTAATATGAGTTGCATTTTTTTTCTTTGTCACCCTGTAATAAAGACAAAAAGAATTCTTTGTTTTACACGCGATGATGCACAAAATGAGCTATTTTATCCACCATCCTTCTTTAACCACGGTATTTTTTCTTATCCAGTTTCCACGAATAAAACGTAAAGCTGGTAACCGTCTTCCTATGCTCGTAAATAAAAGATGTCTCCCGTCTGTCAGTGGTCGTACTAATCCTGGTGATAGGAAGCAAATTCATCAGTAACTCCGTTGCCGCCCCGGCATAATCGCATACGTATTTTTGAAACCGCACTTCCACTTCTGTTTTGACGTTAGAGAAATGTGCGATTTGCTGGACATGTGATACAATCCGACAGAACTCGTCGAGGCAAGGCTGAAAAACGAAGAGATTTAATGTTGTAGACAGCCTTAGCTAGGCCTGTTTTCAACGCTCACTTCGTCCAAAAACCCGTTCCGAACACAGGTCTGCCCACATCCCAATTGATGAAGTGTTTGATCAAAGATCAGCCTTAGGAGTTTGAGGCGCGGACAGCACTTTGGTATCTCGTTCAGGGCGGCCTCGTACTGACCTGGGATTATATCTTCTTTATGACAAACCGAGGTCTCCAGAATTTCGATTTGCGGCTGGACGGGATATCTACAACCACTGCTTGAATACATCAATCGTTGGGTATGAATGGACCTTCGTTCCAATAAATCAACTTACCGTCCTTGATGAAAAAATGTAATCGGAAAAACCTCAGTGCAGATGAGTTCCCTAGCTCTGATTCTAAACATAGGGCTGTCTAAAGGCTAAAATTATTTGTCCATTTTGCTTACCGTATAAATTTGAATTAAACCACGGCTCAATGACTTCAAGTCTTTCTAAGGCAACGTCGTCAAGGTATGGAAGGTCTTCAACGCAGCAAGTTGCTTCGGTCAAATATGGAGCTATTTTGCATACGAAAGGCAGTAACTGTCGATAAACTTCAGGGTATTCACCAGTATATGGCTGTTCTGTTCTATTTAAGATCAGTTTTGACGACGGAAATAGGTCTAAAGCTACGTTGTAGGTTCTTAAAGACATCTTATTGTTGTTGTGAGTGTATTTTTTTACATATTGCTTACTTCTGATTAGAAGCGGAATTCTTTCCGCCATTTTAGTAGTAACCCACGGTATTGTCTTAAATGAAAGGCTCAAATGAATGTGAAATTCATGGTTTGGGTTCATAGCGAAGATGTTTCTAATGCCCACGAGATTGATTGCCATGCAGTCGTAGTTTGCCACAAACACCGATAATTCCTCTTTTTTTTCAACATCAGAAATGAAGCTCAAGGTCACTGCGGTTTGCCATAGATCGTCGTAAAAAACTGCAATGAAAATTTTTTTGGGATAGTACCAGACTTCCCAACGCCCCAACTTACGGGCGTTAGCACGGCTTGATTCTGTAAACGAAAGCCTTGGACATCTTAGCTCGTACACCTCACGGATCACTGTGGCATATCTTTTGTTTACTAACTAAAAAACAAAGCCCGTTGCGGCTGTGCTTCACAGTTACTTACGCTGAGTTTGACGACATTTTGCCCATCTGTTTGGCCATAAAAGCAGATAAACGTCTCTAACGAAGAGTTGACCAGCATTTCCGTCGTTTCAGGGATGAAGAAATAAGATCGCACCGGTCGTTCCGAAGCGAAACGTTAAAAACGCTTTCCTCAATTTTTTTTGAAAAAATAGAATGGAAAAAATGAGGCCGACATGAGAAAAAAAGCTCGGGAAAGCAAATTTAGCGTCTTTTTCAAAATTTGAAAACCGGTCTTATTTCTTCACTTTTATATGTTGAAAAGTGTTCAAATACCCACCGGACTCTCTATTACAGAGCCATGAAATCTCCAGAATTTTTCATAAACGGTCAAAAAGAAAACAAACTATCTTTTAGTAGGATATGACTCACGAAGAAACGTTGTTCCTCATTGTTTGGCAAAAGACCAGAAAAAAATAAATGGAGAGTTCAAAATGATCACGTAAATGATCAGACGCGTCTAGACGTTCGTTTTTGTTAAACAAGGTGACTAAATTGGTGTGTTTAATGTTTTCCTCACATCCTGTAGCTTGTTGTAGCTAAAGCGGAATGTGAAATGTCATACAAAACAATGTATTTTAACGGTTTTATTTTTTGCATTTGCTGAAAATACAACATTTAAACTCTACACTATCAAATTAGCAATTTTTATTCTTTATTCTATGTGTCCGAACATTCGGATCCTAACTTTGGTCTTGTTGCACGTATAAAATACAAATCGTTCCATGCGCTCACCTACACCTTCCACTGTATGCTCCTTTATTTTGCTGCCAACCAAAAGCTCGGAGAAGAGCTCCGCACTGGCCTCAACATAATGGTGAGTACACATGTCTACTACAAAATCCAGCTTTGTTTTGACATGAGAGTGTCGACAGACTTCGCTAATATGCCAAACAGTTTCCTCGATTTCTTTGATGTGGAACTGAAATTAATTTTTATCAAAAATCATAGTGCTTCAAACATTTCCCTTGTTTCCGCTTCCAAATGCAATCAAAAACCCATATTTCGTCACGGATTTGCAATACACGGTGGGGCATCTTTGTGGCCCGATTTGAATTGGCTATAACTTCTAGTTTTTGGCCAAATCTTAAAATTCTTTTTTCCCTGAATCCTCAGACAAACCAAAAGGTGAAATTCCACATACCTCCGTCAACTTTAGATTGACTCGATATGTCGGATTCATGGCTTCCTGATCCTCTATTACAAACAGATCTTTGAGTTTTGTAGTTACGTTATTACATTTTAGAAGTTTCAAGTTGGGCAAACAGCTTGAAATCTCCTTGAAGATATCTGGATAAAAGATGGAACATTGATCCTTTTCGAGGTCAAGTTTACACATCAAGCTCTCGGCTTTGGTTTGGACTGGATAGCTGAAATATGGAGATTCATGATGTAAAATAACGGCCCATCATCAGTAGAAAGACCAATTTACCTTCCATGTAAAAATTTGTCCAATGGAAACTTAGTGCCAAAGACTAGTTCATCCGCTTTCACGGAGAAAAGTGAAGGATAAACTGTAAAAACCATTGTCATACATCTATAAAAACTCCAGAACTTACAACACGGTCTTGGAATCCAAAATCGGGAAAGTTTGAGGACATGCAAATCGGCCGCTCCAAGAAGCTGTAGCTCTCGGGGACAGCACTCAACATTCCGCAGAACCGGGACCATCTCCAAAATAAACGGTATCATCTGATGGTATGATGTGGTCAGTGAAGCATAGGATGAGAGAGTGAATTTGACGTGGGGAAAGAATTCTGCATGTATCTGTTATTTCCAAAGGAGAGAGTACGTGAAATGCGGATAGAGGTCGGCGGGAAAACCATCTTTTGTTTATATCTTTGCCAATTGCAGGAATTTTGAAAGCTCATAGAAGCCATTAAACAGTCAAAATCTTTACGGAATTGTTTCGTTATACGGAGGTGTTTCATCCTAAAATCCATCTTGGGTCTTAAATCAAATCGTTTTTTACAGACTAGGGCTCGAGACTAACGCAGACTGCTCTCGGTCAGCTTCTTACGTAAAGGCATTTTGCGCACGATTCGGTCCATTCTTGAAGCTCAACTGTGTTAGAAAGTCGACTATGTGGAGTTTTGGTCTTCCACGAAATTGTTCGTTCTAGACAGGTTTTATTGTATATTAACGTTTGTTGTACACAGGTTACTGCTTTCCCCCACTGTGATTGCCTCAAACTATTTACCTTTTAAAATTCTTCCAGTTTTTACAGCTACCCTCTCTTTAAACCATGGAATGAGAAAGTCGGAATTGTAAGTGCAAATAACAAATGGAAACTTGGTTTTGTAATAAAACAACAGTTTTAAACAAACAATTGCCGTCATCAGTTCGCCTACGCTGGTAACGTGATGTAGTGTGGTTTGCCAACGATGCCTTGAGCGCACAAATACATAAAGGATTGTTGTGTCTGGAAGATACAAATTGTAAATGTTTGACAACCCACTCGCACCATTGTTGAAATTGCACTCAAAGCCGAACTCAATTGACATAATATCCCTTTGAGAAGCAACAGCGCGAGCAAGTTGACGGCTTATTAGCTGAAAAAAACAAGCTGCTTATGGCCCGAGAAAAATTTTTAGCTCCCGCTTTGCAGGCGTAGCCGAGCTATTCAACGGGCTTTGCGGCGAAGAGAGTACTAGAAATGTTTCATCAAAGTCACGCTAAAATCTGAGTGTCACACTTAAAATACTCCAGCTGTAAGTCAAATGCCAAATTAGGCCCAACCTTTCTACTTTTCTGCAATCTCATAGTCACACCTAGTGCTGTCTATGCATCTTGTATGTACAGTTAACGACTGTATACATTTTTACCAGTAAAGCACGAGCTAAGATTTTAAATCTTCAATTTTTTATCCTGTCGCATTTTATACATACATATCCGAGTTTTTAAGAATGCATAAAAAACTCACACACAATGTTAACACTTTATCTTCGTTCTGATTTTTGTAGAATCGAACAAATACATATAGAATTGAGGTTCTCAATTTGCCACCCGCCATGTTGTAGATAGCCCGGAAAGAAGAGTATGTTTAGCTATGAAATTTCACATTAGATAAAAAGCAAACCCTCAAAAAGAACCGAATGAGAAAGCAGAACGTTTAATATTTTTCTTGTCAGCTGAACCCCAAATTGTAGTCTTATATCACGTTATGCCGGCGAATGAGGGAGTGGACGGATGAATCATACCATTACTGTTTATGACTGAGATTTTTTGGTGATTTTCTGTAGGGAACTGGGACGATTGGGGAAAAAGACGATTGGGGAAAGGGACGATTGGGGAAAAAGACGATTGGGGAAAAGTACGATTGGGGAAACCGAAAAGTATTATTTTCTTCGATGCAGATGTCGAAATTAGGATAATCGAAGGTGCTGATTTCGAAAATGACATTAATTTTTTTGGATTGTAACTTTTTTTCTTAAGTAGTACTGTAAAGTAGTAATTTTTTGAATTTTTATCATAAATACTCGATTTAGGGGTTTTCGAGGGTGCTGATTTCGAAAATCGTGTTAGCTTTCTTCTTTATAGTACTATCTGGTACTACATAGTACGAGGTGAAAATATGGCTTTTGGCGTTAATGGTGTTGTTTTGATGCTTGATACTCCTCAAAAACACTTTTTAAATAACTGGTACTGTTTAGTACTGTTTGGTACTATGTAGTACAAAGTGAAAATAGGAGTACTAAGGAACAGAACAACAACCCCTAAAGGCCAAATTTTTACCTTGTACTACATAGTACCAGACAGTACTAAACAGTACCAATTATTTAAAACGTGTTTTTGAGGAGTACCAAGCATCAAAACAACACCATTAACGCCAAAAGCTATATCTATATATATTTTCACCTCGTACTATATAGTACCAGATAGTACTATAAAGAAGAAAGCTAACATGATTTTCGAAATCAGCACCCTCGAAAACCCCTAAATCGAGTATTTACGATAAAAATTCAAAAAATTACTACTTTACACTACTACTTAAGAAAAAAAGTTACAACCAAAAAAAATTAATGTCATTTTCGAAATCAGCACCCTCGATTATCCTAATTTCGACATTTGCATCCAAGAAAATAATACTTTTCGGTTTCCCCAATCGTACTTTTCCCCAATCGTCTTTTTCCCCAATCGTCCCTTTCCCCAATCGTCTTTTTCCCCAATCGTCCAACTCCGTTTCTGTAGGGTGTTGGTGACCGATGCTAATAGTATTTTTGCTGGCTGAATGATCAATCACTTTTCAGGAAGCCTGCAAAGATTCTGATCACTTTCAAAATTTGTCAACCACTGTGTTTCACCAAGGCAGAAATTCAAATTTACAAGATAAATTTTCCGAATAATTTATTTCTCAGCCTTCTCATGGAATTGGAGAGAAGCCTGGGGAGAGAGTTAGCTTAGCCAACGTATTATTCTTCTGATATGTGACGTGTTTCTGCGTGGATTCCATTTCGGAATTGTATGAGCTCTCGCAGACACTACTTCCCGGCAACAACCTCGAGAACATATCCGCACACGCGTCGACATAGGCTTGATGATAGAACTCGAACAAGACTTCGATTTCGGTCTCAAGATGCGATAGTCGAGCGATCTCTCGGATGTGCCATGAAGCCAGCTCTATAGCCTCCGTATAAGGCTATAAAACATTCATTAGAATCAAAGATCCTATCTCTTTCTTACTTTTGAAACATTTCCACGACGAATGGCCACATGATCATCGTTATCCCCAACTTCGACCACAAAATCAAGTTGGTTGCATTTCAGAAGCCTTAGATTTGGAAGGCATTGTGAGATCTCTCCAAAGATGTCCTCGTAGAGACCTGGAGATTTTTTCATTCGTAAATTTACGTCGCAAACAAACACTTGAGTTGTAGGTTGAATTGGGAAACTAAAAATAAATGTTGCTCGTTTGAAACACCACTCACCTTCCATTCGTGAAATAATCCAAAGGAAAGACATGTCCACACACAAATTCCCTCGCTTTTACATGGAATAATTCCGGGTAATCTGGAAAAAAACGTCATCAAAAAAGCTTCGTAAACTTACACCAAGCAGTCCGCCGAATAAAATTCCAATCGTCGACGATATTCAGAGTATTGAGGTGGGCATTTCGAAGTAAATGAAGCACATTTGGACTGCATCGAACATTAGTCAAAACAGGGGCCAACTCGGCGATCAATGGGTAAAACTGTTTGAAGGTAGGGTACATTGCAGTTGTCTCCAGCTTGAAAGAGGCAGAAGGGAAAAAGGCTGAAAATAAGCGAATATAAGGAAAAGTTTTCTGTTTTCGTTCTTAAATCTTACAATTAGTTCATGCTTTCCACGTGCATCAGTGATGCGAAAGAGCGCTTTCTTCCCGCAACGCAATCCTTTTCAAAAAATTTTTGCACTGTGCAATTGTCTCAAATTTCGCGGCGGCGCAATGGAAAAAAGCTTGCGTCGCAGCGATTTTGTTTGAAAAATCAAATGCACCGTGCAGTTGACCTTTTTTCTTGCACAGTGCGCCATGTCCAGGCACTCCCGTCCGGAAAGTCGCCGGACTGAAATCGGCGACACGCACTGTGAGAAAACCAAATGTGACTTTGCACTGTGCATTTCCTTGTTTTTTGCAAGAAATTGATTTTTGGCGCTTGCACTGTGCGAAAAAATTGTTTTCGCACAGTGCGTGTCGACGATTAGATCAAAATATTGGCTAAGATTTTCTTATTCGACGCAAAAAATAACCTTTGGGAAAACAGCGGGAATCGTAGCCTCAACAAATCTTAAAATTTTCAAAATAAAAATTTCAAAAAAATTTAATCAAAATATCTTATTGACCATGGCAAATCTTGAAATGGGAAACCAGACGAGAACTTCATCATTTACAAAGTAAAATAGCCACAACCTACCCTTCAAAATCCTCGCCGATCTCGCTGCAATCTTCGCCGAGAACCATGGCATCAACGTGTTAGACGTGTAGATACTGATAGCCACGACAAGCTCTGGTTTCTTCAAAAACAGTCGTCTTACACTGAACATTGCAATCAAAAACTCCGCATAGCTTTGAATGTAATGTTCGGTGGTTTTGGTCGGATCATTGGATATGAGCCAGACTTTCATCAGAGTGCTATCTGAAAAAATTATATGCGTATTCCGACATTAATCCAAGTACAATCAACGAAATTTTTAAAAACTGACCTTCGGGGTCAATAATCCGCGAAAATACACTTAATTCAATCCTTCTGAGATCTTGGTGAGATGCTGAACCCACGGCATAACGATTATTTACAAGCTGAAACAGTCAAAACATTAGCTTTTTCAAACACCCGAGGTGAAAAATAAAAAATATTAACTTACACTCAACAATAATAAGTTACTCTCTTTTTCATCGATGCAGAATTGAATAAAAGATGAAAGAGCTGAATATTTCAGTTGTCTACCCGTCATAAATTGATCTGAAAATATTGTTTTAGAGAGATTTGCGGAATAAAAAAAAACTAAAATTGAAATTTTCGAAGAAAAAATTAGTTTTTCATTAAAAAAATCAATGGAAATACACAAAACCGGGCACAAAACTACAATAAAAGTATATTTCATCAATCCATTCTGTCCAAAATACCCTGTAATCCAGCTAAAATTGTCAAAATCTCCGCAAAATTGTCAAAAAGAAATAATTTTTTTTATTAAAAGCCCAACTTGACCCGAGCGAAGAATGGGAAAAGTCTTTCTCTACCCCGAATTTTGCTCCTTTTACAGCCAATGACTTATCTCGCAGGAAATCCGCTCTAGAATAGACTTATAAACGTATTTAGCCCACAGGAAGTTGCCGTGTTTCGTGAGGTTTGGCCGCTAGAGATTTTTATAACTTGTAGGAAATATTATGATTTCATAGCTGGAGATTAGAGAAAACTAAGCGTGGGATAAATGAAAAGATGGCATTAAGATTTGGGACTAAATAAAATGACTTTGGGACCTCCGAAATTGATTGTCATAGACAGGTTTCGTTGTACGGGAGAGTACTATACACAGGGTCCTGTGGGCAAAAAAAAATTATTGTCTTCAACAGGGTTAATTTATTGTGAATTTAACAGCTACTGTCAACAACAGTATCCAATGAGGTAATGCAAACTTTCTGATGCAATATTTTACAGCATAATCACCAGGTTTATCCGAACACGGTCATCATCAAAGTAGATCTGCTTGATAAATCGGTCTGTTTCTCGATCATATTCGCTTTCAAAGCATCGAATTTTTGGGATCAACGAGAAAAATAGTTCGGCACATGATTCCATGTAAAAGGTACAGGAGACTTCAAAGGTTATGTTGATAAAAGTGCGAATATGAGCATGTTCAATGATCTGTCGAAGATGCCAGGCGGCTTTGGTCACGGCGCGAATGTACGGCTGAAAAATAAGAGCTAATTTGTGAGGAATAGCGTCAAAATATATTAGAAGGCTTAGAAAGAAATCGCATTCTTTTATATGCGATATATACAGATATGCGATATTGTCTTGTTACACCATATAAATAGCAAAAAAATAGAGTTAAACGGATACGATTTTTCTGTAGCCCACCTCTGACATTTTTTGGACTCGATATCCAAAATGATCCTCAGGGTTTGTTGTGCGAATATATATATCGACATCCGTTATAGTCAAGTGTTCCAAATTGGGCAAACATCTGTGCATCTCCCGAAAAATCTCTGTGTAAAATGGCTCTGCAGTCTGATCAATATCGGGCTCCAAGCTGCAGGACAATATTTTTGTTGCCTCTTGAATTGGAAGACTGAAACAGACAAGGGTCATTCTCAAAGCGAGTATTGTTTAATAAAACCTACTGTGTACTGTGGAACAAGTGGATTGGCAAGCATTTTCCTGCGATAATCTTTTTTGTTTTGATAAATAACAGCATTGGAAGATCTAAAATTTCGAATTCAGCGGTTTATAACTTGTGAATAGGTTTACAGAGCTGTGGGTCCTCTTCTTCTTCCCAATCATGGCTAATGTCAATGTGCTCTAGTTGAATACCGTCGAACCATCGAAGGTCACGAACGCTACAGGTGGCGGACTTTGTGCTTGCAAGGAGCTGGTCAAGACCTGGGAGCATGTTGTCCCGAATGACGTTCACCATTTCCTAGGGATTAGACTGAGAACCAACAAGTAAACTTTATTTTTTTATTATCGGATAAACGGCTCCGATCTATGCAGAGAAAACAAATATTCGAACGCTTTTAAAACGGCGATGCACTGGCCAAACGCAGGGCTAGTCAGGGTTCACATAGTAAATTTTGATTTCTTTCAGAAAGGCTACAAAAAACATCCGTGATTTTGCTAAACCAAGTTCAGGGATACGTCTACGCTGGTACCAGAGACCAGGGGCATAAAAATTAAAAAAGAGCCGGAGGCAATAATATTTTTCCCGTACAATCTCTCGATCGAATAAACAAAGACTTTCGAGGAAAAGAGACCTCAAGGCTTTTCCTCTTTTTTCTTTTGAACCGAGAAAAGCGCTGGACATTGGTCACTCTAAAAGAGCCCTCGAGGGAAAAAGAGGCCGCGGATTTTAATTTCAAATACAATTTAGATTTTTTTCGCTTTGACGTGCAAAATCTTCTGCACTGAAAGCACAGGTTAAAGTCTTAAATCATTCTTTAAGTAAATTTCAGCCAACTTGGGTCTGTGTCTTTGGTAATCTTGTTTAAAAATTGCCGCCATCTTTTTTCGTTTCCATAAATTATCAGACTTGCCATCAATTTGGACTACATTTCTGTAAAGAGGAGAAGTTTCGAATCCTTCGATTTAACTCATGCTGGGCTGGTAAGTCAAAAGAAAAAAAAGACATACTCACAAGACAATATACTCTCAAGCACAATTTCGGATGCTTTTGCAATTACGTAAATTAGTGTAGAGGTGAATTTTACCACGTTTACCAAGTTTCATAGATTGTTTAAAGCGCTCAGAATGTCAGTGATGTCTGACTCAAAAGCCTCGGAAGTGACACGTTTTTTGTGAATCTGTGCTTGAAAATAGCAGTTTCAAATGTTTCTCTTGATAGTTTGCGAAAAAAAGAGCATACAGGTTTACTTCGTGTTCAAAAATATAGATCAGAGTTGCACAAAAAAAATAAATATTTGGTCATTTACATCACGCGTCATCCAAAGCTCCAGCCTCTGTTGCCTGGAAGATCTCGATGTGAAAATTCCTCTTCTCCGTAGAATGCCAAAAAGTTCCGCTGATAAATCCATCCGCATCATCAGGATACCCACGTGTCTCAAAGTCCGGCAAAGCTTTCATCAAGAGTTTTGTCACCTTTTCGTATTGATTGCCGGCTTCAAATCTGATCAGAATCTCGGCTCGGATGTCGGCCGAATACGAAGTTCGGCCGAGCGCTTTGTTGACGTTAGCCGCAATTAACTCAACGGTCTTTTCAACAGCCTAAACAGTGTTCTATATTGATCTCGTGTGGCTTACAGTATTCTTGGTCACATAGACATAATCACACAGATCACAGTTTTTTAGGTTGGGGAAGGTTCTTGCAATATTGCTGAACGTTTTCTCGATGAAATCAGCCTTCTCATTTTCCAAGGGGATCTTGCACTCCAGAGATTCGGTCCGGGATTGAGGTGGATAGCTAAATCAGCGTTATATAGCACGTCTAGTAAGAACATTTTTGACAAGGGAAGCCTCTAGTCTCAATGCTCATATTTTCTATTAAACCTGGTAGCAATTTTCGACTAGGACTTTTGTTAAAATTTTTTAATTTTAGTTTTTGTGGCCAAACTATTCGAAAGTAGAGGATCTGCTTCAACTTCGGTATTAAGCTAGTTCCTCGTCTACAACCATGGCCTTCTCACCTTTTCTCATAGAACTCGGCCACAGACAGAGCACGGCACTCGATTTCCTTGGCATTGACCTCCAGCAAAGCTTGGATGTCTAAATAATTTTTGATGTACGCTGTTAGTCAGTATAGCACTTACTAGGAGTTTTTTCGTCGTCCCGAGCATTCAGGTTGAGCTGATCAACTTGAAATCCTTTGAGCATTGAAAGATTCTCCGCTCCGCAAGATACACGCTTTAAGTTTTTCCCAATTTGCTTCAAAAACGGTGCAAATTGCTCCATAGCGAGCGCATTGACATTTTCAGTGATACTGAGTAAAAATGGAATAGGTGAGTTGGATTCTGGAAAGTACTGGCTCGGATGCTTCTCATAAACCAATTATTTTAAGTCAAACTTGATTACCAGACAACAATTTTCCCGCTTTTTTCGCAGTTTCTGCTGTAAACCAGTCGATCTTCTTGCTGTATCCATCAATGTCCACTATCAGTTGTTTATCTACGTTCTCCAAAAGCCGGTTTAAAAATACAAAAGCCATCACCAAATCGGGCACACTCTTGATGCCATACGTGAATTCGGACGTTGGCGTGAGCTGAGAAACCAGCTTGAAAACTAAACAAAGATTGGTCATGGAATGATTCTAAGGTTTAATTTACCTGTTTCATGGTTATCTTTATCTTCAGTCACCTTCAAATAAGAGAATCCCTTAAAATTGAATATCTTTTGTATAATTGTTGGATCAGCTGTCTGAAAATAAACAGGTAAGAATTCTAATTTTTAATAGTTTATAATCTCGCAGTTGAAATCTCTATTCCTTACCTTGAACAGAAGATTGTTCTCAAAGTCATCCTTGTCATACTTTTCGGAGAAGCTTACAAAGCTATAAGACCTCAACTTGGAGTCAACTTTTTCCCAAATATCAGTCTTCATACTTTCGCAGTTGTCTTTCTCTTCATCCACTGACCGTTCCTCTTGCCGTTCCGGCTTTATGTATTCCTCTTCCTCCGTGCGGTCTTTGTTTCTTCGAGAAACACAAAAGCAGGGCATAATAATATGGAAAGAAATGAAAAAATAACCCGAATATTTGTTTCAAATATGGTTCTTTATGTACATTATCAAAATCATCGATTTTCATCCGCTGTTTGAGCAGACGATAAAGAAAAATGCAAGTCAAACAGGAATGAATCTTCAGTAAAGTAAAGGAACATGGAGGGGATTAAACTGCACCCTGTTGAAGGTTTATGAAAAAATCAAGATTTTTGGCAAATATGTGAACACAACATACTGGTCAAGAAGATTTTCTTTCCGCATCGTATCTCGGGAACCGCTGGGCCTAAAACCTCCAAATTCGGCATAGAAACATTCGGGGCAAAGTAACACCGTACCCAAAAAAAGGCCGTAGCGACCTCAGTTTGCACTTTAAAAGTTTGTTATTTCGTAGTCAAAAACTAATGTCTTTTAAAAATACATATTTCAAATACGAAGTCTCTGCGCCGCCTCCGCCGGAAGTTATAGCCACTTTCCTTCACGTTTTTTGTAAGACCCTGTATATACAACTTTGTACGTTCTGTCCCGCTGGCAAACTTTATCGATACAGAATAAACGAACCCAAATAAACAAATATTTATTATGCAATTGCCTCAACGTCAGCTACGCCGTCGGAGGCTCCCAGACTCCAGGTCGCAGCTCTTGGTAGAATTTGATGATCAAGACTTTCTTGTCTAATTCTCTCATCTCAAGAGTTTCCATCACATCATCGTCGCTATCCCTTTTTTTGATGCTTTTGCAATTACGTAAATTAGTGTAGAGGTGAATTTGGCCACGTTTACCAAGTTTCATAGATTGTTTAAAGCGCTCAGAATGTCAGTGATGTCTGACTCAAAAGCCTCGGAAGTGACACGTTTTTTTGTGAATCTGGGCTTGAAAATAGCGGTTTCAATAAGCGTTTCGTTTGATAGTTTGCGAGTAAAAGTAAGCATGGCTGCAAACCGGGCCAGCCCGGCCCGGCCCGGCCCGGGCCTGCGGGCCGGGCCTAAATCTCCAAGCCCGGCCCGGGCCCGGGCTTGTAAAATTTGGAAAGCCCGGCCCGGTTCGGCCCGGAAAATTTTTGTACTACGCTGGAAAGAAACAAAGCAGGAAATGAAAGGAAAATTCGCAAAATGTAAAAGATAATTTAGCAAAACATATACATAGTTCAATTGCCGCTTGACTATTTTTATAAATTACTAAGTCGCCATAAATTGTCTTACCATCTGGTTACAAAAAATCATAAAATTTTGTGTATAGTCACCCAAATTTTAGCAAAAATGTTTTATCACAGATCTTTTATTGAATTTGAAAAAACCTACAAGCGTATTGCGTATTTTTGAAAATTTTTCCTTTTGTTTTTTTTTGCCAGCGAATTAACTATGAGGTCGCACTTAAGAATTTCTGAATTTTTTTTTCAAATTGACTTGAAAATTATTTTTTCATTTGGGCGAGTGGTAAATAAGGTCATTTTACGTTCGCTATCAGCATTGTGTTCGAAAAAATGAAAAATTTTATCGAAAAAGCGTATTTTTTCCTTTTTTTCCGGGCAAAACTCAGATTTCATAAAAAACCGGGCCGGGCCTGAAAATCGAAGCCCGGGGTCGGGCCGAGAAATTAGTCGGCCCGGCCCGGGCCGGGAAATTTTGGAAAGCCCGGCCCGGAGCCATGCCTAAGTAAAAGAGCATACAGATTTATAATTCGTTTTCAAAAACATAGATCAGAGTTGCACAAAAAAATAAATATTTGGTCATTTACATCACGCGTCATCCAAAGCTCCAGCCTCTGTTTCCTGGATGACCTCGATGTGAACATTCTTCTTCTCCGTGTAATGTTGGAGTGTTCCCAAAATAAGCCCATTCGAATCATCAGGAGCCCCACTTGTCTCCAAGTCCGGCAACGCTTTCATCAAGAGTTTTGCCACCTTTTCGTATTGATTGCCGGCTTCAAATCTGATCAGAATCTCGGCTCGGATGTCGGCCAAATACGAAGTTCGGCCGAGCGCTTTGTTGACGTTAGCCGCAATTAATTCAACGGTCTTTTCAATAGCCTAAAAAGTGTCCTAACAAATTGATCTCGTGTGGCTTACAGTATTATGGGTCACATAGACTCGATCGGAAAGAACAAAGTTTTTTAGGTTGGGAAAGGTTCTTGCAATATTGCTGAACGTTTTCTCGAAGAAATCAGCCTTCTCATTTTCCAAGGGGATCTTGCACTCCAGAGATTCGGTCCGGGATTGAGGTGGATAGCTAAATCAGCGTTATATAGCACGTTTTGTAAGAACACTTTTGACAAGGGAAGCGTCTGGTCTCAACACTAACATTTTCTATTAAGTCTGCTAGAAATCTTCGCTTATGACTTCTGTTAACGTTTTGAAATTCGACAGTAAAAGATATGCTTTAATTTCGGTATTAAGCTAGTTCCTCATCTACAACCATGGCTTTCTTCTCACCTTTTCCCATAGAACTCGGCCATGGACAGAGCACGGCACTCGATTTCCTTGGCATTGACCTCCAGCAAAGCTTGGATGTCTAAACAATTTTTGGTGTACGCTAATAGTCAGAATAGCACTTACTAGGAGTTTTTTCGTCGTCCCGAGCATTCAGGTTGAGTTGATCAACTTGGTAACCTTTAAGCATCGAAAGGTTCTCCGCTCCACAAGATACACGCTTTAAGTTTTTCCCAATTTGCTTCAAAAACGGTGTAAATTGCTCCAAAGCAAGCTCATTGACATTTTCAGCGATACTGAGTGAAAATCGAATAGGTGAGTTGGATTCTGGAAGGTGTAATATTAGCTCGGCTACTTCTTACAGAGCAACAAATTTTAAGTCAAACTTTATTACCAGCTAACAATTTTCCCGCTTTCTCCGCGACTTCAGCTGTCAACCAGTCGATCTTCTTGCTGTATCCATCAATGTCCACCGTCAGTTGTTTATCTACTTTCTCCAAAAGTCGGTTTAAAAATACAAAAGCCATCACCAAATCGGGCACACTCTTGATGCCATACGTGAATTCGGACGTTGGCGTGAGCTGAGAAACTAGCTTGAAAACTAAACAAATGATTGGTCATAGAGTGATTTTAAGGTTTAATTTACCTGTTTCATGGTTATCTTTGTCTTCAGTCACCTTCAAATAAGAGTATCCCTTAAATTTGAATATTTTTTGGATAATTGACGGATCAGCTGTCTAAAAATAAACAGGTAAGAATTCAGATGCGTGACAGTTCATATTCTTGTAGTTTTCTATATTCCCTACCTTGAACAGCAATCTATATTCCCTACCTTGAACAGCAGATTGTTCTCAAAGTCATCCTTGGCATACTCCTTGGAGAAGTTTACAAAGCTATGAAACTCCAACTTGGAGTCAACTTTTTTCCAGGTATCAGTTTTCATACCTTCGCCGTTGTCTTTCTCCTCATCCACTGACCGTTCCTCTTGCCGTTCCGGCTTTAAATATTCCTCTTGCTCCGTGCGATCTTTGTGTTTTCTTGAAACACAAAAACAGCTCATAATAATACCCAACGAAATGAAAAAATAATCCGAATATTTGTTTCAAGTATGGTTCTTTATGTACATTATCAAAATCATCGATTTTCATCCGCTGTTTGAGCAGACGATAAAGAAAAATGCAAGCCAAGCAGGAATGGTTCTTCAGTAAAGTAAAGGAACTAGGAGAGGATTAAACTGCACCCTGTTGAAGGTTTATGAAAAAATCAAGATTTTTGGCAAATATGTATAATACTAGGCGCGACATAAAGTCCGTAGAATTTTGCACAGTGCATTCAACCCTTTTTTTCGCACACCGCGGCGATTCCCCGTTTTTGCACTAGCGACATGCACTTTTCGGCGATTGCACCCGCGACGTCGGCGAAAAAAATTCTACGGACTTTATGGCTCGACTAGTATACCTAGTATCTCGGGAACCGCTGGGCCTAGAACCTCCAAATTCGGCATAGAAACATTCTGGGACCAACTAAAACCATACCCAAAAAAATCATATCATTTGATGGACTTTTTTTGCAAAAGACAAAAAACGGGATGACAAAATTTTCTTTCTAAATACTTTGAAAAAACACGTTTGTAACTCATAAGCCAGTGGGCGCTAAGGCATGATTATGGTATCGTTGTGATTGCAAATAAGTCCTCTTCCGATTAGCGTCACAACTTTACAGGAGGTCTTTGTTTCTACGCCCTTGGCATCTGTTCATCGCCGCCTTGTCCATTTTCAGCCGAATCCAATCAGTATGGGGAGAAATTTTCTTCATGGTGTTTGCAGGGCTATTTTCTAGGTCTTAAAAACCGGTGCTTACCTAAGATCCAATCTTCAGACCAATATCTGTAATCTTGACATACGTTCATCCCCGCTTGCCAACTACGATGAAAACTTTATCGAAACAGAATAAAAGGATACAAATAAGCCAATATTACGCAGATGCACCAACGTCAGTTATTCCGGAAGACTCCCAGGCTCCAGGTCGCAGCTCTCGGTAGAGTTTGATAATCAAGACTTTCTTGTCCAATTCTCTCATCTCAAGAGTTTCCATCACGTCATCGTCGCTATCCCGGCACACGGGTGTACCGCTTTTTAATCCAGGCACCATCTTCTTCAAAATTCTGACAACATTTTCAAAATGGTGTCTGGCTTCAAAGAAAACGAGAATCTCGCTGTTTATTTCTGACTTCCATGGCGTTAATTCAAAGTTTTTGTTGATGTTTAATGCGATGAGTTCGACTTTTCTATCTACCGCCGTGTCTTTTCGTGTAATATCGATCTGGCAATGAAGAGAGATCTCTTTCAGTTGTGGAAAAGTCTTGGCGATATTTCCAAACACTTTTTCGAAGAATCTTATCTTTTCGGTGGCCAAGGGAATTTTGCATGTCAGGGCCTCGGTGCGCATTACTGGCGGATATCTGGAAAAATCTCAAAATACGTAAACTCCTAAGAAATATTCACCCTACTTTTTTTCGTAAAAATCGTTCAGAGAAAGTGAACATAACAAGAAGCTGATTTCCTTAGATTCCAGGGCAGACAAGTCATCAAGATCTGAAAAAATTAAATGCTATAGCCTGCAAAGGCAGCCTCAAAACAAATTTTCAATGGTTCAAAATATGTAATCAAGTATTCTTACCAAACTTTCCCTCATTTTCTCTACCATAAACCGATAAATAGTTGAGCTTAGCGCCCCGAAGCAGTGGCAAATACGCAACTCCACAGAACACAGTTTCTAAAAGATCCCGAAGTTGCTTTATGAACGGGCCGAACTGTATCAATTCCAGCTCACTGGTGTCTTGTGAGATGAACAATTTGAATTTAAACGGCAGGCCTGACTCTGAAAACGTGGAACTCCTTGACTAAAGAAACGATTTATAATACTTTACCCTTGATTATCCTGCCAGCCTTTTCAGCAACCTCAGTTGTGAACCATTCAATTTGATTTTGGTACGCATGGATATCAAGACTGATAGTTCTGAGGTCCTCCGAATTTTGTAGCATTCTGTTGACCATAACAAGAGCTATGATGAGATCTGGGACGTTGTTGATTTTGTAAACAAACTCGGAACCCTCAGAAAACTTTGACTTAACTTGGAAAACTGAAAAAAGTGCTATATTTTAGGGCTCTCTTGCGAATGCCTACTTGTTTGCTTTGTATCCTGCGACTCACTGATAGTAATTGAAGTACAACAGCGGAAACTGTAGGGTCTTGACATAATATTCGGATCAGCAATCTAAAGGAGTGATTTCAGTAGCAGAGAGACAGAGGACAACGTTTTCTACAGGACAAATTATAGTTTCAACCTAGACAGAATTTTGGGGCTTCGGTAGTTGAGCCCCCCACGAAAGGTAGTTCAAACCCCCACTGTTTTGCCCGTTTCACACCCCACATAATGAACAAATTAGAATAATACAAAAAATGTAAGTGGGGGCTTGATCTAAAACGTAGGGGGCTTCATCTAAAACGTAGGGGGCTTGTGCTGGACCATACAACTTGGATTAATTCTTTGAAATAAATTTTGGGATTTAGAATGGACGAGGGAGTTTGTACTGGGTCATGGGGGGCTAAACTGGACTGTACTACCTTAGCCCCATTTCGGGGCTAAGGTAATTTCTTTAATTTTGGGGAAGCTTAAGAGGGACGACACTAGAATAAACATATAGCGGTCTTACAGTGTTAGTCATACTTTGGATAAACCTTTTAAAAAACCGGTAACCCCTACCTTGGCCAGCAGGTTGTTCTCCGTCTCATCTTTTGCAAATACTTTTGCAAACCTTGCAAAAGCATACAGACTTGGATCGACCTTTTCCCATGGATCCACCTTCACTTCAACGTTGGGCTTCTCTTCATTTACCTGTCGCTTCATCAAATATTCTTCTTCCTTTCTACGGTCTTCATTTTTAGGGGAAAAACAAGAACAACTCATTTTTTAAATAAATTTAAGAAACAGTAAGAAATATTTGTTTCAACTGGGATTCCTTTATACCCTTTCTTGAATCCTTATATTTTTATTCATTGTTTGATCTGATGACAAGACAGAATTCGAAACAAACGATCGTAGAACTGTTAAAAAATAATCACGGAATTATTAGAAGCGGATTAAAACTGCACCTTCGTTTGTGGCTCATAATATTGTAAATGTATGCTTCAAATGACGAGTGAAAAGAACTGTGTCTGAAAGGCGACTCTCCTTTGTTGGGATTTACAGTAATCCTCATCGATCTTGCAGACAAAATACTGTGCAGAGCTTCCATAACGCCTTCGGGAAGTCGGAAAGATGCCTTCTTTTTCAACAAAGATGTCGGTAAAAAATATGTAAAGCAATTCTGCCCAGCCAAGGATAGCTATCTGCCTACCCCCCAGAGAAATGTCATCTCAGCTACGCCAGGTGTAAAATTAATGTATTTTGTATTCTCCAATTAAAGCAACACAATTCACAAACGCGGGCATAACCTATAATGAAACAGGAGCACTTGCCGTAACCCCATTAGCCAGCATGCAAACAGAATGTCACCACTTTAAAAGGAGGGCAAAATTTTTGTCACAAATGTTTATTATTTGATTCCGCTGCTACTGAGACAGATTTTGGCAGAATAGGGACGATTCAGGGAAAAAAAGGATTTTAAAATTTGGCCCAAAATTAAAGAAGTTATAGCCATCAAATCGGGCCACCAAATTGGTACACCCTGTATATTTTTCTATGAAATCTAACCTTTCTTAATTTTTTTGTAATGGTCAAGAATTTATCTTTCAGCCTGCTCCGCATCGCTCTCTCTCTCCCGCTTTTAACGCAAAATCACCTTTACTTTGTAGTTATCTTTCTGTTGACCACATCGAACCAAACTTCATCTAGTTGACTTTATCGAAAAAAAACTATGCTTTGATTTGTCTCTGACAAAAAAGTTAGTTGTTCCTGATTTAAAGAGAGCCTCACGCCAACTCTCTAGTTTCTCTTTTCAACTTTGCTCCGACTTTTTTCCCATTTACTGTTACGGTTAAAACTGTTTAAAGCTGGGTTCGAGCAACTTCCCTGTGCTGTAAACACTTTTTTTTGCTTGGTTTTATACTCTAGAGGATCTATCTTTGAAGATGTTGGGCCATAAACTGGACAAACGGATCGTGCCGTATTTTGTCAAATACATGATCGAAAAGCCCAATCTTTTTTGCTGCAGGCGATTGACAAGGCTCAGTGTAAGCTCGGGTAAAATTTTTTGGCCATCTCTGTGGTGAAATGAAGAAATGGCGATATATATTATATTTTTTCGGCATCGGAAAGAAAAATATTATTATAATATTTTGGTTGTAGATGATCAACGACAGGATGTGCGATGTGGCAAAATCACTGATAAAAACGGATACTTTGTTCTTCTCAAATAGCAATCAAGGAGTATCTGTTGGAACTAGTAAGTTTAAAAAGTAATAAAAATATGTAAATTTTTTATTTAAAAAAAAATCTCACAACTCTTGTCAGACACTGTCAAAAAATTTTTCGGCCCTTTTTTCAAAATATGCGGGTTTAAATTTCAGAGACCGAGAGAATCTACATTGACAGTTATAATGCATTTAAACTCAAAATGTTGTCATTGCACCGGCTACTCAAACACCGACAAGAACTCCATATTCGTATCCATATCGTAGCCAACATGCCATGCGAAGATGAGTTGGAGTTTTTTACGCCAGAAGTTGCGGAGGGTTGTGGCAGAATGTTTTTAGGTAAAGTAGATAACCTTTTAGAATATCGAATATTTATATGTATAATATTTACTAGTATTTTCATAAAGTGTATAGACATTTTTTCTCCTTGGCACAGTCCATGTTGGACTTTCTTTCCCACGTTTTTTTCGCACAGTGCAAACCTCAAAAAAAGTCCTTTAAGACTGTGCAAAATAGATGGCTTTTTGTGCACGGTGCGGACCGCGAAAAAAGTCCCCATAAACTTTATATGAAAATACTTGTGCTGTAATAGTCACTGTCAATAACAAAACTGCCGCTATGATTCATATATGATTACAAGATTACAGATTTCTTCCCCAATGCCTACTTCTCCGTCGACTTTGATGTGGAAGGATCCCCATTTATCGCAAAGAAAATTTTACCAATGATAGACATTATTGTGCCAAGGCTGAGGAAAATGAGGTGCACTCCCTGCCAGATGCCATGGTTTGAAGGGATTACCTTGGACCATCTTGAATTGTCCAGGAAAAAACGACGCGAAGGGTACTGTGGTCTGTGTAAGTACATAAAATCGATTATCCAAGTAAATACTGCGTATTTATGCATGTTTTCGGATGAATTCTGATTGAAAACTTTTCCAGGCATCTCACCTGTCTTCTTAATTAACGCACGAAGAATAACCTCTCACGAGCTGCTGGATTTCTCAAAGTTTCTGAACGATGAGTAAGTTCCCATACGTTTGACAAGGCGCATATACGATCGCCTTGAGATTATAAATAAATATGATTATCAGAAAATTCACAGTTGTAATTCCAGGCTACGCGTTCAACATAACCTTCAAGAGTTCAACTGTGCTATTGATCTTAGTAAAAGCGAAATAATAGGCCACTATTACGAAGTCTTCGGGGCAATTAAAGCATCTCTGCCCAATCTCGGACTTTTAAACTTGGTCGGTTGTGACGATACAGTCCGATGGAGAGATCCCAAACGGCGGAGGGACTACGAGCACGATTTGCATCATAAATTACAGAATGGACAGATGTCGGAGGTAAGCAACAGCGAATATATTGTCTATATGTGCATGGCGATCATTTTTTCAACTCAAATCTCACTTGGTAATTGCTCCTACCACATTGCCGGTTGTTAGATTTGCCATTGACGAAGACAAGATGTTCGACATCTTGATGCGGGAGGCAACAATAAACGGGCTTTAATCACACATTTTGGGAGAAAAACGCTTGCGCCTATAGCTGTATAAATTAGTGCCATTAAAGGGTTTAAGGTGATTTTAAGGGGGACAGCTAACAATAAATCTTATGAACAAGTTCTATGATAAAAAATCTTCATCTGATTTTGTGACAAGCCTACTTAAATTTCTCGTTAGATAAGGTTATAGTTAATATAGAGAGTTGACAAGAAATTTATTATATCTCGCTCACTCGCGCCAATAACAAAACTTGCTAACCCATGCCGTTCTTTCAGCCCTATCAGCAATCAATTTCCCGTCTTTGTTGGCACATTCAACAAATTGTTGAGTATTCTCACGTAAAGACAAACCTCTCGATCCAATTCCAAGTACGAAGTGACGATTATTTCAAAGCATCGCAACTCCTTTTCAAGGAGTTGTTGGAAGACATCCACATTGATTGCGAAAACGGGCACAAAGGCTTTGATTATCCAGGAACCAAGAAGACACTGCTCTTCAAAGGCCGAAATACAGAAGCTATCGTTGCTATTGAAGTTCTGCGATGAAATATTAGCCCATATTTTCAAATCTCTATTTGAATCTCATACTATACATATGATAATAAATATTGCAAATTGACACAGTTAAGTCTATTATCAGTCTGTCGGGAAAATAACGGCGGATTGTCGCAGCAAAATGTCTCGCCTCGCCGCTGTCGCGCACCAAATTCCAAGCCGCGGCTTGCAGTCGCAAAGCGATGATGGGCGATTCCGATGCGCGACGATCCGCCGTTATTTTCCCGACAGACTGATATGTAGAGTTACGTAGGCACATTTTTAACCCTGCTCTAATGTTTTTTGTTGATAGCAATTAGAGCAGTTTTCCGCTCACAAAAACAGTGAGTTCTCAGTTGACCTTCACTTGCAGAATTACCGCAAAATCTCGCACTCATGCGAATTTAAGTGCAAGCAGAGGGACAGCTACGTTTTCTTGACAAACCAAGCTTTCTGTTCCCTATGAAAACGCATTTAACGCATATTTTGCACTATAGCTATGGCAATCAAGTCCGTTAAAAAAAGATGATATTTTCTACCTTATAAAAATTTTATATGTACTTTAAAAGTAATCGTTTTCTTGCAGAAGGCTAAGAAAATCAGCGTGACTAATTTTAAAGTTTTTTTATCATCCCTGAAAATACGACTTTGCCATAACAAAGAGTTCTGTTCTAGTGGTCATAGCATGCCAATTTTGACCAAAACAAAATCTTGCACTACAAATAATCAATCTCTGATCTCACTTTAGTAGTCGAGAATATGTTTCTTACAAAGATCTAAACGTAAATTCGCTCAAATTAATGCCGTCAACCTTGATTTCCGTAGTGACCACATACGTATTCATTGGAGACAGATCCATCTGCTAAATATAGTTTGTAGTGGGTCTCTGCGAGTCACTTTATTAAATGCTGTAAACCAGAGTTCACGCCAGTCTTCTTTTCTTTTTCGTCGTGATCTTTTTGATGATAAACCTTTTGATGATAAACCTCTTTTTGATGATAAGGTTAATTCACGTATAGTGGCAATTTTTGAGGTTCATTTCATACTTTATATTTTAGATTGTTATCATGTCCAGAGCTCGATTGAACGAGGGTGTTCTTCCATGTTTCATCAAGTACATGATCGATAAGCCCCACTCTTTTTGCTGCCGAAGGCTGAATAGAATAAGCGTAAGTCACGTTGTCGCTCTTTTTTTACAAGATGGGTGCGAAGAGAGAACTTCCAGGGACGAAGTTGGTCATCTTTGAAGCCTCATAAAAACTGCTGTGTTAGGCCCTACCACACAAAACATATATCAATAGATAGCGTTTTCAAAGTTGTTTCTGACAATCTTAACAGAAATTTTAAAACCTTATTGTATCGGTCTGTCGGGAAAAAAACGGCGGATCGTCGCGCCTCGGAATCGCCCATCATCGCTTTGCGACTGCAAGCCGCGGCTTGGGATTTGGTGCGCGACAGCGGCGAGGCGAGACATTTTGATGCGACGATCCGCCGTTATTTTTCCGACAGACTGATAACCTGTAAAAAATGCAAAACAAAAAAAAACGGCGGGGTCATGCTTCTAAACCTAATACGATCTTATTATAAAAGACAGGCAAATAATATTTCGAGCATTTAGAACGCATAAACAACTGTAAAAATATTAGTAATATATTCCTTGAGATACAAAAATTGTTATGTACAAAAAGCCTAATTTCAGATGCTCAACGAAAAATTCTGCGGTGTAGCCCGCGCCATGAGTAACTTTGACACTCTTTACTTCGCCAACAATAATTCAGGAGTGACGGTGGGAACTAGTAAGTAACATAGCGTAGAAATTAAGAAGTTCGTCAGGAAATGAGCGGATCTACATAGAAGGTTTCAATCTCCTCACACTGCACTTCCTTGCTCTACATCGGCTGTTGAAAAACGTCCGAGATCTCCGCATTGTCATTGATGTCATTGCCAACATGCCGGACGAAGATGAACTCGAGTTTTTTACGCCTGAAACCGCAAGCGCCGCTGGCGAAATGCTGAGAGGTGAAGCTATATAGATGACTTGCAAAATGACATTACAGATTTCTTTCCAAACGCTACATTTTCTGTCGCATTCGAAGCCGAAGGAAACCCACCGATTGCCAGGAAAATCATGCCCACACTGGACGTTGTTAGGCCCCGAATTCAACAAATCCAATGTTCACTCCGCCATATCGCATGGTTTGAGGGGTTCAGAGTCGACAAGGTTGAGATAATCAAAAAGCGGAGTTGCGAGGGTATCAACAGAGCCAGTAAGTGAGTTTGAGAATATTAAAATCTCACCTTCAGATTTACCGTTCATTCTCAAAATCGGAGCCCGCCAACTGCTGTCGCATGAAAACATTGCTTTGTCGATTTTCTTGGATACAGAGTAAGTAAGATAACAAATATGGGCAAACAGGGGAAGTACCCCAAGTGCGACGCCCAAACTTTGATGAAACTTGGCACAAATTTAGAATAATTTCTTTCTAAAATATATGCGAGAATCCTAGCTCGCGCTTTGCAGAAACAACCGAGATTTTTAAATCGAAAGTCGGCTAAAATTACACACTTTTTGCAGAATTTCGGCACGGAAAGTTTCATACCTTTTTCTAACGTAAAGTGTAATGTTTCTGCAAAAAATCATTTTTTTCCGCACAAAACTAGCGAAGTTATGGACGAAAAGTGTTTTTGTCTCTGACCGCTCTCCAATTTTAGCGTGCTCTCTCGGCGGCAAGGATAGTTTAATATCTCGGTGGCACTTGCATAGCGCGAACTAAAACTTTCAAGATTTTCAATTTTGTTCATGCCCGACGTCTGTCCAAAATTTAAAGGAAATCCTCCTGGCATATCCAACAATGAGCGTCGCACTTGAGGTACTTCCCTTGTAAATACAGCTGTAGAAAACAGACTCAACCAGCAAACCCAAGTAATCAACAAAAAATGTCGATTGTCCTCTTTTCAAAATTTCCTCAAAAATTGTTACTCTTCACTATTTACTTAACAATTTTTTTCAGCGTCCCAACACAACCTCACCTCCAGGAATTCGCATGTTTTGCTGATCTCTGCAAGGACCCTTTGCCATGCTATGACAATATTTTTAAAGCTCTCAACACGTCTCTTCCAAATCTACAACACTTGGAGCTCACCCACCGCAAGTGCGAAAATGGCCAAATGTTAAAGACAAATTGCACAGAGGCGATTTTTCATTTCTCTGCGAATATCCGGAAAATCATTGAAAGTTCTCACGTAAGGACAAGGATGTCTGTGAGGCTTCAAACACAAGGTGAAGAGCATTTTTCGACGGTTCGGAGGATGTTCAAGGACTTGTTGGTCGATTTATACGTTACTCGAGAAAATGGACATAAGGTGAATGACTATCGCGGCCTAAGGGAAAGCTTAACTTTTCAAGGGCAAAATTCGGAAGTTGTTATTGTAATAGAGCAAATTTGATTTGAATAAAAATATCTGTGAGCTGAGAAATGACTACAATTTGATTATAATAATAGGCTTTCTTTGAATAAAATCTCTAGTTTGTAAAAAAACAATGATATATAATGCAGTGGGGGACCTGATCCAGTGGCAAAAAACGTTTCATTTTGCGTCCGGGAAATGTCAAAAATGTGGCAAAATACCTCCCTTTCCAAGTGAAAAAAACTCCGATTTCAAAAGCTTGCCCACTCTGTTTTGTAAGGGAAAGGGCGCGCCTTTAAAAACAGAGTTTTTTTAGTTGGAGAGGGAGGCATTTTGCCACATTTTCGATACTTCCCAGATGCAAAATGGTACTTTTTTTGCCACTGGATCAGGTCCCCTACTGTACAAACTGTAACTCGCATATCTCTCAAATCCACCCTCAATATTGTTAACCCATCTAAACACACACAACAAATGTTAAAATCTAAAAACACATGACGTTTTGGAACACCACTTTTCTCTTTCAAACAGAAAGCAGTCGGAGAAAATGTAGTTTTTATTTTAGACCATGTTTTCTCTCTCTTTTTTCGCTTTATTTCTTTCGATCAAGGTTGCTAAGTAGTCGAAGAGTCTGTTGCTTTTTGTTAACAAACTTTTATACAGGTGATATATACTGATGTCGGCGGAAAAATTGAGAAGTTTACCTTTGGATTATTTTACCAGACATTATCGAGGGCCACCAAATGGATTCTTGTGTCGGAAAACGAGAAGATTGAGTGTAAGTGGCTGTATTTTTAAGTTTTTTTGTTCAACGTGCTCTACCGAATATATTCTTGTAATCTGTTGAAAAAAAGATTTTTAAATTTTTTGTTGTTGGTATGCGGAAGCTCCGAACGATCTATCAACTTTTGCCAAAAAAAATTATTCTTTTTTCCAAGCTTCCGAGGATTACAGTGGGGACCCGATCCAGTTTCAAAAAACGCACCATTTTGCATCCGGGAAGTTTCAAAAATGTGGCAAAATGCTTCCCTCTCCACGTGAAAAAAAAACTCTTCAAAAGCGCGCCCGCTTTTTTTGTGAAGGAAAGGCGCCCTTCAAAACTATGTTTTTTCACTTGGAGAGGGAGGCATTTTGCTACATTTTTGATGCTTCCCGGATGCAAAATGGTACGTTTTTTGCCACAGGATCCGTCACTGTATTTTGGCTTAAAATTGACTGTTCAGGCCTTTGCTCATTATGGATATAGGTCGTGTTGTAGGACACCTTTTTCACAGAGTTATACTGACTTCTGTTTACCATAGCCATCCTTTGCAATTGCCTATGGCCTTCCATTTATGCATCAATTAAAATAGGGCAAAAAATTTAAATTTATGATTAATAATTAATTCTGTTACCAACATCATTGCAAAATCTATTCCTGCCACTTTCAGCTATGCAGTCTTCGGACCTGCATCGCGGCCAGAAAACTTTTTAATAGCGAAAAAGTTTTATTTTGCAACAACGGAGAGGGTGTCTCGTTTGGATCATGTAAGTCTACCGCCAATATCTTCAACATTTTGATTGTAATTCCAGTATCCGAACGGATATACATCACAAATTTCAACGTTCTACGGCTAACCATAATCGGGCTTCATCGTCTTACGGCCGAGCAGAAGACTCTCCAATTCAACATGTTCATAATGGCGAATATGCCGGATGAAGATGAGCTGGACTTCTTCACACCAATCGTTGCGCAAGAATGCGGGCAGTTGCTGAAGAGTAAGCATTCGAAATTCATTTTACAACGCCTTCAGGGTTCTTCTCATTTGCCAGATTCTCCATTGAATTTGATGCCGAAGGAAATCCATTTGCTGCAATGAAGATCCTGCCCCTGATACAGGAGGTTATGCCATGTATCAAGCACGTGAAATGTTCGCCATGTCAGATTGCATGGTTTTCCGGAGCAGAGTTGGATACATTGCAAGTGGCAAGGAAGAGGAAACGAGAGGGATATTGTGGATTGAGTAGGTTGAAAAATTACGTACAAAGAAATGTTTGAAGGGCGACCCTCGGTTTTATTTGAATTTAGAACAGGCCAGACATCAACTGCCAAAAATTTTATATAGTTTTCCCTTTGCAAAGCTAACCGAGATATGATCTTTTGCTATTTTTTTTCTACAGCTCTTGCTTAATTCCCCATAGCAAGCCGGAGTTGGACGATTGGGGAAAAGAAATGAAATGATCTTATGTTATTTTCGAAATAAGCACCCTCAATTATCTAGCTTCGACATTTGCATCAAAAAAAGTAATACTAAAAAGTGTACTTTTCGGTTTCCCCAATCGTACTTTTCCCCAATCGTTCCTTTCCCCAATCGTCCCAGTTCCATAGCAAGCCCATACGGTCCTTAAATATTACTATTATTTATTACTATTAATACTATTATTTTCAGATGCCTCCTCTGTCTTCCAAGTCAAAGCGAAGAAACTAATCTCCGTGGAGCTCTTTTACCTCAATATGTTACTCGACGTTGAGTAAGTCCCCTTAAATATTTTTCAAAATTTTTACTACGAACTTTTTGACAGAGTTGAAAGACTAATGCCAAATTTGCAATGTCTGAATTTGACGCATTTTGATGGTACAGTCCGGTGGAAAGAGCCGAAAAGGATTAGAGATTATGAGAATGCACTTCACCACAAGTTTGTGAACAATGAGATGTCGGAGGTATGTGCCATTTTTTGAACCGTTTTAAAGGGTATACAGTATAAATTTGAAAGCCAGAATCCTGTTCAAATATTTATTTATTTTACGTTTAATTATTTTTAAGCGAAGATTTGTAAGCATTTTTTTGATATGAAAATTCTACTTTTTTGGCTCTCTTTTTTAATCATCTTTTCTAACCCACCCAGTTCCTGTCTTTCAATAATTCCAACCTTATTTTCCAGGGCTATCAAAATGCAATCCAACGACTCTCCTGGCACATCCAACAAATCATCGAACATTCTCACGTAAAAACCAAGTTATCAGTCCAATTCCATGTTCGCGATGAAAATTACTTTAAAGCGTCACTGGAACTTTTTAAAGATTTGTTGGTAGATTTCTACATTGGTCATCAAGAGAATGCAGAAGGGGACTTGAAATGTATGGCATTCAATGAGGTGTTATTGTTTGAAGGCCGAAATACAGAAGTGTCAGTTGCAGTGGATTTGATGCGATGACTGTAGTTTGATAAGCGCAGAGGAGAGTTCATAGATATTATATTTATCGTGTATATTTAATTGAAAAATGTAATAAAAGATATTTAATGGATTTTATACACTTTCTTTTGGCCATTACTTAAAACCTCTGTAAAACGCAACATCTTATAACAAATAATTTGAATAGCCCCAAGAGCCGTTTTTAGACCAAGATAAACTTCAGTACAATGAAGCCCTTTTGTAACAAGAATAATTTTTTATTGTTTGTGATTTCGAGGAGTTCTATGAGCTCTCATTCAAAGAGATCGAGAATGCTCTACCAAACTTGGAGCTGCTCACGTTGCGTTGTCATGTCACGGTCACATTTTTGGAAGTAATATTCTGCAGCATCATGGGTGAATAACGCTGCAACGTATTTACATGATTCTTATTTTTTAGCTAGTTTCCGAGAGAGCAAACCGCACTGTCGATCGTATTAAAAAAATTTCAAAATGTGCCAATTTCAAAGTGAGGGGAGAGCTGGAAGTCTGGATCCGTTCTCGAGCCATCTATTGGAAAACTTGCAATGGATTCTACAAGTTGTTCAGTGAGCTGAACGATCGTAATCTGAGTAATCTATCCTACAACAAAGCTGCACCGGCAAGGCAAATCGCATTTCAATACGGAAAACATTATTTTATCTACACTTTCAAGTTGGCACAGAGACCTTTCGTCGAGAAATATATAAGCTCAGAGAGTGAGTAGGAAAACTCAATTTTGTTGTTATTTTCTCCATTTAATAATAAAGTAATTGGCTGCAGACTTAACCAAATTTAACGCCGCTTTTGCTGGTTGTTATGCAATAGAAATGCGGCAGTCTTCTGCCTTGCAAGTGCAATAGAATGCTTTTAAACGCATTCGAATTTGTCGTAAGAAAAGAGCAGACATTTTTTGTGTGTGGGGGCCTGATTTTATGGCAATGAGATGTCAACTCCGATGTCAAGGCACATTCGCAAGAACTTGCTGGAGAAGAGAATCTACCTTTTAATCGACGACCAAGAAGATGAAAGAGGCATTAGTAAGTTAAATTCAACTTTCAGGGAAAGTGCTAAAAGTGCGATGCTGAAATTTTGATGACATTTGGAAAAATTTTCGACTAAAATAAAATGACCGCTCCCCGCGTTTCACGTACTCCCTACGCCGAAAAATTTGTTGAATATCTCGGCCGTCCTTGAAAAGCTAAAATCTTTCAGGAATTAATCTGTGGCCAATTCTTGAAATGTATCAAAAATTTAAAGAAAAATCTGAGCGTCGCACTTGAGATGTCTCCCTTGTTAGTCTTTTTTATCACTTTTCAGAAGCCCTTATGTCCTTTCCCTTCCTACCCGGCGAATCTGGAGCTTTTAATTATTTAGAATTCTCGCAGGGATTGGATCAGTTCCGCAAGATGCTCACCGAAAATCAGTACGATGAAGCGATCGTTACGGTTCTTTCATCAGTGGCTTCCATGACACCAACACGTTCCGGAGAGATCGGGAGGAGCCTTAAAGGTCGGGACTTTTATAAACTTCACTTATCGCCACATAACCTGCTGTCAAAAAAATTGAAATGCCATTTTTGCTTACGAGGGAAGTACCCCAAGTGCGACGTTGAGGTTTTGACGAAACCTGGCACAAATTTAAAATAATTTTTTCTAAAATGTATGCGTGAATCCTAGCTCGCGCTTTGCAGAAACAACCGAGATTTTTAGATCGAAAGTCGGCGAAAATTTAAGACTTTTTGCCGAATTTCGTCACGAAAAGTCTCATACCAATTTCTACCGCAAAAGGTAATGTTTATACAAAAAATCAAATTTTTCCGCACAAACTTAGCAAAGTTACGGTCAAAAAGTGCTTTTCTCTCTGACCGCTCTCCACGTTTAGTGTACTCTCTCGGCGGCAAAGATAGTTCAATATCTCGGTGGTGCTAGCAACAAATTTTTTTTTTTTTTTTTGCTAAAACTTTCAAGAATTGATCGCTAGTCTATGCCCAACGCGTGTGCAAAATTTAAAGAAAATTTGAGCGTCTCACTTGAGGAGAAAAAAATTATTGTTAGAGAAAAACTTGTTAGAGAAAAAAAATTTACAGAAGTGGTGCGTTTGGCCAACAAGTTCAGACTCCTCCTATTCCCGACTTTAATCAACTCAATCAGCGTTAAGCGCACACCGCTGCTTCGGGAGCTGGCCCCAGTGATTGACGCCATCCATTGCGAGCACCGTGATACGTCGCATCTGGAGGGGAGAACGATTGCGCATGTCACATTGTCAGAGCAAAGTGAGAACATTTCTGGATGTAGGTTTGGACCATATTTAGTTGATAATCGAATTTAGATGCGACGCCTATTTTCGAGTTGAAGACGAAAAGTTTGGCTGGGCTTTTCTTGGAGCAGTTCTTCATGAGCAAGTAAGAATTGTCACTTTTTTGAGTTAAAATCTTTCTTACAGTGAAGGACCTGATCCAATGGCAAAAAACGTGTCATTTTGCATCCGGGAAGTATCAAAAAATGTAGCAAAATGCTTCCCTCTCCAAGTGAAAAAACTTCGTTTTGAAGGGTGCGCCCTTTTCCCTTACAAAAAGAGCGGGCGGGCTTCTGAAATCGGAGTTTTTTCACTTGGAGAGGGAAGCATTTTGACACATTTGTGCTACTTCCCGGATGCAAAATGGTACGTTTTTTGCCACTGGACCGGGTCCCTCACTGTATGATTCCAGTTTCCCTCGACAGCCAGAGCTGATGGAACTTGCGTGCAAGGCAAGGTTTGGTTTTGAAATGCCACCGGAATTCTATAAAAATGTCTTCGACGAGATTGCTGGATCGCTTCCAAACTTGGTGTTCCTGCAGCTTGATGTGTTTGAAGACTGCCGAGTGCGGACGATGGTAAGTTTGTTCGTCACTCTTGAACTTGAACAAGTTCTTGAAGTCCGACTCGCATATTGATAAAGGATAGTGCAAATTTAAACTAGATTTTTCTACAAAGTATTCAAAAAATTTAACAGGCTTTTATGATAGGCCATGTTTAGGTTAAAAGTTGGATAAAACTCAACATTTTTTTGCGAGTTTGTGCAAAAAATTCCAATCTCTACCGAGGAGATCCGACTTTTCTTCCGGGATGTCGGCAGATCACAAACTTTATCGGAATTGGAGAAGATACGTACGGCCAATCGCTCTATGCAGTGACGATCTGATCCAGTAGCAATAAACGTACCATTTTGCATCCGGGAAGTATCAAAAAATGTGGCAAAATGCCTCCCTCTCCAACTGAAAAAGCTCCATTTTGAAGAGCACTTTTCCTCTCAAAAAGACGGGCTTTTGAAATCGGAGTTTTTTCATTTGGAGAGGGAGGTATTCTGCTACATTTTTTGATACTTTCCGAATGCAAAATGGAGCGTTTTTTGCCACTAGAGCAGGTCCGCCATTGTACCTGCTGCTGCAAAGTGAGAAGCAAATTTTTGAAAAATTGGCATCTAGACCATGCAAAAAGTTACAAAAAATCTGAGCGCGGTGCTCAAACCAAAGTTTACCGCAAATAAACATCTTGATTTCAGCGAGACGGCGGGGATATCATCTCCCATCTCTTGAAGATCAATGAATACGCCCATGTTCCGGTCGAAATACACATGAAGATCATGACTGACGCTAAGACGTGGTTGGCGATGTGCAATACAATGGCACATATCTTTGACTTCAAATCGGATCAGAGTGCCGATGGTGAGGCGATGTTCCATGCCGAACGGATGAAATTAAAATGCACTTTTCTTGACAGTGCGGATGCTTAAAGTGATCTCTTTTGTGCCCACGCTTAGTTTTGCAATTTACGATAAGAAGTAAAGATAAAGAAACGGGTGAATCAGCCGCTGTTAAACTCTTTTTTTGCGAATAAACTGCTCGAGGCGCGACGCACGTCAAACTGAGATAAGCTAAAACAGTCCGGTGAATGGATTGGCAATTTCTCAAAAAAGACGCGAAAAAACGTTTTGTCGGGAGAGAAATGGGGAATTTTTGGGGCGAGAGAGTACGCTTTTGCGTGTCTTTTTGCTCTCTTTCTCTGGAAATCAAGACGAAATGTAAAAAATCGATAGCGAAGAGTCTATTTCGGTCACCGGACTCCTCAGTTTGACGTGCGACGCTCTTTGTGTTTGGCTTGGCGTAATTTTTTTTTTACTAACTATCATGGAGATTTGGAGCCGGCGTTTTGCAGAAACAGCTGAGATTTCTAATTCAAAATTTAGATAAAATTTCTTTGTGAGCTTGTTTATAAAAAATGATGGCCTTATTTCAACTGACAGGGGAAGTACCCCAAAGTGCGACGCTCAGATTTTGACGAAACTTGGCACAAATTTAGAATACTTTTTTGTAAAATATATGCGAGAATCCTAGCCCGCGCTTTGTCGAAACAACTGAGATTTTTAGTTCGAAAGTTGGCGAAAATTTGACTCTTTTTGCCATATTTTGTCACGAAAAGTTTCATGCCTATTTCCACCAAGGCCACAGAGGGTAATGTTTCCACAAAAAATCTGTCTTTTCCGCGCTAAACTAGCTAAGTTATGGCCAAAAAGTGCGTTTCTCTGTGACCGCCCTCCACGTTTAGTGCACTTTCTCGGCGGCAAAAGTCGTTCAATATCTCGGCGGCGTCTGCAAAGCGCAAAAACTTTCTGAAACTGATATTTAGCCTATTCCCGACGTGTGTGCAAAATTTAAAGAAAATCTGAGCGTCGCACTTGGGGTACTTCTCTTGCACAAAGAGAAGAATTTTCCCTTAAAGACCGTCTTTTCCGGGCGAAATTATTGGGGTGAACCAAAAATTTTTTCCGATTTTTAAGTGTAGAAGAGATATTGCCAAAACCCCGTTCCATCTGACCGCTCTCCGCCCTCTGCGCACTCTCTTCTTGTCCAGGATCGTTGAATATCGGCGTCCGCAAAGCTGAGCATCGCACTTCAAACGCATCGATAAATGGCTGCAAAAAGTGTGGATACGCCTGCTCATAAATTGGCCTTTGTCGCCATCGCCTATGGTTATTATGACGAGCAAGATCCGATTAGTATGTCTGCAGAAACTTCGGACCTTAACTGAGTTTTAGCCACCAACTTCATCAGATCGAGGTTCAAAGACGAGGAGACGCACGGATCTGAAGATATATTCGAAGGCCTTGAGGTTTTTCGACAGGCGCTTATCGAGGAACCCCATGAAGAACTTTACGTCGAGATTGATTTGTCCGCGAATTTGGACTTGACGCAACAGGAGACACAAGAAATTGGGAGAGTCTTGAAAGGTATGTCATCCACAGGCTCTATAGATACCAGGGAGTATATTGAGTCTATAAGCCTAAGTTTTGTAATGGCTTTTTTTACAGAGGGAGACCTGATCCAGTGGCACAAAAACGTGCCATTTTGCGTCCGGGAAGTATCAAAAATGTAGCAAAATACCTCCCTCTCCAACTAAAAAAACTCTACCTCACAAAAACAGCGGACGCGCTTTTGAAATCCCAGTTTTTTCATTTGGAGAGGGAGATATTTTGCTACATTTTTGATACTTCCCTTATGCAAAATGGCACGTTTTTTGCCATTGGATGAGGTCCCCCACTGTACATCCTCTCAATGCCTTTAAAGAATTTCTTTGTTGCAGAACTGGCTGGCTACACATCAACAGTCTCACTCCAACTTCGATCAGGCAAGTCTTTGAAGTGGGGTGTTTTAAATTTTCTGGGAAGATACTATAAAGCATTTTATAGTAGAGGAAAAATTTTATACAGCGCTATAAATGAACATATTTTTCCACAAAAAGATACGAGATTTTCTGTCGATTTTCTGAAGCCCCACTTCAAAGTATATTTCAGGCCCAAGATGCTTTATAATGCCGATCCTGGAAGAGCTGATTCCCGTCGTCCCAGTCACAAAGGAACTGAATTGTTCCTTCAAACATTTGACATATTTTGAAGGCTGTTGTGTCAACATTGTAACCCTTAAGAAAGATTTTAAATCATCATGTAAGTGAGGGGCTTTATCCGTAGTGTTTTAGATGCGGCTCCTCTTTTCCAGGTGCTTGCTGATGAGCTGTTTCTTCGGCAAACTCAACTACACGATCTTTGCATTAGACTGTAAGTCTCCCAATTATTTAATAAGGGGCATTGCCGAGTTGCACAGGGCTGTCTTTAGCAGTAAAATTCAAAGTAATTTTTTAGATACCCAACGAAATGTGCGGCCAAGCGTTTGCGTTGCTTGGTGGACTTGTCTCGCGAACCAGTTGCGGGGTATTACCACGGAATTCTAGAGCAACTCTCCGTCATGATGCCGCATTTGGAGGAACTGACGCTTTCTTCATTAAGCGTCTATGCGACCACATCAGAGGTAAGACATAATAAATGCGTTTTTTATCTATTTGTCGGGGAAATAATGTGGATTTTTCGCGGCTTGAAATCGCCCATTGTCGCTTTGTGGCGACTGGCCGTAGCTGTGGATTTTTTGTGCGATTGCGGCTAGGTGAGACATCTTTTGCGATAAATACTAGTCACGCCATAAAGTCCTGACACATTTGTCGCGAGTGTCGCGCGAGAAAATTGAAGCGAGCTTGCGCGAAAGTGCATGTCGCTAGTGCAAAAACGGGGAATTGCCGAAAACAAAACCGCACTGTGCAAATGTGCCATGACTTTATGTGGCGACTATTACACATTATTTTCCCGACAGACCGGGGTTAAATTCGGCGATTGAAGCGGACTTGATCCAGTCGTCTTTGGTCAATAAATCGGGGGTCCGCCAAGCAGGTAGCTTTGTGATCTGCACTCCAAATAAACAAGGATTTTTTGGCTCTAAACATCAAGCTTCCCTTGTCAATAAAATCAATTTTCAGCAACTCGAAGCCCTGCTGGAGAAAATGCTTTTCAACGCCGATCAAATTGCTCAGCATTCGGCCCTTGTTATCAACCTGTCGATGCGGCTGTTCGCAGACAATCCTCTGAAATCCACTACAATCGAAAAAATCAAAAGTCGTTTGTCTCGGTTGAATGTGGAAATTCAGGAAGAAGAGGGGTTTTGTTTATTCACTGTCAAACTCAACACTACCACTTTTAAACTTTGGCTTAATTGGAGAGCACCAAACTATGATTTGGGCGTCTATCACCGTATTTGGGGGCATCCGTGGGAAGAGATGTGAAAAAATAAATTGTTTTGAATTGTTATATGTGCTGTATGTTTTCAACCTCTGGAGACTCGAAAAAAAACGATTGAAAATTTCGCAATTTCCAATAAAACATAATGCAAAAGAAGAAAAGGTCATGTGAGTCATCTGATCAAAAAACTGTTTCATTGATTTGTACTTGAAGTTACAATACTTTTACTTGAAATAAATTTGCATTAAAAGGTGTAACCCCATGACAGTATTTGTGTTTATTCAGAATGGCTTCGCAGCGGATATAAACCCATTTTGTTAGTTGTAAATATCCTCGGGGTTGATGCATAAGATCTTTTAGCTGAGGATTCAATCGACGTTGTGTTAAATAATGAAGAACCGCGCAGTTTCCTCGACATCCCCGAAGGGCTGGAGTATCTTGGCGAGACCTTATTGAAGGACAAATACAATGAGCTGAAAATATGCGTTTCATTTTTCTCACGGAATCGATGGACTCGAATATCTGCAAGAGATCTCGGGAAAGCGATGAAAGGTGGCTTAAAATCGCATTAGCTTTTTCCATCGACTTAACATATCTTGTTCAGAGCTTGCGACTCATGTGAAAACAGTCAGTTTGGACATCCGTTCCGTGCATTGTTCATACTCATCCGCCTCATTTCTGGAAGAGTTCGCGTCGTCGGTAACCCACCTAAAATGCAATTATCAAAGCCTAAAGTCGTTTGTCGGATGCCATCTAAACACTGTTGAGATTAAAAGTGAATTTGGTTTATCAGGATGTAAGTCACCAAGTCTCAAGCAACACAACGTGTATTTTAGACACAGCTCCTCTCTTCCGGCTGGACGTTAGCACGATAGTTCTTGGCCGATACATGAAATTGGAAGAGTTTTGCAGAGCCAGGTACATGGCAAATACATATAAATATTTTAAAGCTAGTGGCTTCACAAATTAGATTTCAGCCTTCCCAATCAATCCACCGTGAAACATCTCTCCTGTAGCATGAATCTTGAGACCAATGTGGCAAAAGAATATTACGAGGAGATTTTCCGATACCTTCCAGTCTTAATGCCCGACTTGGAAGAGGTGACGTTCAGGTGCTCTTATCGAAGCTTCGGCACTGATATGAGTGGTTCTCTCTGTTTTCGTGACATGATTGGAGGCTGATATTTTGGTGAAACCAGTTTAGATTATAATTTTCTGAGGCTTTGGTGAGGTTCTTAGCGCTTTGTAGGAACGTGGAAATTTATAAAAGATGTCGAAATTGATACGCGTTTTGGATGACATTGCAGCAATGCAAAAATTTGGCGCTACGTTTCATATGCGGTAAAAATTAAGCAAGAAAAAAGTCCATACTGTTTCCCTTTCCCTCGCTCTCTGTTGTAATTCTAATGGCGTTATATGCCCTAAAGGAAACCTGACAGTATGTATAATAATAATTGTAATCCAATTTCAGCCTATGGACACCTGGCTTTGCGGCATTCTTTCTCGTGCAAAACAGATCGATCAACTTGCATATATCCCCACCAACGTCTTTGTAATTGTAAAAACTATTCCTTTGATGAAAGGTTATGTCCTCTTTGCCTGTAAGCGGGCAATGGCACAGTGGGATTTAAAGCTGACAAAACTGCCAGATCAAGAAACAAAATCAACATTCACTTGCTCATTGGACAAGACCAAGCTAGAGCTGCAGTTTCAGTGGGCTGCAGATGAGCCCACGAGCAGTCAATCTCTGGATCTTGTAATCTTTGAAGATTTATAAATAAAAATGTGGCACAGTGGAACCTCTGTACTTCGGACGCATGTAAAGGGAGTCATATAAGTATAGAAAAATGTTTTTTTCTCGAATCGCGATTTTCAAAAAAAAATCTACGCCCAAATCAAAAAAATTTGGCGTCGACTTCAGCAATCAAAATAACCGATGTCAAATAATCGTTTACAAACACAAATACCAAAACAAGAAGCAAGTATCTAACATACTAAATCCGGATCTCTCGATCTCTGTTGTCGTTCCGGTGGGCGTGGTCATCGTTCTCCAACATACACTTCTGCACCATATAAGTGGTGAGGAGTAATTTTGGCGACTCCTCGTCCCATCGAAAACTCTTAGCGTCCATCTCCTCCCATCTCTCCATCACCATCACAATAACGACGTCATTTTCGTCTGGTCGTCTGGCGGTCCGCATGAATTGATCAAATCCCGTGACGATTGTTTCCTCCAGGTTTTCTTGTAATGCCAAACTGAGCCGATAGTGAGCAGGGATTTACGCGATCCCGGTAATCTCTGGTGAACACGATTCTCCATACCACTGCTCTTTTATTCAATACACATGGACGGTTATTGACATGAGAGTGCGTTGCCACCCCCTGGGGGTGGGGAATGCCACCCCCAGCCCAGGGACTCTTCCATGCCTCAAAGGATTGCAGCATTATTCTCCGAATTTACGACATGTATGTATTCGAATACCTCCATCAGTCTCCAGTGTGACAAATTGCACAAATTGTCAGGGACAATTACGCAATTCTAGCAGGAGGAATACGTTTGAATCGCGAATTATGCACTCAACTTGGCCACCTTCTGCCACACGTCTGGAACATCTTGTTTTGGTACTGATAAATTTATGAAAGCCTGCACTTGGCAAGGTTCCATATATCATATCTGCTTCATTGAACGTCCAACAGCAGTGAGCCATGATCCGGCATGATGGGCATTCTGTAAACAAAATTACTAAAGTACCCGTTGTAGTGTGCCATATATAGTATTACTATTATACGCTGAGTTTCCGCCGTGGAATTTAACCACGAAGATTTCGTCGAATTCTGGCAGATAATTACGGCCGTCGCTGAACCAAAGCTTGCATGGCATTGAAGGTGCAGTGTCAGCGACTGCTGGCAATCAAAGCATCCAGTCACCGACATTACGTCACAAACGCACTTCGAATGATGGACCAATAATGTGAAGTTTCGGTCGAGTGATAGGATAACCTCGGTAGGACGGTTGGTCTTGGCTGTTGGGCGTCCATTTTGTACTTCCAATAAAATGCCCTCCCGGGAGAAGGGGAAAGCAAAATCCTTCGATTCAAAGAGAGACAAGACATTTCACCACAATCACACTAAAAAATCGGGGCTTCAATGGCAAAGAGACGGTGGAAATTCGCATTTGAACTGACGGGCTGGTTGGGCAGAAGGAATCACCAAAACAAGAAGAATAAAATATCTTAGGGGGTATCCCTTAAGTAGTAACCAAAATATCCAATGTAATTTACTACCACATTTATTACGCTGTCCTAACAAATTGATCGAAACCCAGAGACACTTGCTCCTCCATATTTCCTTGAAGTACAAAAACCGCACGGTAATGAGCATCGTTGGGGTTTCCCGGTTACGTAATCACGTGTGAAAACTACTCTTGAAACAACTGCGCGGTGATCCTCTGTCCACGGGTGGAAATTCACGTGGAAATTTGTGGCAATTCCGTTTGGATGAGGGAGGCCAGCCATACCTTGTTCCCTGGATCCTGCCGTCCCACGCAAAACGCTTACGTTACTCTCCGAATTGATGACGTGCACATACTCCGAAAATTCAACAGTTGTCCCCACCGGCATTGTGATGTGGCTATTAGACTCTTTACGTTCGTACCAAATTGGATGAACTCAGGGGTTGTACCATACTGCTCTTCTCTTGTGGCACCCAAGGCAAATATTCCATTAGTTTACGTCTTGCTCCCCTTGTTTCTGTACCGATCATCTTACGAAACGGTGCATTCGGCAGTGCCGCATACACTTGTCGCATTCGTGGAACATCAAGTGGTCTCCCGCTGAATGTAGGCTCTCTCATCGTGTCCATTGTAAACTTGGTAAACACTGCTAATCCCGTCACAATCTTGGGCGCATTGCAAAGTCAGCCAAACGAATTTGCTGTTCTTCAATAATCTCAATCTGCGCCGTTCCGGCATCTCCATCGTCGAGTTCTTGATCATCCATGCGTTCCACAGGCTCCTGTGGATCGTCTTCCACATCTGGGCCTTCCACATCCCGGCCGACTTCAACATTTCCTTCTTCATTGACGGCTTCTTTCTCTTCCATCTCCGCTCTCACTGGGTTGTTGCCCATCATCCTTCGTTGATTGCTTATTTGTTTGAAAAAACTCTGTAATATCAACCCAACTCACCGTTTTCGCGCTTTAACAATAACCCAATTCGCGTCGTGACATAACCCGAATACAGTAATCCCCGCGATCCTCATGATACATTGTCATCTCTCGTATCTCATAATACAGTAATCCCCGCCATGTCTTCATGACGCCTTGTCATCTGTCGTATAACTTAACACAATCTATATATAACATCAATCCAACTCAAATGTCTACCGAATACCGTTACAACATTAATCTTGTACAACATAATACAGTATACCCATCCATAGTATCTCATAAAATTGTACCGTCACCCTCGGTAAATTATATGTAATCCCGATAAAAAAAATAAATGACCGTAAAACTGCTTCGTAAAAACTCATCTTCTTCGTCTTCGGATCGACGAGCGGTCAGCCCCCACAATTCCGCAAAAATGGCTATGTCAGCATTTTCTGATCGGTCCTGGCGCGTCTGTGCCAATAAAATATCTTATGGAAAATATATCACACGCATACAATATCTAATAGCATGCAAATATCTAACTGAACAAATCCGAATCTTTCGATCTCTGTTGTCGTTCCGGTGGGCGTGGTTAACTCAACCGTTCTTCCGATCTGCCCTAACGCTTCCTCCGTTTTTTCTGCCATCCAGCGTTTACTCTTCTTCCATCTTTCTTCTGTAGGCGGCTCCGTCTTTTGTGATGTCTCCTTGTTTAAATCTGCTTTTGTCTTCTTATTTTCGCGACCTTTACTTTCTGCGAAAATTGCCGCGTCTTTCGGCCAAGTGGCAATCGTCCTTTCGTTCACAAATAATAAATATTCAACACAGAAAAAATGGTTTGAATGTCACGAATGCACAACATCTCATCATTATATTATACATTACTGTATTCTACAGCTATGTTAAAATTCTTTTTTCATTATCACAAAAATACAGCTAATGCAATGAAAAATCTATAGAAGCTCAAAAGTCCGCCTCATCGCCTTTTTGTAGAATACGAAACATTATAATTGTCTTTGAAATCGGTCAAATGATCATCTCATTATAAAAGCCAAATAAAATACATATATAAATTTCAAAATTAAACACAAAGAAAAAAGCAAAAGCCATGTGAATCAGACGTTATTTGGTTTTTTTTCGACAGCAAAACTTCTGTCTCTGAAGAATCTTAATTATGAAAGCATCCTTATTTATTGACGATGAATTTAGCGATGACACAAACACGGGTAAGATTTGGGTCGATAAAAAGCGTCGATTTAATCTACAACTTACTCAACTATTAGGCGTAGAAGATCTATTTTTGACGGTGTATAGCTTTATTAATCTTTGCACAGGGTGGGGCATCTTTGTGGCCCGATTTGAATTGGCTTTAACTTCTTTAGTTTTTGGCCAAATCTTAAAATTATTTTTTCCCTGAATCCTCAGACAACCCCATTTTGTTTGATACTAAGTATGTTATACATAGGTAAGTGTCTTCTACAGTTATTGGATTTATTCTTGGAGTTCATTTTTTCGGTTGTTTTTTCAAATCGGGCCACAAAGATGCCCCACCCTGTATTGAATTTTCAGATGGCCGGCATATAAAGGTCGTCCTCAATGAGCCGCAGGAAGAACATTATACGGAGCGCCTAATACCGGCTATTGAGCTGTTGCGGCAAGCTTTTATTGGTGGAAAGCATGACGAACTATACATCGGAATCTTCGCGGAAAGCATGCCATGGTCGAGGATGAAGAATTCCAGACAAGCCGGCAGGATGTTACAGGGTATTTTGACCATATTATATACATATATACATATAAAAAAATATTTTTAGAACTCGCGAAGACCATGAAAATTGTAACTCTCGAATTATACTTTGATCGAAATTTCGTCTTTACACCATTGCTAAAAGAGTTAGTACCAGTTGTAACAGATTTGAAGTGTGGCGTCAAGGAACTAGCCCTCTTTGAAGGATGTAATCTAAAGTCTTTTGAGATCACAGATACCGATAGAGATGGATGTAGGTTGAACTTCTTGGTCATCGCATTTCAGATACGTACCCAATGTTTCAAATAAATCTGGAACACCTGATATGCAACTACCAATATTTTTTGCAAGATTTTATGCGGCGTGGGTAAGATAAATACATATTTTAAACAAAGTTTTATACGAGTTTATGTTTGTCGGGAAAATAATGTGTGCGGAAATACATGTTTTGGTTGCGAAATTATTTGCCACCAAGTGTCGTTTGAGTCTGTCGAGAAAGATAAGCGATGCGATTTTGGATTCGAAATTGTACCCATTATTTTCCAGACAGACTAATAGCTGTGGTGATACATATACTTGTGAAAACAAAGGTCTTTTTCTACACAGTCTTAACGCCAAAAGTCATTCTAGTGGCATTCCGGACTAGTTTACCCATAACTATCCCGCAGGACCTACAACACCATCTTGCGTGTTATTTCTGTTTCAGATACCCCCTAAAATCTTCGATTAAACAAATTACTTGTCCACTTTTCGTTGATGACACGCCTGCTGAAGACGATTACCGACTCTTATTTGAAGAGCTATTGATTTGCATGCCAAATATCGAACAGATCACGATGAACAAGGGGAGATTTATTGAAGAAGATGTAAGCATAAAGACCGTGATATAATTTTAAAAGCGGAATATTGAAGCTTATATCACTCGTATGGTTTCGCATTTTCTTGGTATCGGAAAGTATACTCCCGTTGCAACGGAGATCAATGCCTCACTTGCAGCTCCTCCTCGAATGAAGGAGAATGTTTTGACTGTCCTAGACAAGGCCTTAACGGTTGCTGGCATTACGACGACTAAAAACGAGGATCAAATAACCTTTGTGCTGCGGCGAGTTACCGTGAACATTCGTTTTGAATGGTATAATAACATGTTTGAACCGGTTCTCGAACAAGCTGTCATAGCGATGAATCAAGTCGACCCACGACACTTCATACCACTCGATGTACGTGGTGGTTTATACGCCGCATTAAAACAAGTTTTTTTTCTAAGGCTCGAGCGTATCCACACTGTGGTGTCAACGTGGACAAGCTTGTTCAAATCAAGCCAACTTTTTAGATATTAATGCCTCATTCAAACCGCAATGGTCTCTGGCTTCAGGAACTGGAAAAAAACTAGAAATTTATCCAAAATTTTTGAGAAAACAGGCAAAAACAGAAAAAAACTGAATTTGATGACAAAAATCACGAATATTCAAATCTTTTCCGTGGTGAGAGAGACTGGGCGTAGCTTGGAAAAAATGGTTTCCAGGTACCGCAAAATTCTGCCATGCCTATCTTATATGGTAAACTACACCTGGTTGCGGTAACTCGACCAAAAATTTTTTACAGAAAAATTACTTGCTGGTGCTACAATTTTTTAAATTTGGCTTGATTTTGAACAAGTCTGAAATTCACGTTGACAATGCGCTCGAGCCTTGCCAAAACCGTGTTTTAAGTGAAAATTCCATCGTTTGCTTCAAATCGTCCACTACATGACATTTATCGATGAAACCGTCAGATTACTTTATAACGAATAAATTATAAACTCAAAAAAACATTAAAACATAAAGCATCGATGAATATATTGGAATTCAAATTAAAGTCTTTGAGTCACTCAACTGTGATCCCAGTGTATAATACGTACGTACTACAATGACCACAAATTTTATAAAAGTCACTGGGATAAATTTTTTTTCAATGATTCATTTCAGAACAGACACTGGAAGCAAACAGAAAAAGAAACAAAAAAAAATGCAAAATCAGGCTCCCTTCTGCTAAAGGAAATCTCGCATGTGGGTTAGAAGATGTGCTTGTAAATTTGTGACAAATTTCATCAAGATCTGAGCGTCCCACTTCTCGAATGTTCACATTTTTTGATTCTGTTTTTTGAGCTTTGAAGCGCTCAAAATAAAAGCGAAACAACGAAAAAAGCAATCTTTTTTGCTTTTTTTCGTATGGAGAAAATGTGTGCCCCTTTGTGTCTAGAGTGTTCACAAAAATGTAGTTCAGTACGAGTCAGATAAAGCGATGAAACTCTTGTTGGGATAGGCAGAAAAAGGGCATTGATATCAAAAATAGTTTTTTTGATGAATCAATCTAATTTTAAAGACAAAGTTTTTGATTTCATATATTTTATTATACTTTTTTAAGGGTAAAAAATTTTAAAAAAAGACGTTATTTTTGCAAATTTATATTTTCTGTTACAGAAATTTTACAGTGAGCATCAACTGCGACCTTTTCGGCGTTTGCTAACCACTTTCCAATAACTTATCAGTCATGATGGCCAAAATAGAAATTGTAGAATGGAGGCCAGGTAATGCAGCAGACGAAGGAACGTTTAAAACGCTCTCAATTTTTAAAATTCCCATCTTATTTTCAGGCACATGTAGAATGGTCATCTCCTTCGTTGAAAACGAAAAGCAAGAATGTGTCGTCAACAATTATACCCAGTTTCTTGTCGCTATGGCTTCTGTGGAAAGAGCTTTAGCGAAGGCCGAAAAGAAGAAGCTTCACGTTGAAATTGGCTCAACGTTGTATCAATTGCCATGGCTAACCGTTAAGAATGCGCAAAACGTGGGGAGGGCGATAAAAGGCAAAGATATTCATCTAAATCACATCGTAATTATTGACATCTTTCAGCCCTATCTCCAAAGATCAATATTGATTTGCACAATCTCAGCTGGTGGCATCGTCGATCCCATATACGGTTCCTTCCGCTGCTAAAAGAGCTTGGACCAGCCCTGAATTCCGTGAACTGCGGTGTCGAAGATCTCCCATTATTTGAAGGATGCAATATTACTACAGTCAATATATCTGAACGAGCGAAGCCTTCCGTGAGACCGGCGCGGGGGAAACTGAAGCCTTTTTGGTGTAAGTTACAAATTTAATAAGGTAGAAGGAATTTGACTGCCATTGCAGATATCCAGCCATTGTTTCGGATAAACGCGGCAAACTATATCTGCGAGAGCTCTTTGTTTTTACATCAACTTGTATATAGTCGGTGAGTTTTTGCTTAAAGTTTACAAGAAGATTACCGGCAGGGAGCTGCTCCTTCCAGCACGGGAACTGGGACGATTGGGGAAACCGAAAAGTATTATTTTTCTTTTAATGCAAGTGTTGGAATTAGGATAATCAAGGGTGCTGATTTCGAAAATGACATTCATTTTTTTGGTCTTGAATTTTTTCCGGTACATGAATAGGCCATATTAATTTTTGAAAGTTTTAGCTCGCGTTTTCAAAGGATAGCCGAGATATTCAGCGATCTTTGCTGTGTGCGAAACGCGGAGAGCGGTCGGAGAGAAAAAACTCTGGCCATTTTTTTGCCGGTTAATTGATTTTTTTCTAGAAACATTACCTTCTTCGGTAGTAAGAGACATGAAACTTCATCAACTCCTGTTCCAGTTTAATTTTCAACTCTTAAAGCATGTCAAGGCTTAAATTTCAGACTTCCTATTCAAAAGAAAACGGGTTTGTTCAATTGCTCGATAAGTTTTGACCCATGGCCGGAAGATATGTTCGAACAGGTCTTCTACGAGATCTCTCAAGCGTTTCCAAACCTCAAACGTCTGCAACTAAAGAGTCGAGTGGTCTCAGGGAATTCAGCTGTAAGTCTCAACCGTATATGTAAGTAATCATAGGCTTCTCAGATGATCAAATATCGTCAAGGAATCATCTCTAAACATTTGGACCGAATATCCGCGGTTTGTCAATGGCCTACTCAAATCGATATCAACTTTGTGACCGAGTGCACGGACTGCGACGCATTTGCTAAGCCTTCGACTTTCAAAATGTTAGAGGAGGTTGAAGGAGCCACAACGGAATGGGAGGATCAGCGAGAGTTAAAATTAAAACATGCTCGAGGAAACATCACTTTATTTATTACGTTTGATTGTGTATACCACATGAATGACAGTGATGATGAGTAAAACTACCGTTGATTAATGTAACTCAATTTCAACAGAGAATTTTTAAATATATTGGCGATTTCAACGTTTTATGGTAAATAAGAGAATGAAAACACGGAATGGAAATCAGGCCAGATGTGTAAGAAAAGCAGCGATGGAAACGAAGCAATGTTTAAACTCATCTCAACGATGCAGAGCAAAAAATGCGTTGGGACATTCCTTTCTCAAAACAGCCCTGTGAATCATTGTTTTCGAGGACTATTTTGAATGAAATGACTTTATAATCTTTTTAGAATATGCACTATTTGACCTTGATCTGTTTTGAAAGCTCTTGGAGAATCTAAAATGACCGCTTCGATTACTGTCCGCAACTTCTTCGACGAGGAAGAGACTATAGGTAAAACATGTAATAATCACAAAAAAATGTTTATTTTTGCTTTTTCAGTACACCTAAATGTCCAATTGTATCAGACAAATGGCAAGACTTACTATTTCCCGGATTTTCAAGCAACTGAACAGTTTCTGATGCAAGACGATTTTGAGCAACTCTACATTTGTATTGAGCTAGAAGAGCCGCTGGAATGGCTGTCAATGGAAAAGTCTAGCAAAGCCGGAAGAATGATCAAAGGCAAGTTGAGCACAATTTTTACTACAGTTTTTCTAAAAAAACACTTTTTAAATGTCTCAATTGTCCCTACAAAACACGAGCTAGACCGTCATATTCTTTAGACGCCGCCAAAGACGCGAAACTTTACCTTCATATTATGAGGCTCTCGGATGAGATCGAAATGCGCCGTACATTCGCTCCTTTCATGGAAGAGGTTGCGCCAGTTGCAGACCGTTTAAAATGTGGCTTCGACGACCTAATGTTCTTTCAAGGATGCAGTCCTAAAACGGTCCAAATATTTTGTGACGATCTGCCTAACACCCGGAAGAAAATTTTTTGTAAGTTATATTATAGCTGTATGTTTTTAAAACAGAGTTTTTTACAAACTGAAGGTTCCCTCCAAGGGGCCGGACATTGTTGCAACGACCATCACCAAATTTCTTGAAACTTGGCCAGTAGAAGGGCCTGGTCATGCTGACAAAAAGCGATATCGGGTTTTGCGAAGTTTCACCCATTCCGGGATTACTGTAACATTTTGTATTTTATAAAATGGTGGTTGTCGTGGGCCGGGCGATGGCTCTATGAGTCCAAAATTTCAATTAGGAAAATGTTGGCCATGGTCGAAAACACCCAATAGTTAAGTTTCAGCGCCACTGCTCGATCTCTCGGCCCATCACAATAGAGACTTTACAAAACACAAAATGTTACAGTAATCCTTGAATAATACAGATTTTACAAAAACGCTTGAAACTTTTGATGTATGCCCTGAGGGTGTTCTATGGGCCAAAATTGAAGAAATTCGGTGATGGTCACCGCAACAATGTCCGGGCCATGTTTCACTTTGTAAAAAAGTCCGTTTCAAAGACAATCGGCAGTTGAAAGCTAATTTTCAACTTTTGACATTTGCATTTTAAGCCCTAAGATCTTGAGGAAACCGGATATAAAGACTGTAATTTTAGATATGGCTCCTTTGTTCAACATCAACGTCGGCCAAGTTATTTGTGGGGCATCGTTTTATCTGGAAGATTTTTTTATGAGCCGGTATGAAAACTTGCATAAGTATAATATGGCGGTCAAACCTCGCCGTTTCTGGTAATATTATGGCGGGCGCACGCTTGCGGGCAACCACTTTGCGGGCAAATTTTTTGCGGGCAGCCACTTTGCGGGCAGCCTGGGACACTTGCGGGCAGGGTCGACAGTTGCGGGCAGCCTGGAAGATTTGCGGGCAGCCGACACCTGATTCTGAGGGTAACAGGGTGGTGGTGGAAAAATTACTATGATATTTTGGAAATTTGCCGACATTTGCGAGCAACCGGCGCTTGAGAATAACAAGGTGAAGGTTGAAAAATTACTGCGATATTTTGGAAGTTTACCGACATTTGTGGGCAGGCAATACTCGCGGGAAACCGACATTTGCGGGCAACAGTTCCAAAAGTTCCAATACAATCTGTATGATTGTTTTTTCCTGTTGCCCGCAAATGTCGGCAAATTTTCAAAATATCGCAGCATTATTTCCACCTCCACCCTGTTACCCTCAGGTGCCGGTTGCCCGCAAATGTCGGCAAATTTCCAAAACAGCCCCCCCCCCCAAAAAATTTTGCCCGCAAACTGGTTGCCCGCAAAGTGGTTACCCGCAAGTGTCGCGACGCCAATATTATTACTACTTTCAGCTTTCCGATCCAACCAAGTGTGAAGAAGTTTTCCTGCTCTGTCTCCCTTGATTTTATAATCTCAGATGGGTTTTATCAAAACGTTTTCGAAGAGATGTCGACATCACTTCCAAATTTGGAAGAGTTAATTCTGGAAGGAATTTGTTGTAATATTAAGACACAGCAGGTAACCTTTAAACACAAAAAGCGCAAACCTTATATATTTTCTCAGGACATCAAAAGTCTAGTACCAGTCATTGTAAAGCAGATATTCGGGATCGCGGAATACGCACATACTGTAACACTAATGAATTATTGTATATCGTTTTGTCACACTCTAAAGCCGGCCGTTACCCGGAGTTTTGCTTCCGAATTCGCAAAAACAAGTCTTGAGGTTATGATAGCTGATGACGAGAACGAACAAGACATGATTATAATCCATAAAAATGTCAAATTTCTGATTTCATTAGACTGGCGGATTACGTGGTAATATATGGGATCCGAGTGCGCCAATAGAAGTAGACTAAGTTATTGGAATAATGGTTGACGCATTAGGAGTCATCGGAGATGGTCGAATCTTCCGAAAGAATTGAGTTTTGTGCTGTTAAAATTTCCATAAAATAAAATTAAGAATTTGCGCTGATCAAACTCTCCCGTAATTAATCATTCTCCTGGTTTAATTGTATTTCTGCAATTCAATCTTTACGGTCGTATAATTACTCGAGAATACAAATGTTTTGACTGTGAACGCTGACTTTTTTTCCTCATCGATTTCCGTGAGCCCCGGTAGAAATATCTCCAAAACCGCTCCCACTCCGGCAGCGTCGTCTGTCCTGTACAGTGGGAATTTTATGTCAAGCTTGGTGATGACATGTGAGTTATTGGCAATCTGGTTAATGTGCCAGGACATGCTCTCAATGGCGAGTTGGTAACGGTGATCGCGTGGGATGTGTCTGAAACTTTATCTACTGTTCAGATTTTTAGTTTTTTTGAGTCGGATATAGACGAATTTTTTGTGATTGCGATATTTCCTTATTTTGCCTAACAGTTATTCATTCTTTGGACCTGAAAATAACTTGTTATAGGCAGGCTTGCTAACGGAAATTTGACGGTAATTAGAACGGTATGAAAAAACACACCCGTCTCTTCGACTGTATTGCTGTTAGAATCTTTGTAGAGCTGTTGAAATTTACCTCTAAAACCGCTATGAAAATATCCGCTAAACGACAAAAAATGCTAATAATTTGGGCTTCCACAAACTTAATGTCACTAGTTTTACACACTAGATTTTGACGACTTTTTCTATCAGGAATGCCCCTATATAACGCCTAGCAAACTTACGGCTTGTCCACTTCAACCCTCCCTCTGAACATTGTGATCTCGTTCAGATTCGGCAACGACTCCTTGATCTCGTTGAAGACATTTGGATACAAGTCTTTATGCTTGTCAACCTCAAGGTTGATTCCACAAACCATCTTTTCAGTCAAGGGTTGGATGGGAAAACTGAAGAAATTGTTATCATCACATCTTCAAATATAATCTCAGCAGAAGCCACAACAACTTACCGAGCATAACAAAAATGATGGAGATAGAGCCAGGTCTCACACCAGAGATTCTTGGCTCCAATTTGAAAGACTAATGGGGCATCTGTAGAAAATTTAAATTGCGTTTTTGACGATTTGAATGGTTATTACTTACAAAACTTTGGTTTCAAAAACATTCCATATCGAATAACAAATAACTTGTCCAAGTTGGAGGCGTCGCAAATTGACAAAACATCAGTTGCAGGGCTTTCAAAGCTCGTGAGCAACGATGCAATCTCTTCGCAAAATACTCTGCCAATTATCATCGTCCGACGGGTGTAGCCGGTCTGAGCTTCTAGCTTGATTTTGGCGTAGGGAAGCAGTTCTGAAAACACATGTTTTATGTATACGTGAGCCGTCTAAGTGCTGTAGTTTAGTTGGTTCATAGAAAAACACTAAAAATAACGAGCAAAGAGTCTTGTTCATGAACTACAGGGAATACATTTAAATCTCCATACAACAAACTACGCTCAACAAAACCTATCTATAAAGGACCCCAAATTCAGATTTTGATAAAACTTGACACAAGGTTAAAATAATTTTTCCAAAATATATGCGAGAATCCTAGCTCGCGCTTTGCAGAAACAACCGAGATTTTTAAATCGAAAGTCGGCGAAAATGTGAGGCTTTCTGCCGAATTTCGGCACAAAAAGTTTCATGCGTCTTTCTACCGTAAAGGGTAATGTTTCTACAAAAAATCAATTTTTTTCGCACATGACTGGCAAAGTTGTAGCCAAAAAGCGCTTTTTTCTCTGACCGCTCTCCGCATTTAGCGTACTCTCTCGGCGGCAAATACCGTTCAATATCTCGGTGGCGCTTGCAAAGCGCGAGCTAAAACTTTCAGGAATTGATATTTAGTCCATTCCCAAAAGGCAAAATTTAAAGAAAATCTGAGCGTTGCGCTTGGGGTAGTTCCCTTGTAAGCCAAAATGTATCGAAACCTTTCTAACACGATTTGTCATCGTTCAAAATACAGAACCCATAGGTAAAAATTTGTCATCAAATTCCTCTCACCTCGTATTGTTCGTCCAAGCTGATAAGCGACTTTATTGTCCAGAAAATGAAATGTCCGGCCATTGGGATGTAATGTAATGCTCGCTTCCAATGAGTCTCTACTCTTTGTCAAGCAATGCATTGAGATCAGTGTCAGCACCAGCTTATTATACCCGTAGATATTGATGTATATACTTTTTGGTTCACCTTCAAAAAAAACAAATCAAGTTAGCCAAATTAAGGCGCTTACTGCACTATCGTATATGGGAACTTACATTTCCATATACGATGCTCAAAGAACACCTCAAATGTCGTTTCATTTCCACCCAATGACAAACTAATGCGTGTTAATCTTAGCGAGTTCTGAATCGACTGACAAATCCTGTTGTTTATGAACTGAAAATTGTATAGTAAATAGCTTTTCAACTGCTTTTATAGAGAACCCAGAAAATTCGAAACTAAAATTTTTATAACAGCGGCAACTTACCGACAATTTGATTAAGGTATCTAAAGAGTAGGCTTGAGGAGGCACAAAATGGGCAATGAATTGAGAAAGAGCATCGCCTTTCAGAACTCTGGACATGATCTTCTTCCCAAGGCGTCTGAAATTCCATAAACATCTTTTTTAGGACTTATTTGGTTTTATCAATGCCGTTGCATTAAGATGTAGCTTTTTACGTAAGATAGAAAAGAGCTGCAAGCATTTTGCGCTTTATTTTTCCAAAAGAAATTTCTAAACGCAAAACAACAAAACAAAAAGCGAAAAAGCGTTCGCTCTTTTTCCGTGTGGGAAAAAATGTTTCATGTGGGAAGAGCGATGAGAATCGCTAGTTTACATAACCGAAAGATAACAGGTCCCAGGGAAACCTTTTTGGGATAGCCATTGCTTTTCTAGCGCTATTTTGAACTGTTTGATCAAAAGTTTTCAACAGTTGGGCATTGAAGAATTCTTTTAGGATAACGAGAAGGCAGTGAGCGAAGTCGTTGGCCATGTGAAACAACTCTCCAAGTATGCCACGGTCCCTGCTCAGCTAACTGTTTTGAGAAGCCAGAATGAAAACGGCGGTACTGACAAGATTGCCAGATTAGTCAAAAACAGTTTGATCCTAAACGAAAATAAACGAACATACAATTTTTGATAAGATTAGGTCCGGATCGGTTTCACGATTTTTTTTTTTTTTTTAACTTTGGTGGTACTGAATGTTATCTCAACCTTAAAGTTGATTTCTGTAAAAAGTGTCTTTTTCGAACAATAAATTATGATAATGCACATTTGAGTCTGAGTCTCACAGTTGCATAGGCTGTTAAAAATACCTTTTAACCTGTTCTTTCGTAGTTAATATTTGCACACTTTAGAATGAAGCGGTAATGGCGACATTGGAATTCTGCAGTTTTAGAGGTAGGGAAATTTACTGGAAACTTAGAAAAGCTCGGTATACTATAAATCTATAATTCAATATAAGTCGGCGGGTTATAACAAGGACATAGTTAAGGCGTGTTAGAAGCCTGTGTGAGTTGGGAAACAAAGTTTGTCCGAGTTGCCAGGGACTTTTGCGAGATTTGGTCAACTTTAGTAAAAAAAAATATCTCTTTTTTATTCTAGGTGTCTAAACATTGGAGGGCATTTCTTAAATAATATTTTTGTTAAAAACAGCTTTAATGAGACTACAAAGACGTTTAATTTCAGAACCCGTGAATCTTCGATTACTCATCAATGCAAACAAGAGACTTAAAACCATACCAATCGAAGACTACTCTGGATTCTTGACCTATCTAAAAGATGTCAGGGAACTTCTTTCCCAAAGGCCTTCAAAAAACCTGGCAATAATTTTGCGCTATTCCAATAGACGAGTTCCATGGATAACGCCGAAGATTGCAGGAGAAATGGGGACCAAAATAAGAGGTAAAATTGCCATTACAATTCAAAAATGAAACAAAAAATTTCTATTGACTATACTGTTGCTTAAATTTAGATTTATTCGATCAACGTTTTGTTGACCTGACAGTTTCTTCTTACCGCTCTTACGTCGAGCGAAGGCAACTTCAGCCGTTTTTGCAGGAGTTAATTCCAGCCTTACGCAATCTGACTTGTGGATTGGATGACTTGTCGACTTTTGGAGGCGCCTCGGTCGATAGAATGGAGCTAAAGAGTTGGTTTAATCGTGAGCGAAAAAATTGGTGTAAGTCATTTGTCTTGAGTAAGAACGACATAGCTTTCCTGGAAAAAAGAGCGGTTAAAATGAAGGTTGAAAGTTGACGTTAAAATACGATTTTCTCAAGGTTGCAACCTCTTTATAAAATCTTTTTTAGACCTTCCGTATCTGTTCGACATCAAAGCGGAGAGTTTTATATGTGGCCAAGTTTTGAGCCTTGTTCAACTCTACAAAAGCAGGTGAGTCCCGGCTTTTTCTTCTTGAAGAAGCTAAGATTTGAGTTGAAATATACGTATGTCAACAACGAATAGCAAGAAGCCAAAAAGTTACTCGTTATTGGCGGGTTTAGAGCTAGCACTTCTGAGCCCCAAACTAGCCAGATTTTGCTGTCAAAAGACTTGTTGAAAGTCACAGATTTTTTTGTAAATTTCCGCTGACTGAAGCCATGATTTTAGGCTGCCAAATCAGCCTAAATGCAAGTCTTTGGAATGCTCTGTGGACATGGACTTTGATGTTCCTCCCAATTTTTACCAAAACGTGTTTCAAGAGATCTCCGAGGCAATGCCTAAGCTTCAAAAGCTGAAACTAATCGGGTCAGCGACTCAACGCGTTTCTGTAAGCAGAACAGAACTTGTTGGCCTACCGTAATATGGCTTTGATTTGTAGGAATTTGAAGTTTTTTCATCACAAATTGCGGAACATATCCTACAAATTGCCAAACATGCCAACTGTTCCACTATTGGCGACTTTAAAGTCATCAGTTTGGATTCCGGCAGTCGCCAGATGATATTGGGTTCCATTTTCGAAAAGTTGAAGGTCTCTGATGATAATGTAAAATGGAATGGAGATCATCAGCTTATGTTTGAAACGGCAACCACAAAAATCTTTGTTCGGTTCACAGTCTCTCGGCAAGAGGATTCCATTAGCGAAGTTGGAGAAGAAGATGGTGAAGAAGCGGCGATTTTGAGTAGGAGAAACGGAGACTGATTGTCTTGAGACTTATCATCAATTACAAACAGGTGACATGATTCGGTGTCAATGAATCTGTCTTTGATAGCTTTATTTCGAATACCGGTGCCTTATGGATGACATTTCTTTGATGGAGAATCCAAGAAATGCATTACGGCAAAGTCATGTTTTTTTTGAATTTGAGCAGAATTTTTGTCATGGTAATTTACATTGTTACTAACTTCACCTTTATTTTCTTATGTAAATAAAATTAAATGCTCAAAATTTTTGCCTAATTATCACCAAACTTTGGGCTCAAAATGTCGGTTATTTAAAGTCCGAAATTTTTCAATCTAAACACTGGTTTTCGGGGTATAGATGCCTCTACTTCAGAAGGTCGTAGCGACCTCAGTTTGCACTTGAAAAGCTTGTCATTTTGTAGACAAAAGCTATTGTCGTTTAAAAATACATGTTTCAAATACGAAGTCTCTGCGCCGCCTCCGCCGGAAGTTATAGCCTTCGATTTCCTTCACGTCTTTTGTAAGGCCCTGTACATCCAAAAAGTGTCTTATTTGTTTGTATATTCTTAGAAAACCTCGATCTGTTTGCCCAAAATTTTGCCAAGTTTTATCAAGATCTCAGCCTTGTATTTTGAGCATTTCCTTGTGCCAGCTTTCCCCCGCTCGTAAATAACATTTCTCGCCGAGAGAAAAACCCAATGAAAAAAAAGAAAAAAGAAAGGGATTTCTGAAAAAGAGCGCGTTTTCTTACAGACATAAACATATGTTTCTGTGCATTAAAGCTTTCCGGACGCATATCAGAAGTGTTGATTTTTATGCCGTATTCAATCCCTATGTCCAGTGGTGTAGACTATGTCAGCTTGATCGTTGACGACGTTGAGGACAGTAAGTTAAAATTCATCCTTACTTAGACATTCTTTTTAACAATTGTTTAAAGCATATTCAAAAGTCTTTCTTGATTTTCAGCGGAGCCTAGCATTGAGATTGTTTACGAGTATAATGACGGAGAGTCTTCAACTGTCAAAAACTATGAGGAATTCTTAGTCAAATGGGAAGAAATCAAAGCATTTTTGGCCCACGAAGACACCAGTATCTCGGTGGTTCTGGTCCGGATGTTCAACAGCATTCCATGGGTGACAAAGGAGATTGAAATTGAGATTGGAAAGCGGCTGAAAGGTAAAGCTATTTCTACTGAAAGATACTGGTATAAATTTCCTTTTTCTGGCCCCAGCGAAAAGAAGGTTTTGCAGCTTGTGCCTGAACAATTCCGGTTGTACGAAATACCAGGCTTAGACTTTGCCTTAAGGCTAAGCTTTACGCTTAGTTTAGCGCTTAGGCTGTTTCGTATTTTTATTCGCAGTCTGCAGCGAAGCCAGGGCACAAGCTACGAAGCGCCGGGCCAGAAAAAGGAAGTTTTTCAGACACAGTAGATTAAAAATAAGACAATTTATTTCAGAGTATCACACACAGGTCAACATTATTCTTAGGACCTCTGAGTTCCTCGAAGAAGAAGCAGTGAAACTTTCTCCTTATTTTCTTGCAGAGGTCGGGCCGCATGTTAGATTTATTCAATGCCATGTCACGGAGCTCCCTCGTCTGAGAGGCTGGTTCGCTGATAAATTGGAACTTATCTACAGTCGTGGTGCTATATTTTGTAAGTGTTGCATAACAAGATATACCTGAATACAGTCCAGTGGCAAAAAACGTAAAAATTTTTATCCAGGAAGTGTCAAAAAATGTGGCAAAATACCTCCCTCTCCAAGAGAAAAAACTCCGATTTCAAGCCCGCTCTTTTTGTGAGGGAAAGGGCGTGCCCTTCGAAACGAAGTTTTTTCACTTGGAGAGGGAAGCATTTTGCCACATTTTTGATGCTTCCCGGATGCAAAATGGTGCGTTTTTTTGCCACTGGATCAGGCCCGTCACTGTATTTTGATTTTTTTATAAAGTCATCATTTTTATTTCCAGACATCCCCGAACTGTTTGAAATGGGTATAAAAAAGATTAATGCAGGGAGATCCATCAAACTGGATCAATTCTTTATGAGCCGGTAAATTTAATATGATCTTTTGATAAAAATTTATTACAGTTTTCCCTGTCAACCGAGCTGTCAAACTCTCAAATGCCACGTTGATATGGACATCCCGTTGACTGACAAGGGATCGGCAAATAGTTGCACCCTGCTTTCTTAACAATACCTATATCATTTGAATGAGGGTTAAAAATGGAACACAGCGCAAAAAGAATTAGCTGCCCAATATATGTTTGGGCAAAGTTATGGCCAAAATACAAATTTTAGCCTAATTTCCGCCTCACTTTATAAGCTCTTCGAATTGCAACGGAGTTGTGTCCAGTTGGCCGAGTGGTAGTGAGCCTACTTCCGGCGCAACAAGTCGTGGTTTCGAATCCGGGCTCTGCAAATTTTTGGCATTTCGTCTCTTATATACCACAAAACCATGGTATGTTGACATTTTTAAACAATCTTTGTTCCTTCACAGACAAAATCCATATTTGCGGAATTTTTGGGAGTTTTTGGTTTTTTTTGAAACGACCACAAATTTTATGGTGATGAGAGTGGGGTTGCCATTATCGTATAATTGAAAGGGTGTCATGCCAGTAGCCTGACCGATGATAATTACTGGACGATAATTCAAACTTACAAGGACATATAAATAAATTTTTTCGAAAAAATACCAAGAGAAAATTGCAAAATCGGCTAAAAACGCTATTGCTTCGGCTAAAAACGCAGTGGACAATCGTTGGTAAGGCTAGGACATACAAAATTTTTGATTTTGAGATCTTTGTTTGTGAATGACCACGATGATCATATAAATGTATTTGCAAAGCTTTTTGCTCCAATTTTCCCATTAACCTAGTTTTATTTACAATTTTTTGTAACTAGCAGTAATTTTTAATAACTCATAACCAAGGATTGGTAAGGCTATAAAACGCCCGTCATAGACGTTTTGGGATACAAAGAAATCAATGGAGACGATTTCAAGCGGCCAGGATTACTGTAATATAAGATACCGGCGTTTTGGCCGCATATGACCCCTTTCATAAAACGGCCATAACTTTGCCCAAACATATATTGGGCAGCTAATTTTTTTTGCGCTGTGTACCATTTTTAGTGCTCTTTCAAATGATATATGTTTCGTTAAGAAAGCAGGGTGCAACTATTTGCCGATCCCTTGTGAAGGGTTTTACGAGAACATATTTTCTGAGATCTCCGAATCACTGCCAAACTTGAAATGCCTCAAGCTGACGTGCTTGCTGCTCTTTGAGAATCAGGATGTAAGTTCGCACACATGGCCATACGGATAATTAACAAGGGCTTTAATATCGTTCATAATGAGAGTAATCATGCTGATTTTTTTCAGCAGCTGCACGCCCAAACTCAACTCTTCGTTCAACACATTGATCAACTAGCAAAACACACACATATTCAAGTCAAAGTAGACATGAAAGTTATTGATCATGACGAAGCAGCGACGAAAAAACGGGTAGAAACAACGAAAATTTATCTGGAAAAGCTAGAAGGAGCCATGAGGACTAGTCCATTCGCCCCGTGGACGATAATTTTTGAGTACCCAAATGCTCGATTTATGATTATTTTTCATTATCCATATCATTCCTATTTGTTCGATCTAGAAGATTTATAAACTAAAAAAATTCAAAATTTTTTTTATTTTTTCAAAAATGAATCTGTTTATTGACCGGGAAAAACTTGAAAAATTTCAAAACCAGATTCTACTTTGGTATCTACTGTTTGCTGATGACTAGTGGACCTCCTCCGACATGACTGTAGAAGATATTCTTCAGTGGCAGAGGCTGTTTTTCGGTGGTTCCTGTGCTCGACAGCTTCCCAATAGCTAAAATTTTGACTATAACATCAAAAAGTCGGAACTGGGACGATTGAGGAAACCGAAAAGTATTAGGTTGATTCAAAATTATCCGGCGGTTTTATTGGCGCGTTTTTTGGTAGTTAAAATTTGCGTTGTGTTAATGATTTTTTTATAAAAATAATCTTCACAATTTAGTTAATAAAATGTGTATCGAAAACCATACTCTTATCCGCCATATTATGCTCTACCATTTCGAGAAAAGTTGGAAGTCAGCACAGTCATTTCGCGATCTCAACGAACTTTTCGGCGAAGGAAAAAAAATCGGCAGCGTAGTGGACGTTTTTGTCCCCACCCCGGTTTTGTCCCCAAGACGGTTTTGTCCCCAGGACGTTTTTGTCCCCACTTTTTTCGAGCCTTTTTGTCCCCAGACCGGTTTTGTCCCCAGGACGGTTTTGTCTCCAAGACCTTTTTGTCCCCACTTTTTTATTTTTTTGTCCCCACACCGGTTTTGTCCCCAGGACGTTTTTGTCCCCAAGCTGGATAGTGCGATTAAAAATTATGCATTCAAATGTTAATTCTGTTGGTTCGGTGCCCAGTACTGCTCAAACAACATGTTCTTAGCGCATGGTACTGTATAGTACGAGGTGGTACTATATAGCACGAGGTAAAAATTAAGCCATAACACGTCAATGCTATGGGTTTGAAGCCCAGCACTTCTCAAAAATGAGTTTTAGCACATGGTACTATATAGCACGAATTTGTTTTTGCACAAAATGAACGTTTGATCAGTACTGCATACCAAAACAACGTCATTCACGCGATATAGCTTAATTTCTACCTCGTGCTATATAGTACCACCTTGTACTATACAGTACCAAGCGCTACAAACACATTTTTTGAGAAGTGCGGGGCTTCAAACCAACAGCATTAACGCGTTATGGCTTAATTTTTACCTCGTGCTATATAGTACCACCTCGTACTATACAAGAACATGTTGTTTTAGCAGTACTGGGCACCGAACCAACAGCATTAACATTTGAATGAATAATTTTTAATCGCACTATCCAGCTTGGGGACAAAAACGTCCTGGGGACAAAACCGGTGTGGGGACAAAAAAATAAAAAAAGTGGGGACAAAAACGTCTTGGAGACAAAACCGTCCTGGGGACAAAACCGGTCTGGGGACAAAAAGGTTCGAAAAAAGTGGGGACAAAAACGTCCTGGGGACAAAACCGTCTTGGGGACAAAACCGGGGTGGGGACAAAACCGGGCCCAATCAATCGGCAGGTGTTTCGCCCAAAGGAGTACCAAAAGACGTCCACTATAACAAGGCTATGTGATATGTGTGGTGGGACAGAAGCGGAGCCATCCACTGGGAAATCGTTCCTTTTTTTTTTCCTTCGCCGAAAAGTTCGTTGAGATCGCGAAATGACTGTGCTGACTTCCAACTTTTCTCGAATTGGTAGAGCATAATATGGCGGATAAGAGTATGGTTTTCGATACACATTTTATTAACTAAATTGTGAAGATTATTTTTATAAAAAAATCATTAACACAACGCAAATTTTAACTACCAAAAAACGCGCCAATAAAACCGCCGGATAATTTTGAATTAACCTAATATTATTTTTCTTCGATGCAAATGTCGAAATTAGGCTAATCGAGCGTGCTGATTTCGAAAATGACATTCATTTTTTTGATAGTTACTTTTTTCCTTAAGTAGTACTGTAAAGTAGTAACTTTTTGAATTTTTTTTATGAATACTCGATTTGGGGTTTTCGATGGTGCTGCTTTCAAATCAGAAAAAATGAATAAGATTTTCGAAATCAGCACCATCGAAACCCCCCAAATCGAGTATTTATGAAAAAAAATCAAAAAAATACTACTTTACAATACAACTTAAGGAAAAAAGTAACTATCAAAAAAATGAATGTCATTTTCGAAATCAGCACCCTCGATTATCCTAATTTCACACTTGCATTGAAGAAAAATAATACTTTTCGGTTTCCCCAATCGTCCACCTCCGCAAAATCCCTCCATTTTCTGCAAATTTGTTTCAAAAATCGCTCACCTTTCGGGACTAGAGCGTGATTAAAGTCGAATTTCTCGGCCACAGCCTGGAGGAACGGTTTGACATCCTTTTCCTGGATAAAAACACAACAATTTGGTCCGGCATCAAAGGTGTAAGCGGCCACCAAACGCCCTTGGCTCTTGTTGTACGAGCAAATAAAGTTGATCAGAGCGCGAGATCGGTCATTTAGGTACTGAAAAAATATTGTACTTGGTATACCTAAATTTTCGCCAAAACATAATGTAATTGACATACCAAGATCGGAGGATAAGTGTCCAAGCAAACAGCGTGCAGCTGATTACTCTCCTGGATGATCACTTTTCCCAATGCCTCAAAATCCGATGCAGCAACAGCCTTCTTCAGACTAAAATTAGGTCATTTTCACTTTCATTAGCCTAAAAACAGAACAAAAAAATCAAAAACTTACTCAAGCACATGCTGAGGAACGACCTTTTGGACTCTATGAGCAAATAAAGTTGAGGTTTCCACGGTTTTTTGCATACCATCAGTGCTGGGGACGTCTTTCTCACTGTCTTTTTGCTCAAAAACAACGGCGCGGACAGTCTTCCAGAATTCAGGCGATGGAATTATCTGAAACAGCAAGGATTTGTATCAAATGTTCGCTTTTTGGTAAATCAATATCGGATAACCGACATATTTTTTATTTTTTTCATTTCTCACCTAGTGTAATATAATCAGTTGTGAATATTGAAATTATAAAACCTTCTCAAAATCAAGCAATGGTCTCTATTGTTGCCTATAAACACTCACATCACAAGTGCTCTCCTCGTCGCTATCACTTTTGTTTCCAGCATGCCAATGAACGAATCCTTTCAAAACACTTCGACAAGCGGATCCGGATCCCAATCTAGCCAATCTCACAGTCTGCTCTTGCGTCAAATTTCCCAGCTCACCCAAAGCAAACGCGATGGCAGCAAATCCGGCAGCAGAAGAGGCCAAACCAGCGGCAACAGTGAAATTTGTCCGACTGTCCACGTGGATCTTGATGTTGGGCTGATTTACGGTCCGACGATACTCCTAAAGACAGAAATGGCAATTGAAAAAGATCACTTACACTAAAAACATTATGAAAACGAGATTTCGCCGTGAGATCGACCGGCTTCCCGTTGATGGCGACCGAATCTTGTCCATCGGAAGTGAAATGAATCGTGGTTTCGGCGTATAAATCGTCGATGGCCAATGACACTGAGTCGTTACAAGGGATTATCAGCTTCTGAAAGGAAGAGTAAGTTCTCATAGGTATCATATATTAAAATCCTTCAAAATTTTTGATTTTCACTTGTAAAAAATATTGTTTCACATCACATTAGATATCTAGTGAAGTAAGATAAAAAAAACTAATATATCCCATAACAGATAAATTAACTTTGTCATAAATAGAAAGTAGGGTACAGTTCCAAAGTGCTTAGACGGAAACTGATAAAAAAAATCACCAATAATCAACACAATATGACCTAAACACATAACCAAGTACAATATAAAGGCCTTACCTCATTCTTCTTTCCCCAGTATTTGATCAACGCGATGTTGATGGGCACTCGGACCGTAACTTTCGAGACCATTTTCACTCGAGGTAAAACTGTATACTAGACGAAATACAAGAGAAAGTTTGATAATTATCTAGATGGATGGGTGTAAAGCACATTCAAAACATCCGCCGCCATCAATCTCTTAATGGGCGGTACTCGAGCATTGTTACCAGTTGTGGACCCGTTTCGTAAATGCTTTCCGAGAGAGCGGAATATTTTTTTCATTTCTTGGAAGAATAATTTGGGCGCAGCTCGCCGACGGATATTTTATACGATGGAAGTTTTACGAGTCAGTGTTTTGATAAAGGTGTGGTTAGATTATCTGAATTAGACCTTTATGATGTCAATGAACGTATTTTTTTATTTTTTTTTTGTGTTTTATACACCTTTAAATAATAAATTTTCTGAAAATTTGAGAACTCTGAAATACGAAATTTTACGTATGAACATGACTAATATTTGGCCACAAAAATTTCTAATAGATGAGTCAATCCTTCAAAAACACTTGAATAGTATCAATTTGTTTGCGCAGCCGGCCCTTTTTAGGAACTTGAAACGCGAAAAAGTCCAAAAAAGTCGCCCATCCGAGACTTTTTTTTGTTTTCCCCGCTTCAAATGATTGTTTTTTGCTGTTTCGCACTACTCATTACAATCTGTAAGAGGCCGGACAAAGAATAAACAAAAGTTTAGGTTGTGCGTTGCATTGTCCGCGCAACGTTCCGTACTTTTCGACCGCTGCTTGTGTTCCAAATCCAAGTTTGAGTCAGCCCAGGTGTCCGCATGGGTATAGATGTAGGCCGGCGAAGGAATCGGCGGACTCCAAGGATGTGTTCTTCATTTGTTGTGATTCCAGCGATATGCAAGTGGCAGATTGTAAGAGAAAACCTTTTTGGGCCCAAAAATTAACAAAAAATTTGAAATTTTTGGAAAAAATGGGTAAAAAATACAGTAATCCCTCAAAAAAATTTTTTCATTAGGCCTTATATTCTTTATAAAATACGCTGTCTAATTTTGATTTTTCAAAAAATATAAAAAATGCATTATTTTAGACTTCCTTGAGGCCCAAATTTCCCCTCAATTCGTCCCTCAAATACCCTTTACAATCCTACGATCTGCGGTGTTGTTGGATCAGAAATCAGGTCAACGAGTGATTGTCGAGGAGTTTGACGGAGAAATCTCGGGAGCGGACCGAGTTGTAAACGATTCTGCAAGTTACGACCGATTGGATTTTGTCCAATTCGAAAGGGAAATTGACCCAAATGCTGGGAGATTTCTGCATTTTCTTGTGGCTAGAGGTGGGTTTTATAATAATGTCATGCGATTGGGGCGAACTATGGGCAACTACTTAGATTTAAAAGGCAAACGACAAAAAATTTTTTGTTGATTTTTGATTTTTTCATGGTAAGAGTACCCTCGGTATGATCGGTATATTTCTCTGAAATTTTCACTGTATGATCTGCGTACGTCACACTTCAATTGCTAAAAATTTTACTTTGAAATACAGGGTGACAAATAAAAAATGCAACTTTTTTTCATGGGTCCTGCCGCGAAAATGTTTAGGTGTAGCGAAATATTTTTTATACCATTAAATTCTCCGTGTTTTTCTGTCCTAGTCTTTTGATTTTCATGCCCATATCGATTGATTATCATCTTTGTATTGAGTGTCAAACAGAGGGACCTCGATTTTAAACCTGTCTCGGGAAGAAAAAGGACAGTGTGAGATTGCTAAACTGCTCGGTGTAGGAAAATCTGCTATGCCAAAAGCCACCAAACGAATCCACGAGCTTGGCCACGATGTTAAGTGTCCAGGAAATAGAAGAAAGCGCATCTTGAACACTTCTGGCAACTTTGAGATCATCAAAAAGCGAGTGAAGCAAAATCTGATGGTGTCCATGAAAAAGATTGCCCGGCAGACCGTCATCAACACAACAGCTGGTCGATGAATGGCCAGTAATGCACCATAGCGCAAGCCTAACAAGCTCCAAAAGACCTAGCGCCTCACGGAACACTACAAGCAAGTACGGCTCAAAAAATGTCGAAAACTCAAGCGTCGCGCCGCAGCTCAGCGATGAGAGAAGGTCCTGTTCGCGGATGAGAAGTATTTCAACATCGAGCAGGCCTACAACCACCAGAATTGCAGGAGTTGGACTGTTGAGAGTCAAAAACCGTCCGCCATTTTTGAACCCAGTAAAAATCCGACCTCTCATGGCCTGGGGCAAAGTCTTGCGCCAGCGGCGTGATATCCTTGGTTTTCCTTGGTTTTCTTGGATAAAGGGGCCAGAACCAAACCGATAAGTCTACCAGCGACATTTTGTACACCATCGTGATTCCGTGGGCTCAGTAGCACTTTGGCGGTTCAAAACAGACACCGTAGCATGATTCCCCCATCAGCTATAAAGCAAAAAAGACGCAAGGCCAGGAAAGGACCTGTTTTCCCGATTTTATGTGGTCTGCGAAATGGCCGTCTACTCGCTGGATCTGAATCCGGTGGACTATGTTTTTTGTTGAGTTAGAAGCCAGGACCTCTAGTTCACGCCAAAAAAGTTTGGAGCCGCTAATTGATTGCTGCGGTAAGAACGGAACCGATTTCCCCAAAAAAAGCTTCGGCGAATCGGCCAAAATTTAAAGTCACGTTTTGAGCTCTATCTCGGGGCCAAGAACAGCCACCTTAAAACTGGTCGAGCATACTATTAACAATGCTCTATGTTACTGATATTCACCGTTACTTTGGTTAAGTTTGGTGTTTTAGACAAAATATGGCCATAAATATGAGTTGCATTTTTTCTTTGTCACCCTGTATAAAGGTGCGGCTGAGATATTCAACAATCTTTACCATCGAGAGAGTACAGTAAACAAAGAGAGACGGTCACTGAGGAAGACTTTTTTGGACTTATTTTTTGTTTCTGTTTCAAAATTTGCAAAGAAATTATTGTCAATCCATCTATAAATAATGATGATTTCTGCAAAGACAGCTAAAAATTTCATTGTAACATACGCCAAGGACCATTTTTCGAAAAAAGTTTTCAGGGGTTCTAACACGCCCAACACAAATTCAAATGTACTACGATTACCCGAATTTTGGAGCAGATTGGACTAACGTTACCGAGATGGATAACCGATTACGACGGGGCTTCATCGAGTTCACAACTAATGAAACAGTTGTTCAACAACAATTTTGTAAGCAAATTTACATTGCTTTCTAAAGACAATATTTTTGTTAAAAATTTATACAAAGCTCGACTTTTCAATTATTTGTAATCAATATTTACAGTATTGATTACTTATTTTGTAATTAATTTTATACCGTACTTTAGATCGAGATATGTTTATCATCCTGTCTTTTCGAACGGAAGAGCCGTTGGGAGCTTCGAGGGACGCGGAAACACAACTGGATAGAGTTTTGGAAACGACGAATGGAGATTTGAGTCGTTTACTGAGCCATGAACATTTCGGGAATCGGCTGGGAGCTCCGATTGGAGGATTTTTCTTTCATGTAAGTTTCAGCTATTGATAGTTACAGAGGCAGCCGGGATATGAGTAAGGCAGCTGTAGAAGGAATAACCCCAAATTTTTTCACGCAAAATTCCGCAAAATAGCGCCGTATATTGACCCACTTTTACTAGGGAAGTGTACAAACGAACCCTCACCAAATGGCAAGTGTTATACACCATTGGAAAGCCCTTGAAAAATGGTAAAAGGTACCATTTTCATTTTTTGCAGAATGCCCCAGGGCAAAAAGTTATAAACGGTTCATTTGTCCCTTAAGTAGTTGAAATATCTGCTATGGGGCAAAATGAATGTTATTTCAAAACGCTAAATGGTAAATATTGCTACTAGGTTGGCCTAAGAATCATTATGAAGTTTGGCGCTTGCCAGTAAAACCGTTTTACATATGATATTTACTGGTTTTAAACACCCATAACGTGAAAAAACACTTTTCACTTTTTTTAATTTTGAAAAACATGTAAGTTTGATGGTTTTAACCGTAATCGACCGTTTTCTAGAAAAATTAAAGCGTTTGTAAAAGTTTAAAACGCGTTTTACTACAAATCGTAGTTTGGCCCGGACATTGTTAAAATCGGTGTCTCAGAATTTAACGAAACTTGGTAGATTTAATCACTGCTAGGCATAGAACATTCGCTTTCTTTAATTTTTCCCAAAATCACCATATGACGGATTACTGTAACTTTCTTCCTCAAAAAAGATGTGCCCTAATCGTGAAAACGAAGCTGTATTTTAGTGCAAATTGAGTTTAGATGTATGTTTTCGACCATGTTGAACATTTTTGTAATTATCACCAAAAACTAAAAATTACATCTAAGTTATGTTACACTTGAGGCAACATACCATTTCGGGTGTAAAAAATGCAGTTTTGAGGTGACGCAGATTTTGAAACCGGAATATTAAACTTCAAGCCTTGTCTAATAAACCATAAAAATTTCAGAAAAATCAAATGTATAGTTTTTGAGAAATTGGACATTGAATGACTCATGTGCAATATCACCTTGACCCGAAAAAAACTGGCATTCTTGGGGTTTTGACCTGACGCAGATTTTGAAAGTTTCCAATACATTCTTAGCACATTTTAGGAGGATATGGAAAGTTTCAGAGGAATAAAATGTATAGTTTTTGAGAAATCGGCCGAAATACCTTGTTTTAGGTCATCAGATGCCCGAAAAAAACTGGCATTCTTGGGGTTTTGACCTGACGCAGATTTTGAAAGTTTCCACTACATTTTTATCACATTTTAGGTGGATTTGGAAAGTTTCAGAGGAGAAAAATGTATAGTTTTTGAGAAATCGGCCGAAATACCTTGTTTTAGGTCATCAGATGCCCGAAAAAATCTGGCATTCTTAGGTTTTTGGCTAGGCGCAGATTTTGAAAGTTTCCACTACATTTTTATCACATTTTAGGAGGATACAGAAAGTTTCAGAGGAAAAAAATGAATAGTTTTTGAGAAATCGACCAAAATACCTTGTTTTAGGTCATCAGATGCCCGAAAAAATCTGGCATTCTTAGGTTTTTGGCTAGGCGCACATTTTGAAAGTTTCCAATACATTTTTATGACATTTCAGAAGGATATAGAAAGTTTCAGAGGAAAAAAATGAATAGTTTTTGAGAAATCGACCAAAATACCTTGTTTTAGGTCATCAGAACACAGAATCGTAGCCATCGGCTTACATTTGACAAAAGTTTTGCAGAGAGCTCGAATTTATTAGTGACAATTTGGAGAAAAAAACAGTAACACGCATATATCTCGAAAAAAAAGATGCCGAGGAAAATTGGTCGAATTTTCCAGCAACTTGACCTATAACAGGTTCACCTTGGTCGATATCTCAAAAACTATTTTCCTCTGAAACTTTCTATATCCTCCTGAAATGTCATAAAAATGTATCGGAAACTTTGAAAATCTGCGCCTAGCCAAAAACCTAAGAATGCCAGTTTTTTTCGGGCATCTGATGACCTAAAACAAGGTATTTTGGCCGATTTCTCAAAAACTATACATTTTATTCCTCTGAAACTTTCCATATCCTCCTAAAATGTGCTAAGAATGTATTGGAAACTTTCAAAATCTGCGTCAGGTCAAAACCCCAAGAATGCCAGTTTTTTCGGGCATCTGATGACCTAAAACAAGGTATTTTGGCCGATTTCTCAAAAACTATACATTTTTTTCCTCTGAAACTTTCCAAATCCTCCTAAAATGTGATAAAAATGTAGTGGAAACTTTCAAAATCTGCGTCAGATCAAAACCCCAAGAATGCCAGTTTTTTTCGGGCATCTGATGACCTAAAACAAGGTATTTCGGCCGATTTCTCAAAAACTATACATTTTATTCCTCTGAAACTTTCCATATCCTCCTAAAATGTGCTAAGAATGTATTGGAAACTTTCAAAATCTGCGTCAGGTCAAAACCCCAAGAATGCCAGTTTTTTTCGGGCATCTGATGACCTAAAACAAGGTATTTCGGCCGATTTCTCAAAAACTATACATTTTATTCCTCTGAAACTTTCCATATCCTCCTAAAATGTGCTAAGAATGTATTGGAAACTTTCAAAATCTGCGTCAGGTCAAAACCCCAAGAATGCCAGTTTTTTTCGGGTCAAGGTGATATTGCACATGAGTCATTCAATGTCCAATTTCTCAAAAACTATACATTTGATTTTTCTGAAATTTTTATGGTTTATTAGACAAGGCTTGAAGTTTAATATTCCGGTTTCAAAATCTGCGTCACCTCAAAACTGCACTTTTTACACCCGAAATGGTATGTTGCCTCAAGTGTAACATAGCTTAGATGTAATTTTTAGTTTTTGGTGATAATTACAAAAATGTTCTACATGGTCGAAAACATACACCTAAACTCGATTTGCACTAAAACTGAGCTTCGTTTTCTCGATCAGGGCACATCTTTTTTGGGGAAGAAAGTTACAGTAATCCGTCATACGGTAATTTTGGGCAAAAACAAAGAAAGCGAATGTTCTATGTCTAGTGTTGATTAGATTGACCAAGTTTCGCTAAATTCTGAGACACCGATTTTAACAATGTCCGCCCCCTGTTAGGCTAACCTCCAAAGTGTTGCAAAACTTGTTTTAACTCAAATATTATCCTAGCTGTAAGAACGCAAAATTTTTTTGCCCAAGCTGGGAATCGAACCTGTCTTGGTTTGGCTTATCAGCCTGCTCAGCAACCACTGCACTATTGAAGCAACTCTCTTCGAGGATTTTTATCTGCTCAAGAGAAAGAAAGATTTTTGTTGCGAAATGACCTAAAAATAATGAAATTTACAGTATGTCGTCGCGGAAAGGCATTCTGCAAAAAATGAAAATGGTGTCTTGCACCATTTTTCAAGGGCTTTCCAATGGTGTATATCACTTGCCATTTGGTGAGGGTTCGTTTGTACACTTCCCTAGTTAGACAAAAAAATCTCGGTTGTTTCTGCAAAGCGCGAGCTAGAAATCTTACATGCGACTTCGAAGAAATTTATCTGGCTCTGTGAGAAGTCTCATAAAACTCTGAGCATCGCATTTCACGGATTTGGAATATTGAAAAATTCAAAAATATATAAATTTTGAATCTCTTTACAATGATTTTCAGCTAACAAGCCGAGGAACGGTGTTTGGCAAACGGAAAGACAACCCCAACAATTTCGCTCCTGCCACATCCCTGACCATTTTTACTGCGATTTCACTGCCAATAGGATTTATTTTGTTTGTATGAAACCTGGAAATTTATATTACTGTGCTTTAACATTGAAGAAATCAAAGTCATTGTAAATAAACTACGTATAATTCATTCGAATCAAGTCTTAAATGTTGCGAAAACGTGGCGCCAGATGGTTGAGTCAGAAAACGCTTTGTTCATGCTTATAGAGATCATAATTTATATCTTTATTTTGTTCGCAAGGGGTAGCCATGGCGAATAATTAGCAGATCAGATAATTCTCCAATAATTTTTTTATGTCATCTACAGTGCGGTATATGGAGTCTTACTTAGTTTGTTTGTATAATAACTATTTATAATAACTTTTGATACAGGGTGGGGCATCTTTGTGGCCCAATGAGGGTTCAGGGAAAAAAGAATTTTAAAATTTGGCCGAAAACTAAAGAAGTTATAGTCAATTCAAATCGGGCCACAAAGATGCCCCACCCTGTATTTATAATAACTCGGCAACAGATTTTTTTGGAACTTATATTTTTTCAATTTTGGGGCCACCAGGTTTTTCTGGTATAATTTTTTACATCTACTGTCATCCCTGTAAAAGACTGTTTATAAAAAACGATGTCGGAGGTCCCAAGAGTCACCAAAAGCACTGTACATAGAACGAAATCTTTTTATACGAAATTTATTTTCATTTGTCGTATAAAAAAAGGGTTGCCCGTGGACTGAGTTGGCCCATAACATTGAACCGGTTGAATTAGCAATACTTTCTTTCCGTCATTTCACAAAATCCGTGATCTTCCCGCAGGACAAGTTATGGGGCTTACTGGCTTACTGTTAAGTAAGCCTTATGGGGCTTACTGTTTTCATTTTTACTGTCTTCATAATCTTTGATACACCATGGCTATTAAAATTTCAAAAAATATGCTGACGCATTGATATCGAAAGAACCGTTGTTGTCACTATTGAAGTTCCTTAATTTTGATCTTATATAAAATATATTACATATAATACATATATAATACGATTTTTTCTTACGCCTTCACTTATATGCACATATATTAATATACTATGTAGAAATATAGTGTTAATTGCTGTTGATGATTCATATATTAATTACATATTCTACCATAATACAAATATGTATACAATAATAACAAAAAAAAAATACGAACATAATATTTTGAAGGATAAGACTGTGGAGAGGAGTGCCTATTTTACAGGTATATATACCCTGAACAATTTTGCAAATTTTACCAGCTCTCAAAAATGCATGTACCTTTTGATAGCACCAAAATATACGTTTTTCAAACCGGAAGAGGTCGGGGCTATCAGGCATCACTTTTTCAAAGAGGTTATGGCTACGTCCCGCAACATGGTAATCGTTCTGGGTTTCTGAAATCTTTTTGAAGGTTTCAGTCACCGGTGCTGAGGGATCTGGCCAGTGAAGCTGGAAAGGAAGCCCTTATCACTGGAAGTAACGTCTTAAATGATGTAATATGTAGACAAGAAGCCGTTAACGCAAAGTCTTAGAACTAATGTGCAGAAACACCTTTTCGTTTCCATGTAGAGTCAGGCCCCCAGTTTCTAGATCTTTCAAAAAGTTATTTACTCACAGAGACGCACGTTGAACATAAAAAGGAAGGTACTTGGGATGACCTTCAGAGTTATAGGTCATATTCTAAGCTACCCTCAAGATGCTATGGATTCACATATGCAAATGGTTGGCTGGTATTCTGATGAAAAAATCGATACTTTGACCAACAAAGGCGTTTTGGAAAGAAAAAAGTTAGCAGACAGTGTCAGACAACAATTTATAACTAGATTTTTTTCTGATATTTTCATGCTTCCTTGTCACATGCTATCATATTGCACACTAAACTTCGAAATTTCGCCCCAAAGGGAAAATTTCTGTATTCAGGGTGATCCTGAAGACAAGAACGAATGCCGATTTGCTGTTGATAACATCAACCTATACGTGAAAACTGTTGCACTCAACGATGGTGTGTCCTTAGGATTTACTGAAAGTCTGATGAAATCACCAGCCATTTACCCATTAAAAAGGGATGAATTAAAACCTTTTTACATTGGTGAAGGTCGTTCAGAAAGCTCTATATCCTTATTCATGGAACAGGTGCCCAGAAAAGAAATTATCGGTTTCGTCCCTCACGCCCACAACAAATCTACATCTATAATAAAAAATCACCATTCCAATTTACAAATGTCAACTTGAGATCTGTTACAATAAACGCAAATGGTCAATCTTACCCACATGTTGACCTATTATATGTAGATTCTGCTTAAAAGCAGAATCGCTATCTTCGTGCACATCATCAACTACATGAAAACTTGGACAACACATTTTCAACAGCATCAAACACTATTACAAAGCAAAAATTTAAAACTGATCGTTGCTTATTTGTTTTCAACTTGACATCTAATCTAGAAGATGGTAATTCTTTTGATCTGATTAAAAGGTCAAACACTGTAGTAAATCTAAAATTCTCAGAAACGGTACCAAAAGGTGGTCTTATGATCAGAGATTGCCACGGTCAAAATTTCGGCTCCGGCTCCGGCTCTTAGCTCCCAGAGCCGGAGCCGAGGCCAATTTTGCAGCTCCGGCTCCCGGCTCCCATAAAAAATTTAAAAAGGTCTCCGGCTCCGAATCCTGGCTCCCGTGCAAAAATTTTTTTTAAATATCTTTCCAAAAATAAAAGTTATTAGTGCCGGATATCATACACCCAACGTTTTTGCAGCCAATTCGTATGCAGCACATCCTTTCCAGTATTTTTCAAGCAATTTGGTTTATGAAATTTTTACTTTTCTGAGCGCTGAGAAGCCTGGCTCCAACTTTGGGCTCGGGAGCCGGAGCCGCACCCAAAATTTCCGGCTCCGGCTCCGACTCCCGGCTCGGAGCCGGAGCCGCTCAGAGCCGGAGCCAAGAGCCAGCTCCGGAGCCGTGGCATTCTCTGCTTATGATGATTGTGTATGGAGTGTTTCAAAGCCTGCTTGTATTAGGAAACGATAGGGTTCCATCGACAGATCTGCAGTCTGGTTAAATTCTTGTTTTTTAAATATTTTAAAAAATTTCTTGCTGTATATTATTCAATAAAAATTTAAATTAATCTATGTCCATGATCTCACGCAAACACAGATGGTGACTTCGCCGTAACAATCGATATAGTGCCAACAGGCGTGAAACTGCTTATCTGTCACGCCCGATCCTTTAGATAAAACCTTTTCTTATTAAAGTAAACTATGGGGGTGATGACCAATAGTTTACATAGTTATGTTTTTTATTATAATTCTTTAATTTTTAATAAAATTTACTTAAAATTTATTTTTTAGAATGTGGTTCGAAACATTCATAACACTCTGCTCAGTGCATCTGTACGTCCGAAACGCCAGAGGTACACCAAAGTTCGCTCTGAACATACAAACTGCGTAAATGACTTACCAAGGATGGAGCAGTTGCTCGACACTTTAGTGGCCTCTTTATTGGACCAAATCGCGACAGATACAATTACTACAACAACAACAACACTGGTAAACCTTCTACTGAACGGGAACACAACAATTCAGGCCAATCTCCCTTATTGTATAAACTGTAAGTTTTCAAAAAAAATTTTTTTTAATATAATATTACATTAATTTTGTGCATAATAAAATATAATTTGGAAAATAGTAACGTAATTAATGAATGCCAGAGTATGAAAACGAAATGTGAAATAATCAACGAGTTATTTCAACTACAGTCAGTCGCCACTCAATTTACAAACAACACACAAGAATCCTACCAAATCTAAAACCAACTCCTCCAGAGACTTTAATTTCAACTTTATTCAACTTTCAACATAAATATGACGATTTGAAAAAAGGGATCGAGTACAAAACTGTCTAAAAATGGACTACATACACTACAATATATCTTGTGTAAAATTGGACAATATAAACAATAATTTCTTGGGAAAGTATTGTAAATACTCGGGGAGTACCGGGCCAAGACCTGTTCTGTTCTTGGATGGGCAAATGGGTGGATTAAAAGGGGATTTCAGGGTGGAGTAAGAGAGGGTCTAAGGCACTGTTATGGGGCGGTGATAGGTCGCAATCATGAGTGTCAGAAAATGGCTTTAAAAACGTTTTAAAAAGTGGTTCAAATGGCGTCGCACTGAGTGAAAATGGCACAAATATTTCGACTACTCAATTCCGAAATCGCAATTAAAATTTTCAAACAAAAATTGTAAATTTCCGACTACCGTAAACAACATAGTAAAAGAGACTATTTTCAAATGAAATACACGTTAATTGATGGTCTAATCCGACTCTTGGCTGTTGAGTCGAGGGCGGCAGATGCTGATTTCGCGGATTGTGGCTTGGGCCATGCCTCCGAGGAGGACTTCTGGGCAAGAGACGAACACGTAGTTCTGGTTGTTGTACTTGGCGCAGGCGTTTGATACCTGAAAAAAAGTAAGTAAAAAAATAAAAAAATAACATCAAAATGCCACTATTTGAATATTCAATCCCAGAAATCAAAAAAAAATTTTAACAAAAAAAAACTTTTTTAATTCTCAAATTCAACTACCCAAAATTCAAATTTTCAATCCAAACTCAAAATTCTCCATCAATAACTTACAGTATTTTGCAAATTCTTATCCGACGTTACCCAAACAGTGAACACTCCAGTTGGATTCTTCTGCAGACAAGCTTCGAGCATTGGCAGATCAGTCATCGAGTCTCCGCAAACCAAAATCGATCCGTTTGAGAGGTCAAGTTTGGCGTGTTTGACGAGGAGTTCAATTCCATCTCCTTTGTCAAAGATTTCTCCCGTCTCGGACTTCAGGAAGATCTTCAAATCCGTTTCTGTCTCTATGATGGACAAAGAATTTCCTTGTGGGTCGATTTTGCCGACAATTTCACGAATTCTTTCGTCTCTGGAAAAAGAAAAAAAAAATAATTTATTGAATCTTATTCAATTTTAAACGATGATTTTATATGTCAGAAAGATTTATAGCATCCAAATAAAATTTTTATTACCTAAATAGACAAGTGTAATATAACCTAAAATTTGATGCTAAACCTGTCGAAATATTCTTACAAAATTCCAAAAACAAGATCATTAACCTCTTTTCTATCTACACTCAACTTTTCTATTACCATAAAAAGTTATAACTATCTTAAACACACCTTTCAAAAAAAAATCATCAAAATGGGCATGGATAATATAATTGTCAATTTCGTTGCTCAACTCTCAAAAATTCATCCCAATTCCTTGCAAAATATTTTCTTTAGTACCTAATCTTCCATAAATTACTTACAACTCCTTGACATTCTGCTCCTTTACACTTCCAAATGCGTCTTGATGAGCCACAGTCAAATGTCCGTAATGTTTTTGCAGTCCGCTTCCGACCCAAGTGAAATGTTTGAACTTGGGTTCCTCCAGGAAGTCAGCAATGGCATTAAATACAGTGTCCAGCATTTCTAGGTCGGCCTCGGGTATCGATTGATCCTTAAACTTCGTCGCCGGGTCAATGAACCATTCCCTTCCGGCCGAGGCTCCAAAGTAATAGTATCCTTCCGGGATCGTGCTCACATCCAGAACTCCAATTCTCATCATCGGTGCTGTCGTCACAATGGCGCAAGTTTGCGCGCATCTTCGTGCAAACTGTGCCTGAATCACGCCAGAGTAGGCGGGTTGAACCGAGGCTGGATAGGAGCAAGAATACGACTTCAAAGTTCCATCACGGTCCGTGAAGAAGAAGTTGAAATGATCGGCGTCGGTGAACAGGTCCACCACGGCCATCACTTCTTCGCGGAACTTCTCGCTGCTCACTGGGTGATACTCTTGGAGGGACTAAATAATTTTGAAAAAATAAAAAATTATATTAACCTACATTGATGAACTGTTCCACATTGTAAACATCGTCGCTTTGGATGAATTTTAAAAAGTTCAAGTCTTTTTCGAATTCATCAAGCTCCGTTTTGATGTCGAATCGGGCCATTTGGACCTTATCATCGTCGGCGATATCGCTGGAGGGCTTTAGAAGGATCGTTTTTGAGTGGTGTTCACATGCCAATGATAGCGATTCCTGGAATTAAAATCACTTTAAACCTCATTTTCAACCCGAATTAATCATTTTATTCCCATTTTAATCCCCATTCCATAAAAAATTTTCAAAAATTTCTCCAAAATTATATTATCCTTACCTTGGCATTGTTCAAGCTGATGCCAAAATGGCTTCGAATCGGGATTCCTTTCAACACCCTCTCCACAATCTGCCTTCTCACGTCTCGAGACCTCATCATCAATGTGTAAAAGTCGTCCAGAGTCTGAACTTCGCTCTGTTTTATGACCAAATGGCTCCATCCCGGGTCCAGGAAGGCGGCGGACCATCGTTCAATGTCATTGTTCATGATGAATTCGTGCAATCGTTTGCCATGAGTGGCTCTGACCTCTACTGGTTCTGTGGCGGCTGCATACAGGATATCGGCATATCTTTCGACATCATTTAGGTCGTCTACTCTGTGATAGGCCTGATCTTCGTCTTCCATTAATCCAGCCATCGTGAACTGGATCTCCGAGCCGGCGCCGGTCGAGAGGACCAGTCCTCCCGATGGGTTGCAGACCATCATTTCCTTCGCGACCAAGTTCATTCCATCCTTTCGTGGGGTCACAACTCCAATGTCCATTGCAATGTAATGACTGACCAGATCAACTCGTTGCAGACCGTCCGTGCGGAAGATCAACGGCTTCCAATTGGGGTTTTCGGGGCAGGTGACAGACTTGACAATCTCTTCGGCCAACTCGGTACACTCGTCTTGATATACACGGTAAGTATCGACGGAGCGGCGGTTAGTTACAGCTACCTAAAACAATTTCGTGAATAAAAAAATAAAAATTTTGAATTGAACAGCACTGTGGAGGAGCATTTTTACAGTGGGGGACATGATCCAGTGGCAAAAAATTTACCATTTTGCACCCGGGAAGTATCAAAAATGTGGCAAAATGTTTCCCTCTTCAAGTGAAAAAATCCGATTCCAAAAGCCCGCCCGTTCTTTTTTGTGAGGGAAGGGCGCCCTTCAAAACGAAGTTTTTTTCACTTTGAAAGGGAAGCATTTTGCCACAATTTTGATGCTTCCCGGATGCAAAATAGTACGTTTCTTGCCACTGGATCCGGTCCGTCACTGTACATTGAATAAGCCTCCATTAAACTTCTATTCAACCTAAAAACAAAGAAAAATAATAAAAATCTCACCTGATACAGGCAATCCTTGCCGACTCTGTCTGGATACTTCTCGAAATATCTTTTGTAGGCCTTCAGTTTCTCTCGGATTCCCTTTGTGTAGTCGAATCGTTCAACCGAGAAGAATAACCGGGCATCTTGTGGAGGATTATCGCCAAAAATCTAAAAATTTTCGAAATAAAAACCAAAATTATATTATTTTAGTAAAAAACTGACATCTAAAGTAAAAAACCCCATATCCAATCAAAATCTTACCCTCTGTCTGATATCATTGGCTCTTTTGATAGTTTCCGGATCCTTCGCTACCTTCAAAAAGTCCTCGTTTTTGATGCTGACTGGGAAAACGCCCAACGAACAGCTCCAGCCTTGGTAAGTGACCACATGAATATCCAGATTGGCGTCGAAAGTGATTCGAACTGTTTGTAGATGCTTCTGAATCAATTCGAGGAACTTGGCGCGGTCTCTGTGGGTTTGGAACCCGACCTACAACAAGATTTTTTTATTTGATTTTTTTTTTTTTTTTTTTTGAAAAAATACTACCGTAATTATAGCTACCTACCTTGGTAAATCTCAAAAGTCCTCTCAGAATGGGGAACGCGCAGATACGATACTTGGTGAAGAAATTCTCTGGTGGAAGGAACGGAATGTGAAGGAAGAACCCAATCTCCAGATTTTGATCCAAACTCTGCATAATCATTCCGGTCAACATCAAGTGGTAGTCATGGATCCAGATAAAATCCTGAAAGTTACAAAGGTAATCATTTCTCATTTTTAGTTTTTTTTTTAAGTTTTCGCACAGTGCAAATTTTCAAATTTTTTCCACTGCACAGTGCGGCGGTAAAAAATTTAACTTTGCACAGTGCATTCACAACAAAAAGTACTATATTTTATTGCAATCAAAGTAAATTTAGTATTCCTCGTTAATTCCACTATCAAAAAGTTAGTTTTATACTGCACAGTGCAAAATTCCCGAACGATTTTTTCCACCGCACTGTGCGAAATTAATATTTTCGCAAACTGCACTGTGCCGTCAAAACAAAAATGGCTAAATTATTATCAAGGAAACAAATTTTATAGCTCTCTTCTTTTCTACTATCACAACGAGGCATTTCGCATCAACTGCACAGTGCAAAAAAACAAATTTTTCCTTTTCCGCACCGTGCAAAAGTTCATTATCCAAATTTCTGCACTGTGCGAAAGCTAACCATTATACAGTAAGGGACCTGATCCAGTGGCAAAAAACGCATCATTTTGCATCCGGGAAGTATCAAAAATGTGGCAAAATGCCTCCCTCTCCAACTAAATTTGGACTCAATTTTGAATTGCGCGCCCTTTCCCTCACAAAAAGAGAGTTTTAAATCAAATCGGAGTTTTTTCACTTGAAGAGGGAGGTATTTTGCCACATTTTTGATACTTCCCGGATGCAAAATGGCACGTTTTTTGCCACTGGATCAGGTCCGCCACTGTATTTTTCAGAAAACCTCCCAAAGTCTCCAAAAAAATTGCTCAACTCACTTGTGGTCGGCTATTTCTAACAGCATCAATTGCGAACTGATAATTGACCCGGACATAGCTGCACCAATGCTCTCGGAGGACCGCAACATCATCGTAATCCGTGGCAATGTATTCCGGGAGATTGTGGAGGGCTGGCCAGAGGAGTCCGTTACTTATCCCACCGTAATACACATTGTAGTCCTGTTCCTGGACAATAACCGGGTTCAATTTGTAATTTCCTTTATTGTAGTTGTTCAGGACCCCAAGTAGGGACATTTCTTCCCTAAAATCAGAAAATCCTCAATAAATTTGTCGCCGAAAATTGGAGAAAAGGTTTCTAAACCAAAAGTTTCGGCGTTGGAGCAGGCTTTGGCTAACGGACAGTTGAAGGACAGGACTTTCGACAATTTCCGTTCGGAACAGAGGATTTAGACATCGAAAATTTGTAATTATGCACACTCAAGGGTTAGTACATTAGTTTTAACACACCTCCTACAGTCATCTTAAATTTCAATATTAAAAATTGTTTTAAATTTCAAACAATTACAGAAAAAATATAAAACTACGATAAAAAACCATCACAACCTCGTATGAAAATGACTTCTAATGTTGTGTAATTTCACCTCACACCTGTTAGTATCGTCTACGGGACAGAGAAACACCAAAAAACAACATCTTTTATCCAAAAATTACAATCTTTTCGCTAAAATTCGGTGTTTTTCTAAAGCCTGTAGATCCAACGTTATGTTTTTGTAACTGATAGACTTCTGAGAGATTACTGTGGGCTTCTCAAGCTTTTAATAGGTTATAAAAACCCTCAATCTACCTCAAAACCCACGAAATTACAGCGAAATTACACTTGGTCATCAAAAAATGCCAAAAAATTTCAATTTTTCGCCAAAAAGTGACTTCTTACTGAAACTAAACCAAAATAATCGCTCTAGAAACCCTGTTAACTTCACAAATGAGCCTACAACCCATAAGGGTTCCCAATCCAGCTGCACAGTAATCCCTCAAGACGAACGGAAAATGGGAGAAGCCAAATGAAAAACTGAACCAAAGCGTTTGGCCGGCGTGTTTGGGGTTTCCCGACCTGACGGTTTTCTGTTCGGCACTCTCCTTCTCCTCCTTGATGTCATCGTCAGCCAGGACGTGGAAGAGGACGTCAGCCAGGGCCTGTCGCATCAACGGGAGACCCAAAGTGTTGGTGGTCGGGGCAAGTTGTTGCGAGTCTTCGGAGACATTCAGGAGCTCATTCGATCTGAAAAAGACTGTTATCAGATCTTTTCAATATTTATTTCATCTACCAAAAACGGCTCAAATACCCGTTAACCCAAAAATATCGAAACTGGGACTATTGAGGAAACCGAAAAATATTATTTTTCTTCGATGCAAGTGTCGAAATTACGACAATCGAGGTGTTGATTTCGAAAATGACATTCCTTTTTTTGATTACTTTTTTTTAAGTAGTACTGTAAAGTAGTAATTTTTAAATTTTTTTCACAAATCTTCGATTTGGGGGTTTTCGATGGTGCTGCTTTGAAATCAGTAAAAATAAATAAGATTTTCAAAATCAGCAAGGTCGAAAACCCCTAAATCGGGTATTTGTGAAAAAAAATCAAAAAATTCCTACTTTACAGTACTACTTACAGAAAAAAGGGTCAAAAAAATGAATATCATTTTCGAAATCAGCACTCTCGGTTATCCTAGTTCGACACTTGCATTGAAGAAAAATAATACTTTTCGGTTTTTCGTCTTTTTTCCCAATCGTCCAACTCCGCAAAATATCATATTACACTAGCCAAAACTGACTTCAACTTATGTCCAATGTTCATTCCAAGGTTGGCCAGCCACATATTCTCGTGGTTCACAGACATGACCGGATCTACACACGAAACCAAGCCTCCGGAGCCCTGTTTGATCTCCCATTCGCCGGATTTTTCTCTTTTTAGAGACACTGGTGGGGCATTTGAAACGTTGATAACCCGTTGCTGGAAATGAGTGTTGGCAAGTCCGCCGGATGTAAAGGTTTCTGATTCATTGTCATGATGAGCGAGGAGTCCGCTGTCGGTGCTGTCGATGGAAAATGTTCGCTTGGCGCGGCGTTTTCCCATTTCGAAGCCTGGAAGGAGAAAAAATTAGCAAATTTTTTAAAATTTCAAAAAAAATGCTATTTTAAATCAAATTTTTATGTTCTCACCGCCTTCTTCTTTCATTTTCTAGCATACAAAATGCCACATGCTTCGTATTTTACCCCAAAAAACTTATAATTTATCAAAAATCATAAAAAACAAGCCCAAAATCAATTTTCCTTCGATTTCCCATAAAATTCGGTCCAAAAAAACTTACTGTTGCCATCTTCATCATCGCTGTTGTGTTGCGAGTTGCTTAGACTGAGATTTTCAACACCCAAATGGCTTCCATTCAAAGAGTCGCTCGAGTTTTGCAGGGATGACCTTGAAAGTGATCTTCTTCGTTGCAAATTATGGTATTGCTCGCCGAATCTCTTGGCATGGACCCCTGAAAAATGCCAATAGTGATATGTAAGACTGTATTTTATATATTAGGAGGAAAATCCGCAAATAAAATCAGATTTTTCGCAGCATTCTGGGACAAAAATTAAATTCAATCGAGGAAATATGACCTATGTGAAGAAATTGTCAAAAAATAAATAATTCCATACCCAATAAGCTCTTCCTGATTCCGGGCACAGCAGCATAAAGCTCCTTGAGTCTGCTCTTCCCCGTATTCACATCATATAAGGTCAAACTGAACAGCAGCGCGTCTCTGTATTTGGTTCCATGAGACATATCCGAATCGTAAATATACGGGATCGCCGACCTCCAGAATTGCACTGTGTGATAGCCGAGGGCATTGACAAACTTCTCGAAGAACTCGTTACTGTCGAAACTGTACTGAAGGCAATACTCGAGGACCGAAAGGATGCCTTGCAGAGCGATTTCGGAGTGAGAATCGCGTCTCCGCCATCGGCTGATTATTGTCTCGAGGGCTTTGTCATTGTAATCTTCCGTGTTCGGGTCCAGTTCAACGTTCAGAGACTTTAGCGTCTTTTCCAGCCTCTGGAAAAAAGGATTCAGACTAATGTCAAGTATAATATAAAAATCTCGCCATTTGGACAGCTAAACCAACAACCTACCGTTGTTATGGCCTCATTGGAGAAGTTGCTCGCCCCAGGCATGGTTCGCTGAGGGTCGCGGCGTTGAAAGGGCTTCAGCAAATTGCACGCGGCCGCCTGTTCGACTGGTATTGAATCTGCAACGAATAAATTATATTATTTTAGGTAATATTTCACAAAACGTTATCAAATTTGATCCAATTCTTCTCCATGATCAATACTCAATGTCATAAAAACAATGGGAAATTAGGCAGCCGCAGATAAGAGCAATTTGATTATGAAAAAAAAGGAGTCAAAAGTTCGTCTCTGGAAAATTTTCGAGCACAAAACAAGTCAAAACATTGGACAAACAGCGGGGCGTTCCTATCGTGCGGCCGCGGGGATCCTTCTCGAAACAACCAGCTGGCCATTTCAGACGGAATGGACGTTCATCCTATATTACACTAGAAATTTCGGGCAAAAAATATTAAAAAGTAGCCCAATGAAGAGTAAAATACGTCCTTTCTACTATAATCTTCCAGAAAATTAACCTTTTAGACCCATAAACTAAGAGAAAATACCAAAAATTTCGCCGTTTTCGCAATTTTCCGAAAATTTAGGTAATAAAATTGTCTCAAGCCGGATATTTTTGTGAAAACGTCTCATGATATTCATATTGAACTAAATCGCAAGACGTTTTAATCATCGTGCACGCCAGAGACACGTGAATTATCTAAAATATCGAAGAAAAAGTCCAATTCGCACTTTAGACATCGAACCTAGCCAAAACAAGGTCGGAAATGCGAAAAACAAAACATTTTCGGGAGTTTTGAGACTCGGCTAGCTCAAAATTTGCCATACGAGCATTTGGAATCTAACACTTTGTCAAAATTCAAGGCCAAAGAGTGAAAATTTTTCGTAAGCACGAGAATTCGGCCGAATTCCCATAAAGTTTCAAAATTTCGAGTAAAAATAGATTAATCGGATAAAATTCAGCTAGAAACAAGTCGAATAAGATAAAGAACATCTCTATCTATCCAAACTCTCCAAAGAATTGGCCAAATTCGCCAAAAAACTGTGGAAATTTGAGTGAAAACGGGGAAAAAAATATTTTTTCGGACGAAAAAGAGTTCTTCGAAGAAATTTCTTTTTGTGTTCTTTTTTGGCCGCAGAAAGTGGCCAAAGGGGAGAGAGGAGTGCTAAATAACAACATTGAGGACTCTACGAATATGTTTTTGCAAGGCTTAGGGGATTTAATCGGCCAGAGATCCGTTCTAGGACGAGAAAGGTCTAATTTAGTTAATGGGGAAGATGTTGATGCTGTTCTGGACGGAAATGATGGCCTAGAAAACAATAAATAGGACTACATTAGAGCTTTATGACGTGGTTGTGCCATATAGAATGGTATGGCATTGGTGACGTTGCATTAGACACTTTTTTGAAAAACTTTTTTGACCTTGTACTAAATTTTACCGGTCATGGACAAATTTTATGTGAAAACTCAATTTTGAATCGCTCGATTGACCTAAAACTTCCCCAATACGGTTCTGAGAGCATAATAAACACCTTGCAATCAGCCGGTCTCTACAGATCCCTCATTTTTCTAATTAATATCATCTTTTGCTCATGAGTAACATCAGAAGTGCATGAGAACCCGAGTTTTCATGATACTCTAAAAATAACTCTTTCCCAAAATAAGTAAAGTGACTAAAGTTCCGAGTATTCGATCATTTTCGGAAATAAATAGCGGCCATTTTCGTTATTGCAGAAAACACGCAGAAAGTGAAGGTACCCAGAATTCCTTTTGCCTTTCTTTTGGTGTAAAGTGTAAATAACGCTCAATCGTAATATGCTTTTTATAAGTCCGAGCACGTTATCAGGAATTAAATTGCAGAGTCTTAAAGGTTATAAAAAGAGTAATCGCTTTTGAGGGTACAATGGTCAAGGAGAAGATGACAAAGTGAAATAAGAGTTACGGAAATGGGAAATTTGTCTAAATTATGACAGATATAAGGGGATAACATAGCCTAGGATCCCTGAAAACTCCAAAAAATATCAAAAAATTATATTACACTAGGTCGTCGAGCTCCTGAAACTCATTTTTTCTCCTAATTTAATGTTGCAACTGCTCTCTTTATCCTCTAAATTGCACACTTTGCCCTTGTTTTCCTCGAAATTTCAAAAAAATAAGGCCTAAAGCAAATATTTTCGACTTCTCGGTCCTTGAAATACCCATTTTGCCCGCAAAAACACTGGCCTGGTTCTTGATCTTATAATAAGAACGACGATAAGCTCGGCATATGTTTCCCGGCCATTTCTACAACATTACGATGAGCAGTGCCCAAAAATATGTCGAAAGCGCTCCTCCCAAGAACCGCATGGTTAATGTTTACAAACAAGGCGAAAGATTGATGGCTATTATGGGATTACCTCGCCGATTTTTGGTGATGTAACCCGGTATTGCCTAGTTGATCTTTAGTCTAAATCTTATGTAATAAGGCCTCGAAAAGAGCAATTATTGCATAGTGCAAAGGAAGGTGCTGAAAGTTGCGTAAAACCGAAGGGAATTAATGGCGAGGTGCAGAGGGGATGACTAAAATCGTGTGAGCGATGTTTGCATAGCCAGTTATTAGCGTTGCAGGATACATTTTGGGGAGGCTTTTGAGGGCATCTTGAGTGCGATGACACAAACTATTGGCTAGACTTATGCAGTGGGGGACCTGATCCAGTGGCAAAAAACGCACCATTTTGCATCCGGGAAGTATCAAAAATGTGGCAAAATACCTCCCTCTCCAAGTGAAAAAACTCCGATTTTCCTTTTTATGACGGAAAGCCCTTCAAAACGAAGTTTTTCACTTGGAGAGGGAAGCATTTTGACACATTTTTGATGCTTCCCGGATGCAAAGTGGCACGTTTTTTGCTACTGGACCAGGTATCCTAATGTATTTATCTTTCATTGAAATGTTCAAAATTCGGAGTATATAACTTTCTTATAAAGCTTTATCTCGAAACTTGCGGATGCTGCCAAGATTTTCAACCAAAGATTGTTCAAAAATTGGCTGTGTTTTCGATGATTTTTGCGCTTAAAAATAGCTTCTTTTTGTCCACCTATATTAAGGGTATTTTTTTAAATTTTTAGAGAACCTATTTGAGCTATGACAATTTAGCTTGAAAGAAGAGATTTCATAAATAACCTCAGCCCATATGATCTACGGTTTTGTCGGATCAAACAACTAATTTTATCCGGGCCACCCAGCTGTTTTGTTTCTTTTTCGTTCGATATCATTTATAAGGCTGCTTCTGGGCATTTGAGCAATGGAACCTTGACTTAGCGTTTCCATCTGCTGTAAAGAAGACTTCCAAACTTACCCTTGATATACAACACATGACTACTCCCATATCTTATTGTATTCAAAAGCGTACTGGAATTCTCCTGTACCACGGCCATCTTTTGTCAGCAACACACTACAGTAGCCTCGAACGCACTTAATCAAACTGTTCTCAAACGAATGACTACTCTGGTTTCCCAGTTCAGCCCTAGAAGTTTCCGCGACGCCTCGAGTTCGCGCTGTTTTTGCCTTTTTTATCAATGATTTCGGGAAATTTCTACATAAACTGATCGCAATAATATTGTCGTTATCGATGGGGAGAAGAAGGGAAAGATTTCTCTTACCTGCCGCCGTTACTGCAATCACCGGCGCCGAGTGCACCCGATCTTTGAACGAACACAACTTTCCTTTGTCTGCCACCACCATTGTTGGGTGGTCGTCTGAAAATTGCAAACTGGATTAGATTTTAAAATACGGCAGGCTTGATATCACGGAAAAAATTCACGGGTAAATAGGGAATACAGAGTTTCTGCGGCGTTTGCGGGGAAGTGAAGGAAGGCGGGTCAAAGTAACCAATGTGGATATTTCTTAACGGTCATTAGGGTCAGAGTTGGTAGAAATTTAGACTGAAGCTGTTATAGCCATACAAAAGATTGTTAAAAGATCTGAATTTGAGTGTCTGGAGAGAACCTCTGCAAAGCGTATTTGTCAATTGTTCCAACGAATTGCAAGGACCAAAAAAATTATTTGCTATAACAAGATTGCTTTAGGTCAAGGCTCATTTTTGCCCAAAAAAAGACCGTTAATATCTCTGAAGTTGTTTATTATAGTCGTTTCCTTTATACTGTAGCTCTTTGTGCAGAAGTTTCAGGGCAGGTGAAACAAATTTCTACAATAAAACAGAACCATTTGAAAGTAAAAATTCTATAAAACTAAAAATTTTGCAAGTGGTCTCTATAGGTGACAAGCGGGCCTGGCCGAGGCGGTAAGGCCAGCCAAGAGGGTTTTTTTTAAATATCTTCATGCCCGGCCCAGCCCAGTGAAAGCCCGGTCCGGCCCTGTTTGGCCCGCGAACACGAGAAGTCGAGTAAAAGAAAGGCTTTTTACTTTTTACCGAAAGCTTTTATGCTCTCCAAAATTTTTTTTTGCGTGGGTACGTGTGAAATTAAAACGGGCAGCGGAATGGCTGGGATAGTTGTAAAGTATCTAAAAACTAGCCAAAAAGCTGGATTAGCCTCAGAACTAGCCAAAAAGTTGGATTGGCAAAGCCCATGCTTTTTTAAATCTGCTCAGGCCAAAAAATAAAACCAGTATCAAACAGAAAAGATAAAAAAGAGCGCATTTTAATGCCGAATTAAATAAGTGGATAACTCTAATTAGAAAATTCCCCCTTGCACCCTCGAAGACTTATAACATTCTCTCGGTTTACAGCATCCGCCCTCAGGCCATCTAAACAGCATGTGAGCGGTCATGTGACGGATCACTCTGCACTTGGGAGGTCATTCCAGGGTAAACAGGTAAATACTTTTAAAAGTAATGTCATTGCTAATATAGTAAATAAATTTTGATGTAACATACGACAAATTGTAAAATTTTAGTTGGAAATAAGAAATATTTTAAAAAATTTTTTGCCTTTTTGAATACAAATAAAACATCAGAAGTAAATTTTGAAATCCTAAAATTTTAAAAAATTCAAAATTTCAGTCAAATTCATGGAAAAAACCCAAAAATCTCCTCCAGAAATCTTTGTAAACAGACAAAAAACGGTGTTCTTTTAACCCCCAGTCTATTCCGGGCCTTCTAATCAAACGGCAAGCATCAGCTGCCGAGTTGAACCTCGAGGCGAAAAGATATTATAAATCGCGAGGTTCCCTCCTCCCGCTTTTTTTGCTAACTTTATTTTCATTTCCCTCTCATTTTTCACGTGCTCGAGGCGTGAAAAACAATCCTGCTTTGTTGTTGTGATCGTTGGAGTCAATGAAACGTCGATTGTTTCAACACAAGTTTCTTGGGTACGGCTGTTGTCAGGAAGAACGCAAAGATGGCAAAAAATATTTGACAAATATTTTGAAATTCGCTCTTAGACTGTAAACAATTTTTGGGAGCAATAGTGAAGCAATTCAGACATCAAAACAGTGAAATTTATCTCCATAGTCCCCAAAAAGACCTTCGAAAAGTTCCTTTCCCAAAACAAGGCATTCGTTGGGGCGGCTCAAGTGCAATCGAGGTCGAAAAAAATGACCAGAAGACGCTGGATTTGATGAAATAAGAACATATGTATTTGATGACTTATAAGAAACAAAAAATGTTTGGGATATCTTTCGAAGTCTTCCCAGGGCCGCAAAAGGTGGTCAAAAAGATTGGAACCCTTTTTATTCCCCGCTATTTGTCCACCAGCGGGTTTCATCCGTAAGACCTTCATGAATTTTTTTATCATACCCACTAAAAGAGCATGTTTTATCTTGAGTTTCTATGGGCTGAGAGTCGGTGAATCCATGCTAATTTTAATGGTCTCTACAAAGCTTCAATACCTATACATATAAGGACAAACTTGGCCTTGGCAGAGGGAATGTTGGCGCGGCGCGGCCGGAAAATAATCGCCGCTTCTGATGACTCAAAGAAAAGTATGGAAAAGGTGGCTACTTTCAATGGGAATGTCATTATTCCGGCTCCAAAAAAGCCAATAAATTGAAAGAATCAAAACGGCCTGAAGATACCCCCTTACAGAGACAAAATTGGGTCAAAAAGTCAAAATCAAGAACAACAAATACGGTTATTCACAGGGAAACAGGCTCTCGTTTTATCTCAAAACGTATCTCGCCGTGTCTTCATAATCTTCTAGCAGTAAATCGAGGTCCCAAATCTTTTGTAGTTTGTAAACAACTTAAAAAAATTTTTGCTGACCACCGCTATCTAAGAGCTCGAAAAAGCCTAAAACTTTGTTAAAATCATGTTGCTAAACCTCGTCAATCAGCAGAGATTACAAGACGACTAATTTTCCACTGACTTTCCGCAACTATGAGCCATCCAAATTAACGTCTTTTTAATTTAGAAGGCATAAGCAAAAACCTTCAGCCTTATGACCGCGTCAACGAAATTGAGAGCAAAGTGGCCGGAAATCCGCTCACATGACCTTGATTTACAAATAATCTATTTTAATTCCCTAAAGAATCTTATTTATCAGTTCAAGCGGTATTTCTCGTTCAAAAGCTCAAAGATAAATGGATTAGCGGTTTTTTCAACAAATTTAGGCGAAGTCATCAAAACGCCTGAGGCTGTTTTATTAAAAAATGTTGAGTAGTCATCAGTTTGGCGAATTTTCCAACTATAAACCCTATTTTCAACTCGCTAAATAAAAATAAAAATTCACCCGAAGCCCGTAAAAATCGGCGAGATTGACCGTTCAAAGTTTTTTCCGTAAAATCAATTCTTATCAACTCCCTCAAGGTCTTCACCAAATATAGAAGTTTTCGTGAAATTTAAAGTGTAAGAAGATGGTGTTTATTATATTTTGGGGTGGCGATAAGAAATGGGGAGTTGTTGGTGATAAACAAGAGGCCCCGACCTCGCCGCAGGTACACTCTGCTTTCGCCGAGCGTACGGCTAAGTGCAAGGGACACAGAGTTCACAGGGTCTGGGACTGTGATTGATCCCGGAAAGAGTTCCTGCAATGAGAATTGGCAGTGTAAACAAGAAATTGGGTACAGATTTGGGAGAAGAGTCTTTGGGATACTTTTTGAGACATTTTTTGAGTGTCATAAAGATTGATGACAAATGTAAAACTATCCTATCCCAAATAAACTACAGTGGGGGACCTGATCCAGTGACAAAAAACGTACCATTTTGGATCCGGGAAGTATCAAAAATGTGGCAAAATGCTTCCCTCTCCAAGTAAAAAAACTCCGATTTCCGCTCGTTTTGTGAGATAAAGGGCGAGCCCTTCAAAACGAACTTTTTTTAGACCCCTTCAGTCATTTTTACCATCCCAAAAAATCTCTCTGGCACTATGAACCCAAAATTTACCACTTTCATCAAGACGATGATTATAATTTCATATACCGCCCAGTTCTTCCCCACAAAGCTAATCAGCGGTGGTTACTCAACTCCCCAAAAGTTTCAGCCATCCCCACCAAAACAGTCGACCCTCCCCTCCCCCGGAATAGAACGCCGTCGACGGAAGGAAGGAAGGGGTCACGTTTTCGTCCCGATTGTCACCGGAGGGCCTAAATGCAAAAAAAAAAGTGAAAAATAACCGGCAGGAACGCGGCGACGGTCGGCGGGCCTCTCCGTCAAAATAATAAACCCGCAAAATCAAAATGGAAGGTATATATTTGATACGAGCGGAGTGGAGTTTCGCCGCAAAATGACGACGCTTTGCCGCCGAATGTCCACGAACTTGTGGGGCGTTTTTGGGGGAAGAGCGAAGAACGAGCGTGATAACCATGCGATCGGAGGCACGTAGACAGAGTTGCAGATCTGTTGGCGGCTCGGAGCCGGGGATTTCATCAACCCGAAATGCCATTTATACGTCACGTTTTACCTACATTACTCATGGGTGGTAAGTGACGCCAAACTAAAATTTCAAGTAAAAAATCGTTGATTGTTAAAGAATTTTATTGATAAAAACATTGTACCAAATATAAGGAATGAGATATGGTTATGAGGAGTCTTCGGATTCGTCGGATTCTCTCGGCAAAAGCGAGAGTTTGAGTTTGAGGCCATCAAGTTCGGAGGTAATGACTTTGAAGCACTCGAAAGGGTCATCGAATTCTGGCTGCTGTCTCCACGGGGGTAGTTCGGGCTTCTTGAATATGCTGTAAGCAAAATAATCAAAAAAAATAACAAAAATCATTCAAAAATAACAAAAAAAATTAAAAAATTAAAAATTAGGTCAATAAGGACATAAAATAAGGTCAGAACTGTCCAAAACTCCACAAATATCCCACCTATCATCAAAATCTCCACTCTCTGCAGTATCAGCGTTCCTGCTATCATTTTTCTTTCCATTATAGTGCCCTCTATTTTGTGTACCATCCAGATTATTCATCTCTGCCGACCTCTTCATTTTTCGTTTTCTTTTCGCTTCCTTCCTTTCACCCTTTTCCTCTTTTCTTCTGGAACGCTTCTCCTTGTCACTGCAACTTTCATTTTCTCGAATCTTTTTCTTATGTTTCTTCTGTTTTTTCTTTGAACTTTCATCCGAATACCGGCTATCTTCACCATCCGATTCCTCCAGGAACTTTGTGTATTCCTGTATTGGGATCCTGATCTTCAACGGTGCAATTTTATCGTGTTCCGAAGCCGCGGGATGACCTAAAAGTTGATTCTTTGGCAAAAAATGATCAAAGTCATCAAAAATTATATTATCCATGACAAAGAACTCACTTCCTGGCTTCCTTTCCATCGCAACTTCGGTAGACCGACTTTGAACAGTGCCTACGCCATTTTCAGAAAGTCTATCCGGTCTTGCATTTCCAAAAATTTGCATAAAAGTGTCGATTGCTTCCTTTCTCGGAGACCTCCGTTTTTCCGGAGTAGCTTCGTCAATGTGTGATCTGGAACGGCGCTTAGAACTTGATTTGGCCTCCACTTTTTTGACGACTTCTGTCTTCTTGTTTCGACTATCTTTTGAGCGTGTTTTTGGGGATCCCAACATCTAAATATTTCTTTTTTTGAGTGTCAAAATAATCATCATGGATAATATAAAAAAACATAAATATTTTGACAACTTCTTTAATTACAAGTAAAATAGCCGTCTGATTATATTACTAGTGCTTATTCTTACCTCAGCCTTTCTTCTTTTGGTAAATTCAGCAAACCTGTCCATCGTAGTAACCTCTTTTAACGATTTCTCCTTTGTCTTGCTGATTACTGGTTCGGAAATCATCTTGGTTGGTCTTGCACAGGCCTGACCCGATGTTTTATACACTGGAGAAGTTCGGCTTCTTTTTACTGCAGTTTTTGTTGTTCTTGCCGGGGCTTTTGGCTTCGTGGGTGTCTAAAATAACATAATTTTAAAAATTGGTAACAATCCAAAAAAAGTTTAAAAGAATCGGCCCCGAAATATCCAAATATTATTAATCATACCTTATGAGTGTCACTGGATCTTCTCCGTCCTTTCGACGACTTCAAAGGTTCGGCTGGGACTAGCACTGGCCCTTGAGGACCAGCCTCGGCAAAGCCCATGTCAACAAGAGAAAGTTCGGCGAAATTGGGTAGGATTGGTTTCTGAGGTGCTGAGAATCTGAAAATGTCATTTTGATTTGGCGGAGAATAAAAAACATTAAGAAAAAAATGACTAACGCCTAGTACAATATCAAAAACCACATAATTTGAAACTGCAACTTAAAGAAAAAGACTTCGAATTATTACACCATCTATGACACAATTTTCTTTATCTAAAACTTACATTTCAATTTTCTTTGGACTTTTTGACATAACACCCACCGGCTCTTTCGCCCGTTGAATCCTTGCGACTTCTGATGCACCTTGTGTGGAAGCGTCGTACTTCAAATTCACTGGGTATTCAGGGACCTGAAGTTGCGATCTCACCGGTCAGCCACGTCCACACTTTGCACTAAACATCAAAACAAATGATGTAACATTACCTGAACATTGGTGTCGAAAGTTCCAACTTGAAGAACATAAGTGTGAAGCTCCTCCAGGTCAATGAACTGATCCTTATACCCAAGAGTAACGTCGGAAATGGTGACTTCTTCATGACCAGCTGAAATTATGGATATTTAGTGCACGGAAAATAGACACCTAAAATAAGGTCAAGATATTCAAAAAAGGAAAGACAACAGATAAACAGCAACTTGTAAGGGTAAGCAACGACAATTCCTCTCTGTTTTAGTTCAAACTTCTTAGATAAAACTTCACAGACGATAGAAATGTCAAAATCTTCTTCCAGGTACCTAAATAACAACAAAAAAAATTCAAATCTCACCGTTTTCCTTGTGAATCGCAATTCTCTTGCAGAGATCTTCAAAGTATCGTTTGGTAAGCAATCCCAGAATCTCCAGGACTGGTTCAGTGGCCGAATGGAACCCGACATTGTCCAAGATTTGTGCCGCACTCCTCTCAAACATCCGTTGGCCAAAGGCCTCCGTCGGAGTTTGAATCATGTCGTGATCTATGAACTTTGGCTAGGGGAACGCTTGACAAATCTGAAACGACGAGGATAGCTTGAAATAATACCTAAAAACGTGTAATTTCAGGCCCCAAAAGTTGAAATTATAAGATTGGCAAAAAAATCGAGAAAATCACGGAAAATCGATAATTCTACGAGAGTTGATGCTCAAAATAAAGCAAATTCGTGAGCAAAAATTGGTTCGGCACCAAAAACGAATATTGGTATAAAACTACGAGACAAATTTTCTCTATTTCCCGGAAATCCGTCGGGCTGACGGAATTTTTTCGACGCATTTCGAAGTTGATAAGCAATTGATGGTATTCTTGGTGGTTAGTGGGAAGAAAATTAATGCGTCACACTTATTCATGGTAGATTGTGCTCTCGCAAGCCTAAACGACTTGTTTTGGTGATCAAATCGCCCAAATTCTGCCCATCCAATCATCGGTAAGTGGATTTGAAGCCGTAAATTCAACCTGCTTGAATTTTTTAACAAGAAATTAATTTTATGGGGGTTTTAGATGTTTTTTTTTCAAATAATGTATATGTATTGTGCCAGTACTACAAGTGAAACAGCAAAAAATCGTGTTGAAACTCCAGCATTCTTCGAAAAGATTCCTTTCCCGCGCTCAATTTCTCCTCTCGAGACCCAAAAAATATTTGAACGCTTCCGAATGTTCGAGAACTTTCGCGCCAAAGCCAGCGAAAACCGGGCGACAGACAGCGGAAAATGCGGAGAAGAGTGGCCAGTGCACGGAACTTGGGAGAAAGGGCTGTCTATTTCGCGTGATTTCTTCGTCAGGCAAGTATTCCGGTGATTTGTTTGGTTCTTCTTGGTTTAGGTTCTCATTTTGGATGGAAGTGGGCGATTTGATCAAGATTTTGCTCAAGGGGATGGCTGGAGCTATATAGTCGCCTGGTGGCTTAGTTTTGTTTGGATTAAATATAGAATGTTTTCCTAGTGCGGTCTTTATATACCTAAAAGTGTGCGTAGTATAGTGTAAGGTAAATCGACGTGTTTGCCCTCAAATTCTCGGCAGCATAAACTAGTGGTGCTCATATGGACTATGTTACCTTTTCAAGCTGTTTTGGTTGAAATACTGCAGTTTTCCGGGTGAAAAATGATCCTTGTTTGTACAATATATTTTCATGTATTTCCGATCAAATCTGTCCGATTTTCATTTTTTCAATCTGTAATCTTCATTAGTGCATTTTGCTCTTGCGTTATCCAAAAGTCTGACACTGCCATCGCCCTTTCGAACGTTCTGTGATTAATTTTCTCTTCGCAACTTGTGCCCTTGGTTAATTCGAACGAAATTTAGTTCGGAACACGACCTTCGCCCAAGGTTTTTATCTCCTTCTTTCGTCCGCTTTCGTCGCCAATGAAAATTCCAAATGGAAGGGGGGAATTTAATTTAAGATTTGATCCGACATCTCTTCCGTTCCTCCGGGCAGTTGGGGGAGGAACGAAAGATGTCAAAATTATTGATCTCTTGGCTTGTTTACTGTCCGGGCAGATGCCAGTCGAAATTGTTGATCAACATTGATAAACAATTTCGATATTGGGTCTCTATTTCCCCGTTTTCTCTCCGCAATTTACCCATAAAACCAGGTCAATTAGTACGTAATTCTGATTACTCATTCAAAACTCCTCTCTCAACGGTGTAATAAACACTACCTTTTATAAAAAAAAACCGAAAACTATATAAAAAAAATGTTGTAAAATTACTTTTTGGGAAGAAATTTCACGATAATTCTAGAAATTTCTGCCATTCCGTCAAACAGCAGTGGGGTTTTTTCCTTCAATATCAGCTGCTGAACAAGTTTCGATGTTTGTTTTTCCCTCTCTAAAACAATTTAGTCTCCAGACGAGTGAACCGTTTGCGATTCTAAATTCAATCGTTTGGGTTTTTTGTTTGTAACAAGCTTTTGTCTAGTGTTTCCACGTGAAAAGCAGGAACTAAGGGTGAGATAGAGATTAAAAAAAGATTTACTGTTGCAGGAAGAGGTGTAGTTAGATGTATTTCCAATTACAGTGGGGGACCTGATCCAGTGGCAAAAAACGTACCGTTTTGTATCCGGGAAGTATCAAAAATGTGGCAAAATGCTTCCCTCTCCATTTTTTTCACTTGGAGAGGGAAGTATTTTGCCACATTTGTGATGCTTCCCGGATGCAAAATGCTACGTTTTTTGCCTCTGGATCACGTCCGTCACTGTATTTTAAATTTAGGAACCAGTTTTTATCTATTTTTTTGTAATGTAATATTTTTTTTGTATTGTCGGGATTTGTTATTTTTTCGTGTATGTGTAATGGTTAGTATATAATCTAATAATTTTTTCCTTTCAGAAATACAGAATTTTATTGTTATTCGCCTAATTCTTACAAATACCCACCAAAATGGGAAAAGACTACTATAAGGTGTTAGGCATCCAGAAGGGTGCCTCGGATGACGATATCAAGAAGGCCTATCGCAAGATGGCCCTCAAGTACCATCCGGATAAGAACAAGGACCCCGCCGCGGAGAACAAGTTCAAAGATGTCGCCGAGGCCTACGACGTCCTCTCGGACCCGAAGAAGAAGGAGATCTACGACAAGTTCGGTGAGGATGGTCTGAAGAACGATGGAATGCCAGGAGGACCTGGTGCGAGTGCGGGTGGAATGCCCGGCGGATTCCATTATACCTTCCAAGGAGACCCGATGAGGATGTTCGCACAAGCATTTGGAGGTGGAAACATCTTCAGCGACTTTAGTGGAATGTCTGGTGGCGGCGGCGGTGGAGGCCCTGAAGTAAGTATTTTGCTGTATTTGATTGTTTTTGAAGTTTAGGTAGAGAGTAATGTTATGAATTCATGATGAATTCCCTTTTTTTGAAATCTGCCCACCTATACCTACGCTAAATACTAATTTCCTTCTTTTAGATGATGTTCGGTGACGATATCTTCGGATTTGGTGGAATGCACGGTGGCGGCGGTGGAATGGGAGGCGGAATGGGCAAAAGAAAGGATCAAACGGTTCAACATGATCTCCCAGTCAGTCTAGAAGATATATACAAAGGGTGCACAAAGAAGATGAAGATTACAAAGTGAGTTCTTATCGTTTTTATTTGGAGTTTTAGGTAGCTGAACTGCAGTCTGATTTCATACCTATAAATTATAAAGAGTTTACGCGTTGATTTTTCAGGAAGATTGTTGGCCAAGATGGATCAGTCAGAACCGAAGATAAGGTGCTGACCTTGACGATAAAGCCGGGATGGAAGGCCGGAACGAAGGTCACATTCCCCAAAGAAGGTGATCAATACCCAGGCCGAGTACCCGCCGATATTGCATTTGTTATCAAGGACAAGCCCCATCCAAAGTTCAAGCGAGATGGTGCGGATATCCGATACAAACATCGCCTCTCACTACGCGATGCTCTCTGCGGTACTCAACTCAACGTCCCCACCTTGGATGGCACCTCCCTGCCACTCAGAATCGAAACAGTCGTCAAGCCCAACACCACCAGGACCATTCCCGGCCAAGGTCTCCCGTTGCCCAAGGAACCGAGCCGTCGCGGAAACTTGATTGTGGAATTCGACGTCCGCTTCCCAGATTCTCTCAGTCCCGCCGCCAAAGAACTGATACGCAATGCCCTGCCTCCCACGTAATTCCGACAAGATTAGGACCCACTGGCAGTAATCCAACTGTGATCTGGGTTACCTGCATTGATTCAATAACTGATTTCTTGTGTTCTTTGTTTTTATACCTTGATTTGGGTGGAAATGAACTCACCGACTTGAATTTCTCTTTTGTATTTTGCGTATATCGATGTCTCGAGGGAAGTGGAATAGTGTAAAGGGGATACTATTTTGTTAATGCTCATTTCCCGCGGGATAAGTGGGTTCCAAGTAAATTTTTGTAATTATTTTTTCATTTTTTTAGTTTTTGGGTGAATATGAGGTCAGTATTGTTGAATTTGAATAAAGAAAAATGAAAATTGTGTTTAGGATTGAAAATTCCGAGGCAATATTTTGGGCAGTAAAACGCACTTATCTCATGTTCGTCCAATTTTTTTCTCAAGTTTTTCCACGTCTTATCCGTTCATGTTCAATTTCCCACCCATAACAACTCGCCCCGAAACGGGTATTCTTCGAAATTGTTCTACCTTTTCTTGAGATATCGTCATATGAACCTTGTCGTATCTGCGCTACTTTCTCTTTAACGAATCGGTGAATCTTGTCGCATCCATACGAAAATTGTAATCTTGTTTTGCAGTAATCAATAAATTATGTTAAAAAAGCTCAATATAGCGATATTAAACCCAACAAAAAACTCCAAAGATTTATTCGAACGGAAAAATCTCAAAATCTGGCTGCTGATCAGTGGACCTAGGCTGGAGGTGGTGGAGGGGCGTCCTCACCAACCGCGACATCTTCATAATTCTGGTCTCCTCCGTCAGCCGTCTTCTGAAAGAATTCGATCAACAAATCTTCAAATACGCAATAATGCGCAAAATAAAAAAATCATGCAAAAATCTAGACCCTCGTATCCTCAACACACCGCAAAAACGATTTCTGTCATCCGCAGGATTCGAACCTGCGCCCTCCGAAGAGGACTGCGACCTGAACGCAGCGCCTTAGACCACTCGGCCAGAATGACACACTCTCTTCTTTCCGAATTTTCGGTGGTTAGCTAATAGAGTCGGGTAAAAAGGCTGGAATCGCGCTTTCAAAAGGGGGATAAAAAAGGAAAGAGAGCGAACGGAGCAATAAAAATGCTTTTTTAGGGTAGCTATCTCTATTTCTCGGGTCTCAAACTATGTAATATTTTCTATAAATAAATTATTAATGTCATCGCCTAGTGTAATATATCAAAACCCGTTCTACCTTTTCCTCAGTGTCCTTCTTTTCCTCTTTCTTAGATTTTTCCTTCTTCTCTTCCTTCTTTTCCGGAGGCTTGGCGTCCTTCTTTGATCCTTCTTTCTTAATCTGGGCCATGGCGGCAGCGGCAGCGGCAACGGGGCCGGGACCAGCTGCAGCTGCTGGAGCCGCCGGAGCCGCGGGAGCGGCCGGAGCTGCCGGAGCCGCCGGAGCTGCCGCAGCAGCCTGAGCACCGGCTGAAAAGTGGCACAATACAAATCGTTTCACGTTGTGCCTTTCCAGACATTACACTAGTCATCTTACCAATGACAAGCTCTCAAATGACCCCCTTTACCTTGTTGAGCCAACTTACAAGGCCAGCCAAACCCCAAAAACCTTACAAGGGAAGTCACTTAAGTCACGGATCGATTTTGTAAAAAGACTGTTACAGCGATGGGGAGGGTAAGACGGAGATATCAAATCTGAAAACCGCTACCTCCACCGGCCTCCGGGAGCCGAGATAATCGACCAAGAAGGTTTGACCAAAAAAAGTTGCTCCGAACAGTCCTCTCTTCCGAAAGAAGGAGGGAAGAGAACCAAATGGTCCGGTGGTCTGGAAGCGCGCTTCCGGGCCTTGTCCTTTTCAGGTTCGAATCCGCATGGGTCAAATAATTTATTAAAACTTTTCCTGTAATCCAGTAAATTTACCGGTAAAATAAAATTTTTGATTTTTTGCATATTTTAAAAATTTCAGAGTAATAATTTGAATGCGAGCTCCGATTTGAATTTTCAAGGTTGAAAATTTACCATAAAATATGCATAAAATGTAAAAATAAGTTGCTAGTAAATTTACTGGATCACAGCAACTGTTTTATAAATTCTTCACAAGTTCGAGACCCGCGCGGATTCGAACCTGAAAAGGTGAAGGCCCGGAAGCGCGCTTCCAGACCACCGGACCATTCGGTTCGCTGGGTTTTCTTCTTTCGGAAGGAAGAAATGTTCGGAGGAATTTTGTCAAACTTTTTGGTCGATTATCTCGGCTCCCAGAGGCCGGTGGAGGTAGCGGTTTTCAGATTTGATATCTCCGTCCTACCCTCCCCATCGCTGTATCAGTCGTTTTACAAAATCGATCCGTGATTTAAGTGACTTCCCTTGTTAGCCCAAAACAATTTGCAAAAATAAAAAAGATTGTCAACTCACGTTGAGCAGAAGAAGGAGGTGCTGTTGGGGAATTCACCTGGGAAGCGCCGGCGGCAGGACTTTTTTTCTTGCCACATCCCGAGGCAGCGAATGACACGAGAGCGCAAACGCTCAGGAAGAACTGGGCATATGCCAACAGCAACAATTGCTGAAATTATATAATCATTAATGCAGGCAGAAGACAGTAAATTGGATGTCCTAGAGTGGGCGATCGAGCTAATCTCACAAAAAAAGCATTGGTTTGAAGCCTGTAAAAAGGAGAATGTCTGAGGCGCCTTTCCCACTATTATAGCTAAGAGCCAGAGCCAAAATTTTGGCGGTGGCAATATCTGCTAAAGATCAATAACCATCAACCTCCCTTGAGATCTGATCCCCAAGGAAATTTATCAATTTTGAATGCTAAATAACTCCAAACGACACTTCGAAGCTGCCCTGTGCACGTGTTCTTTGCCTCTGAACTAGTCATCTTCATTTCACTCCCAATTCAACTCACCTCCATCACGGTATTGATCGTGCTGTTTTCCTTCAGGCACTCAGCTGATCCGTGTTCTTGGGAGCCGATAGCGACCGCACAGGACCAAACCAAATAGTGAAAATAACCGCTCGCTCAGCCGAGACTCGGAACAAGTAAGAAACGACCGTTTCGCAGACGTCCAAGGCAATTTGAATAGCCGCTACGCGTTGTGGGCCACTCATTTTGACGATTGCACTTTGCATAAAGTTTTGCGAAAATTTCATGGGATTCATGTAATTTTCTTTGTCTAATCTTTCATTTTTTGCCTCTCAACTTTGATAGAATCCATTGGCAAAAAACGTATAATTTTGCATCCGGGAAGTGCCAAAAATGTGGCAAAATGCCTCCCAACACAATAGAAAATTCTCCGTTTTGAAATGAGCGCTTTCCGTCACAAAAAGCGCTTTTGAAATCGGAGTTTTTTCGCTTGGAAAGGGAGGTATTTTGCTGCATTTTTGATACTTCCCGGATGCAAAATGAAACGTTTTTTGCCACTGGATGAGGTCCATTGTATGCTTACAAGGCTGGGAGATCCAATCTTTCTAACTGCATGAATTTATTTCTCATTCAACAATCAATGTTTGCCATATTTTTCGTTTTGAATGGATAAGAATCCCCCGTTCTTTTTCACGTTCTGCAAGATTGGAGTTTTCTCGGAGTAGGTGGCGTTGTACAGATGCTGCTTCTTTGTCTTAAAGTCCAAACAAATTCCATTATCGACCAGCAATGGAACTCCCAAATATAAGGTATCATTGCCTTCTAATGCTTCAACCAATAACTCGCATCTTTTGCATCTCATTTGATGAATCAAAGCGTCCGGCCGGACTTTTAGTTTGATCATGTTCAGCTCAATTTCCAGGTTCAGTTTGGTCTTGCAGTCCACAATGTATTTCCGCGCGGTGCTGTTGTACTTGGCGCCGGTCTGTTGAACAATCTGGTCGATGTATTCGGCTGGCAGTTGAAGCTTTGGATTAGCAGTGTCAATGTAAGCCAAGGCAATATCATTGACCTTTTGTCTCTTGCCACCGATTTTTAGAGAGGTCAAATCAAAATGCCAAGTGTTGTATTCGGGGTTTCCTTGATACGTTCCAAGTACACGATCTTTAGGGACTTGAACATTGATTCCGACGGCGGTTTCTTTGGTTCTGAGGATGACAAGTATTTTTGTAAATGCTCAAGGTGCTGAGTTTTGAAAATTCGGCGTTGTGACGGATGTTAGATCCCGTACCAACAGTTAACTTTTGGGTCAACTCTATGTCGAGAAAGAAGTGCTACCAAAAATCCAATTTTTCCGCCGCCCACTGGGGCAAAAAGTCTTTCAGCGACGAAACCGCAATGCCTTTCCGGTGATAAAAAAAAGCCTTACATCTTTAAATCCGGCAAAAGATCAAATATACAGCTTTGTAGAGGAGAAAAAGATGTATCAAATAAATGTATCCCCTTTGCCAAACACTAAATAATTCTTGTAAAACAAAGGAATGAAGAAAACGAACGAACTTTCTGGACAACCCAGTATACATTTCTTTTTTCTGCGAGCTTCCTGGTAAAGTCAAAAACTCGGCTTACCCTTTCTTGTCATCCACAGAAATATGCAAGCAGACGATCTTCGAGCCCTTGTTATTTGAATTCAACGTGTTCTCCAATATAGTCTTGTGCTCTGGCGGATCAGTATTGTATATCGAGGTCTGGGCAAAAGCCAATCTTCCGGCTCTCCACTTCTCCTCGTAATTCTTTGTCGGCGTCGCATTATTATAAGTTCTGATCCAAGTAGTCACTCCGAACGTCGCCTTAATGTCTAAATTGGGGATTAAGGCCACCGTATCTCGAGCGTAATATCCAAATGCGTCGCAGAAATTGTCTTCAATCTTGTAGGTTCCTTGGAATGCGTAGGAAGTGTTGTAAAATCCCTTGGACTTTGATTGGTCATAAGTGTTTTCAAGGCCAGCAGACTTCCTAAATTCCTTGGCTGAAAGAACAAAGTCGATATCTCTGAAGGAGTCTACGATAAAAGTCCGAGACGCTCCCAAGTTTGAGAAGGTCAAGTTGACGGTAAATTCATTGAGAGAGCCAAGGACTTGAGCGGCCTGAAGAAGGAGCAGAAAAACGTTGAAGATCATCGTTGACTGTCTGAAAGATGACTTTCTTTAAATACTGTTACAATCGTCATCACCACACCTTCCTAAGCTATCATCAAACCCTTTTTCTAGGCCGCTTATGAAAGATTAGAAAAGCAAAAGTTTAATTTTTTACAAAACCCCGAAAGGGATACGTGACTTTTTCCAGTATGATCCAAATGACCCGATCAATGTCTTATATAGCTTGCAAAGTCTCAAAATACATCTATATCATACAAAATACAGAATGACAAATCTTCATCGCCCACTAATTCATCAAACTAAACCACAATGTTGAGATCAAATCTTTGATTTGAATAGCCGTTCATTGCGTAAAGTTCATCTGGCCATGGGGCACTCTGAGAGATAAAAATGGATGCCAGATGAACAAACATGTTCTGTTACACTACATCTGAACTTGTCATCATTTTTTGAAGCGTTGTGATCTTTGGAACTAGACAAAAGAATACGTGAGAATTGAGGAGTGTTTTTTGAGATATTGATTTTGTGAGTATAATTTTAAAATAGACAGCTTGTGTCATCCAAAGATGGAGCAATTGTTATCAAAGTATGTAATATTATGATTTAACAGCGTGTCTAGGTAAATGTAAAACTGCTTTGCTCCCGGTTTTTTCAACATTCCAACGAAATTTGCTTTTTGACAACAAACTACTATAACTTTGAAAGCGATGGGCGAATTTAATAGACCCGCTTACTTATCAGTACCGGGGAGTTGTCAGTGTAAAATTTCTAACACACTACGTACAAAAAAAGCGGTTTATTGATTTGAATTACAAAGGCATATACAAAACACTAGATGCCAAATGATTGCCTTAAGTTTAGGGCATTTGGTTAAATTCAATCGATTGACGTAAATAATTCCGACCACAGTTTCCGTGCCGAGAGTAAAGGGAGCTATGATGCCATTCGTCACAAAAGTAAATTTGTCGTGGCAGGATGCAGGGCGATAACTTTACCTTTAGCGGTGCATCGTTTGTACCTTATAGAGGGGAGAGACAAGTTAGTCAGGAGGGCTGGAGGGAGGACCGGGGAATTTCCACAGCCCAAAAAATCCATATTGGTTCTGATATGTTTATTGAAGATTCAGGCAAATCTTATAATTCAGGCGAATCTTATGATTCAGGCGAATCTCTTGCACCAAATCGGCAAGGCATCTTACGTGGTTTGGGCATTCCCTCGCCAAATGGGCTTGGAAACACCTAAACAGAGTCCTGGACTCTGTACTCTGACTCTGCAGAACTTCTTGTAGGGGGTCGAAGCGGATGCAGTTCCAAGAGTAGTGGTGGTTGCTAGCGCAGAACAGACACAATGTAATATCCTATAAATTTATTGATCTGATGCAAAGTAATAATGATGACAACGTAAGAATAATATGGATCGATCACTAAAGAATAATATGGATCGATCACGACCTTCCTCCTCCAGTGTGTCAAAAGAACTTCCTCGCTCCTTCTTCCATTGCCATTTTTATAGTGGAAGGAATTATGATAATTTAATTACTTTTCCATAAATTTATTGTTTCTGGTTTACATCCGTAACCGTGACATTCCCGGCCCAATATATGTCAAACAGGCCGAGTGTGATTAGATAACTTTATTTATCTTGTCTTGTAGATATAATATCGAAGAAGAAATGTAGCAGTTTTTACGATGAGTTTGCTGAAGATTGTCCTTAATCTTGGTTGCTCGTCCTCGGTGAGGCGTGGGCACAGCGACAGATGATGTGGCCTATCTGGACATCTTGGGCATTTTTTACGCATTCTCTCCCCAAATGGGCTTGGAAACACCTAAAACAGAGTCCTGGACTCTGTACTCTGACTCTGCAGAACTTCTTGTAGGGTGTCCTAAATAAGAAACAGAAACCGAAATATATATTATATATATTTATTGATCTAACACAAAGTAAATGACGACAACGTAATAATAGTGAATAATATGGATAGTATTCTGACCGACCTTCCTCCTCTTAGTGTGCCAAATTGAACCGCTCTAACGTGCCAAGTGAACTCCCTAACGTGCCAAGTTAACCTCCGATCCTTCTTCCCTTGCCATTTTATAGTATAAGATATTATGATAATTTAATTGCTTTTCCATAAATTTGTATTGTTTCTGAATCATTTAATGGCCTTTCAGTAAGATGATTACTATTTTTAGTTTAATGATCCTTGTCGCTTAATTATTCAAGGAAATGAAATTCTTCACGATCTTAATCGTGACAAGGGCTTGGAAACACCTAAAACAGAGTCCTGGACTCTGTACTCTGACTCTGCAGAACTTCATGCAGTTCCAGGAGTAATGGTGGTTGCTAGCGCTGAACAGACATTTGGTATATATGTCTTCGGGCATTCCATTATCTTGGATCTGTTGATGGTTTTCTCCTCCGGCTTCGGCTCCTTATGCTTTGGGCATTCCCTTGCCAAATCGGTTACGAAGCACCTAAAGCAGAGCCCGAGAATCTGGACTCTGCAGAACTTCTGATAGGGGGTTTCGTACCGGAAGCAATCCCAGGAGTAGTGGTGACGGCTAGCGCAGAAGAGGCATTTGGTATGGATATCTTTGGGCTAGAAGACGTTGTTAGTGATACTATCCTTACCTTTCCATTGACTTGTTGGTGGTCTCCGGCGTCGGCTGACATGATGGCTGGTGGGTGGTGACGATAAGTTGGATGATGAGGCTTGATGGATGTCGAAGTATTTACAGTAAACTTTTGGATAGATTGGGGGCGGAGTGTCTTCTTGATTATCATAAGAATTTAATATATCCTTGATGATGGTGTACATTTTTACATAACTTTTTAATCTTGAAGGTAATTACGTTTTTGAATGTAATTTACTAATCGTGACAATTGTATGTCCAGCGAGTGGTGTACTATGGCTATCCGGTATTTGCGAGAAGGTCGTCTAACTTTCTCAACAATAGAGTCGTTTTCCCAGACCCCATGGGACCAGTGATGGCTTCGATTGAGCCTTCAGGAGTCGTACTGTCAGATGATGTTTCCTGAACACCTGTGATTGTTACGGCACGTTTCGTTAGGATGCAAGGATAAACAATTACGGCATGTTCTAGTTGTAATTTTTGACGATCTAAGTCCAGCCGGGTTTTCTTGGCTTCACAGAATTCTCCAATTCGTTCACGGAGGTGATCAACAGCTTGACGCCCTTCGTCAGCTGTTTGTCAGAAGTCTCCGTAATCTTCAATGTATTTTTTGAAGACGGCCCGTTCCTCTGTCACTGATTCAATGATGCTCTTCCATTGAGCATTTAATTCGTCTGTCCTATGCACGTTTTTAGAGAGCTTTCGGAAGACCTCATGAGCGTCTTCAAACGTGTTTTACAGCTTGTCATCATCGACGCTTTCCGGATTGATATCGATTTCATCACGGACCGTGTTGTAGGCCCCAAGCGCGTTCTGCAAACGACGCTTCGCCAGACCTATAGCTTGGCGGGTCTGGCCGGTGGGAGAGTTCATCTTAGGGGTTGTTTGGGAGGGATCAAAAGCATACGGGGCTATCCAGGATGTTGGGAGAGGATCTCCGATGAGACCTTTATCACGTCGGGGTCACCAGTAAATTTATCATGGCAGGAAGCCGGGCGACAAATTTACCTTAAAGAAGTACACCGTTTGTAATACTTTAGAGGGGAGAAGGGGATATATAATACAAGGTAGTATATAGGAGGGCAGAAAGGAGGACCGGAGAATTTCCACAACCCAAAAAATCCGTATTGGTTCTGATATGTCTATTGAAGATTCAAGCAAATCTGATATAGTGGAAAAAACTCATAAAGATTACGCATAAAACTCATGAATTGTTCAAATACCATATACGTATTTGATCCATAAAATTATTACGGCAATTTGCATTTGAGCTTAGCGGAACGGGGTAAGGGGGTTGACAGTTTTCCGGACGGCCTACTGAGTAAGGGGGACCCTGCAGAAGGGCAGGTTGTAGGCCCGGGAGGGATGTGCGGGCTGTTGATCATGCCTTACGCCCAATCGGCAAGGCATCTTGCGTGGAATTTGTGACCACAGACAGTGGTCACCATATCCATTGCGTTCCAGGTGGGGCATTGTCCTATGCTTTAGCTTTGTTCTGAGATTGGTTTGGCATAGAGATGCCAGAAGTTGCATCCTTGCGAACATAGGAAGCATCCGCAGGCGGCACAGCCACACTCTTGGACGATCTCTGGTAAGGCCATCAATTGCTCCAAGGGGATCGAGTTTTCAAATCGATTGACTTTACGAATTCTCCGATAGCATTGAATGCTGTACACGCTCAGCACCAAGATATGCAGGGAAACTCGGATCCCCCAACCCACCATCGTATTACGGTCAACAGTCGACTCAAACAAGGTACTAAAAACAGTAAAAAAAAAAACGGGCTAGCAGAGGAGCTTGACGCTCAGTAGACTCCAGGCGGACACCTCGGAGGATCGATCTCGTTGAAAGGAACGGCGGGCTGATATAGGGCCTGAATGTTTTGTAGTCGACCATTTGCGAAGTTGAATCTTATTATGCTGATGGGTTTTACCAGTGATTTCGCCATGATTTCATCAGGGCATGCATAATGCCCTCATTTGCATCCGGATGAGTGACAAGAAAATGTGAAGAGTAATGGGTTCCCATAGATTGAGTAATCGAAGGTTTAGTCACCATATTTCCTCATCTCTTCGAGTCGGGAGCGCCGGTTTTCTCTTCTCGGTGCTCTGCATAATTTAGCCCCAGGAAATCGGGAGCGGCTGGGATTCGTTCTCCACGAATCATACAGTAGTGACTGCGTTCCAGGTGGGGCAATGTCATATGCTGTACCTATGTTCTGAAATTGGTTTGGCATAGAGACGCCAAAAGTTGCATCCTTGCGAACATATTACGGCACATCCGCACGCAGCGCAGCCACACGCTTCGACGATCTCTGGTAGGGCCATCAACTGCTCTAAGGGGATAGGGTTTTCAAGTCGCTTGATTTACGAATTCTTCATGCGACATCCCCGATATACTGATTGGCTTCTTCCAGTAACACGTCGATCTGGGGAGCAACCTGATCGTCTCCGCGTCTGTATCTGGCGGCGGTTCGATTTTGCAAAGCGAACCACCGCGATTATTGTTTATGTTATTTATTAGACCTCAAACTTGGGTTAATCAGCAAGATAGTATTGTGGACCATGATTGGTTTCCAAATGATTCTGGGCAGAGATTGCCACGGCTCCGGCTCTGAGCGGCTCCGGCTCCCGAGCCCAAAGCCGGAGCCAGGCTTCTCAGCGTTCCGAAAAATAAAAATTTCATGATCTTTTTAAACCAAATTGCCTGAAAAATACTGCGGAGGACGTAATGCGTACGACTTACAGGGGCCCCTGTAAGTCGTACGCCTAGGGGAAGTACCAGAAGTGCGACGCTCAGATTTTCTTTAAATTTTGCACACACGTCGGGCATCAACTCAATATCAATTCCTGAAAGTTTTTGCTCGCGCTTTGCAAGCGCCACCGAGATAAAGAACCATTTTTTTCCGCGGAGAGAGTATGCCTAACGCGGAGAGCGGTCAGAGAGAAAACGCTTTTTGGCAATAACTTTGGATTTTTGTGCGGAAAAAATGATTTTTTTGCGGAAAAATTATCCTTTACGGTTGAAATAGGCATGAAACTTTGGACAAATTTCCTTTTTCTGGCCGCGCGCTTCGCAGCTCGCGCCCTGGTTTCCCTGCAGACTGCGAATAGAAACAGGAAACAGCCTAAGCCTGAGGCTAAGCCTAAGCCTGATATTCCCTGCAACCGGAATTGTTCGGGCGCAAGCTGCGAAGCGTGGGGCCAGAAAAAGGAATTTTACCGAAACTTTTCGTGCCGAAATTCGGCAAAAAGTCCTAAATTTTCGCCGACTTACGCCGCGTCCCGACATTTCGGGTCAGGGACAACTCGGGTCGCGACAATTCGGGTCAACGAGAACTCGGGTCAACGACACTTCGGGTCAACGACACCTCGGGTCAACGACATTTCGGGTCAACGATGCATGCCGTTTAATATTTTCGCTTCGGGACTGGGGAAAAAGAATTTTTCGGTGAATTTGAGAAAATTTTGAAATGTTTTCGCTTCGGGACTTGGAAAAAAGAATTTTTTGGTAAATTTGAAAATTTTTCGAAATGTTTTCGCTTCGGGACTTGGAAAAAAGAATTTTTTGGTAAATTTGAAAATTTTTCGAAATGTTTTCGCTTCGGGACTTGGAAAAAAGAATTTTTTGGAGGGTTTGAGCAAATTTTTGAAATGTTTTCGCTTCGGGACGTGGGAAAAGGATTTTTTGTTCTGAATGTTACAATTTTATTTTTCATAAGGTACGAATGTTATTTCTTTAATTTTTTAGATAAATAGTTATTTTAGGGGTAATTGAGGTTTATTTTAAAATTTTTTTGGGAAAATGGTGTTTATAAGCGACGAGCAAATAAAAAATCGTTATGTGCATACAATCATTACGACTATTTTCTTACTCCACTCTCTGGCACTGTCTGCGTTTAAATCCCGTGCTTCCAGTTAAAAACATAGACAATGGATACGATTTTCTTATTTGCTCGTCGCTTATACACTATTTCCCTAAAAAATAAAAAAAATAAACCTCAATTCTCCAGAAATTAGGGGGTCGTTGACCCGAAGTGTCGTTGACCCGAGTTGTCGTTGACCCGAATTGTCGCGACCCGAGTTGTCCCTGACCCGAAATGTCGTAGCGCCACTTACGCTATCTAAAAATCTCGGTTGTTTCTGCAAAGCACGAGCTAGGATTCTCGCATATATCTTAGAAAAAATTGTTCTAACTAAGTTTTCGCCAAGTTTCATCAAAATCTGAGCGTCGCACTTGGAATACTTCCCCTGTTAGCTGCAAAAACGGTGGCTGTATGATCTCTGGCACTAATAACTTTTATTTTTAGAAAAATATTTTAAAAAAAGTTTTTTGCACAGGAGCCGGGATTCGGAGCCGGAGACCTTTTTAAATTTTGCACGGAAACCGGAAGCCAGAGCCTGACCCGGAGTTGCAAATTTGGCCTGGGCTCCTGTTCTGGGAGGGAGCTAAGAGCCGGAGCCGGAGCCGAAACTTTGACCGTGGCAATCTCTGGTTTTGGGTTTGATGAAGTAAGTTTTTTCTTGATGCATAGCCGGGGATTATAAGAGGTGATGAGGTAGCATTAAGCATTATATCATACATTAAGAAACAATCAGACCCAGTGGGATTCAGTGTTTACTATTATTATATTATATACATTTCAGTGTTTACTATTATTATATTATATACATAAAGCTATATACGCAAACATGAATATATAAAAACATTTCTCTAATATATATGACTATATTAAAGCTATATACGTAAATATGAATATATAAAAACATTTCTCCAATATATACGACTATATCACATGTTGCAGTGTAATTACCGTAATATATATTATTATATTATATGTATTATATGCATGGAATATGGCGCAGAAATTGCGCCATAAAAACCACAGATCAAAAAAAATCAAAATACTTTTAAAATTGCATTTAAATAATTTTAACATGATGACAATAAAGATGAAGATAATGACGTGAAGACCATGATCTTCATAAAATTTGCTAAAAATAAAAAGATATGCCCACTAGATGCAACCTCTTAGAAAAGATGGGCGAACTCCAAAGCTATCGCTCGCCTTGTTTGCGTATGTTTAATGGCGGTGAACGTAATGGATTTTAATGGCAAGGCGAGACAGTTTTCTCTCTCGTTCCCAGCTATTGATCAGCCATTTTATGGACGAGAAGACATTATTTTGCATTTTTGTCGCTAATTTCCATATTGCGTCATTTTCTGATTCAGGCTTGCAATGACTTCAGACTGCCCATTTTCGATCAAAAATTCTTAAAAAGTACTCTCCAATTTTTAACCATACAACATCCACAGAAAGTAAAAGCAAGATTTATTATTATTATTATTATGACAATTAGCTTGTGAATTCCCTATTACATTGACATTATATTACACACAATATGCTAAATTGCAAATTGAGATCAAAGACAAAATTTTCAAACAAAAAAGTAAAAGTTTTTCGAAGCGATTTGAAGGCACTTGAGACGGCGCTACGACATTTCGGGTCAGGGACAACTCGGGTCAACGACATTTCGGGTCAACGATGCCGTTTAATATTTTCGCTTCGGGACTGGGAAAAAAGAACTTTTTGGTGAATTTGAAAAATTTTTGAAATGTTTTCGCTTCGGAACTTGGAAAAAAGAATTTTTTTGAGAGTTTGAACAAATTTTTGAAATGTTTTCGCTTCGGGACTGGGGAAAAAGAATTTTTTTGGAGAATTGAGGTTTATTTTTTTAATTTTTTAGGGAAATAGTGTATAAGCGACGAGCAAATAAGAAAATCGTATCCATTGTCTATGTTTTTAACTGGAAGCACGGGATTTAAACGCAGACAGTGCCAGAGAGTGGCGTAAGAAGATAGTCGTAAGTATGCACATAACGATTTTTTTATTTGCTCGTCGCTTATAAACACCATTTTCCCAAAAAAAATTTAAAATAAACCTCAATTACCCCTAAAATAAATATTTATCTAAAAAATTAAAGAAATAACATTCGTACCTTATGAAAAATAAAATTGTAACATTCAGAACAAAAAAATCCTTTTCCCACGTCCCGAAGCGAAAATATTAAACGGCATCGTTGACCCGAAATGTCGTTGACCCGAGTTGTCGTTGACCCGAGTTGTCGCGACCCGAGTTGTCCCTGACCCGAAATGTCGGGACGCGCTTGAGACCATTTTGTAACGTGGTATTGGCTTTACGACTTGCAACTTGTAGAATTTTCGCAACAGGAGTAGATTAGAAAGGATCTTCAAACATTTCCTCGGTCCCTCGTTCATTTGGATGCGTGTTCTCTTGTTCGCTTTGTTTTTCCTGCAAAAAATCGGTGAATAAAATTGTAAAAAATGGAAAAAAGAGTTGAAGTTATTGATTTCGATATATGGGATAAAACAAAAAAAGAATGCCACGAGCCGGGATCGAACCGGCGACCTTTAGATCTTCAGTCTAACGTTCTCCCAACTGAGCTATCATGGCACGCTCTCGAGTTTTTAGGAACTGGCTTTGGAAATACAGTTCTAATTTTGTAGATAACAGAGAATAAAAACGGGAAAGGTAAATTCGAAAAATACTCAAGAATTAGCTTTTTTTGGTAAAAATTTCGAAAGCCGGAATTTTTTTCGATATTTTGAAAAATCCAAAAAATTTAACTTACACTCGCCAGCTGTTTCCTTTTATGTTCAGCCGCTTCCACATGTTGATGAGGTGCCAAGGTCTTTTGATTATCAGCATTTAGCCCTTTTTGCCGCTCAATTTCGAAGGCTTCGGTTAATTGGCCAGTTACGACTATGAAAAATCGTTTCCAAACTTCTTGGACCTGTTGAGGCGTATAACTCTGGGCAAATCGGACTTTTTTCTTGTCTTCTGGTTCATTATTTGTTGGATCGGGCTGAAATTTACGACAATAATTTTTGGTTTAATCTTCTTTTTTTCAACTCTTCAAATGAAAAATTTTATTTTTTTCTAAATTCAAAAAATTTCAAAACCGAATTCTCACCTTGTCCCCTGTCAGATAAGGGATAAATTCGTTGACAAATGCGTCGCAAATTATTTGAAAATAATTGTTTCCCATTTGATCTTGATTTTGCATCAAAAACGGGACTTTTGTATGTAATCGTCCAGTTTTTCGGGCCAATTGCCATGCTCCAATAATATTCTCCGTGAATCCTAACATTGAAGTCATTTGCTCGAGAAAATCGGTCATCCGAGCAACGTGGCCTCCAAGTTTGGGCATCTTGATCATGTTGACTTTTGGAACTCGGTCAGCGCCAAAGACCTGGAAAAGAGAAGGTAAAAAAGGTGATTTACTAAAAATAATAGGTCAGACTTCCGTAAGATTTTGTGAACATAATCTTTTTATCTTGCCAGAGGTGTTGCTTTGATATTCAACGATCTTTGTAGGAAAAACAAATAAGTGTGGTCAGACCTGTGTAGAACGGATCTTTTGGAACAAAAAAAATCGTTCGTTATAGGAGGGCTGCGTATTATGGAAGGGTTATTTTGTAGTCAAGTTGACTGTTTAGGCCTCAGAAATCTTTTGTTATAGACAGGTGTTGTTTCTCAGAGGTTCTTGTGTAAAATGGATCAAAAAACGTTCGGGCCATAAATTTTTTGAATTTTTGATTGCAAAGCAAACTAGAAGTCTCAGCTGTCTCTACAAAGCGCGGTTGAAAAATTTACAATGTTTGTCTACAACAAACACCTTACCAATTTTTCCTGCGAGTAAATTGAACTTACTTTCTTCATCTCCGGCACTTGATCCATAATCAAATCCACAAATATTAGCCCAACAATTTCTTTCGCGTCATTTAGCCGTTGATATGTTTCCCTCAAACAAACACGCTCCTTTTTCGTGAAATTCGTCTCGAATGGATTCTCATTTTCGCTGGCGATCCAACTCGAGGTCGTTATCCTTTTCTTCGGCCGGGGTTTGCACAAGGACGCGCCCATTTTGTACTGTGCGTTGAGGAAGCCAAGAGACTTTTTGCTACCGTATTTTAGAAAAAAATGAGGCAATTGAGTATTGATTGGAGCCTGTTGTTGTATCAGGCTTCAGTTTTTTTTGTGTAGCTTATTAATTTTTTAGATTAGTCCTATAGCGACATTGTGTCCTGTCCGTTCAGTAATATGCGTTGAAGGGGCTTTATATAAATGTCTGAAAACAGAGCAAATAGAAAATCTTAACTAGGGTAAAAGGCGTTTCCTAGGCAATCTCACGGCGAAAAAAATAATCAAGTGTCATCATCATGCATACATATTACACATGAGATATCAAAAATTAGTCAAAATATGTAAACCTCAAGATAATACATATAGTGTGAATGTACAAAAAAAGTTCAAACAATTGAGCACGTCCATATTAAAAAGAAAAATTCGGAAGCCCCAACAGTCCATTTTGTAAACCAAAATGAGGTTCCGTTCAACAAAACCCCTCTATAACAAATTTATCCTAAGGTAATTTGCATTCTATGACATAGGCCTGACTGTATGTATATAAAAGTCAGCAAAATGATCTCTGTTAGCTTGTATAAAAAGCACATTGTATCAACAACATGACAGTCATTTAAATACCCTAAAATAGAACCTGCGCAACTTTGAGGGTAAATATAGACTTTACGGCAGCCGATATACATCACGGAGACATGCAAAGGTCCTTCAGTATGGAAGAACGCAAAAGATTACAATCGAACCTTCAAAACTCAAACTTCTAGAATCTAAACCTGAAAGTTCATGCGGAACTTGACTCTAGTTTAAACCCCGACATATATTTTTTCTAGACGTCAAAAATGTAACAGAAAACAAATTGTACAAACAAAATTTGTCCGAAAAATTTGTGGCTTTCTAAGCAAAGACGTAGTCAACCAACCAAAAAAATGAAATGTATCTCAGAATTGGAATTGAATTTACAATTAATTATGTATAAGTGAAGTTGACACTCATAGCCAATGAACTTGAAGCCTGTTGCAATCGCGGCCAAGAGTGATTTAGGGCAATTACCAATAATTTTTTTGGACGCATCGCTATGATTTATATAAAATTTGACAAGATATATTTCAGACTGTACCAATTTCGTGGCCCGATTTTAATTGGCTATAACTTCTTTGATTTTGGGCCAAATTTTAAAATTCTTTTTTTTTCCCTGAATCCTGAATATGTTCAACTTACCTTTGTACATCATATTTGTATTAAACAAAATGGGGATGTCTGAGGCTTTAGAAAAAAAAAAGAATTTTAAAATTTGGCCCAAAATCAACGAAGTTATAGCCAATTAAAATCGGGCCATGAAATTGGTACACCCTGTATTATATTAGCAATATATAGCATTCTAAAACCCTAAACTGTGGCAAGCCCTTCAACTTCAACCCTAAACTCTCCGCTTGCTACAAAAAACAAAGCTACTCTCTACAAATTCAAGACGGAATAACTCCACCATTCTGGCTGCTGTCAAAAACATGTAACCGAGAGAAAACACGGCTCGGCAAAAGCGTAATTTTCGCAGGCAATATGACATTAGGACTTGTGGAAAGTTCAGGTGATTTCGTCAAATGATGTAAACAAGAGTCCAAGAAATGTAGCGTGGCAGGAAGAAATTAGGAGCTCAACATGTCCGTATATACATAACAAGGAATATGTATGTGGTCATAGAACCCTGTACTTTTTTCGCAATTCTGTAGTATTTCAAAAACTAGCACTATAAGCCCTAGTAATCATAAAATATAGCCAACCATTCTCCGCCATTAACACTAGACATCACTCAATCTAAATAACACCATGTTCCGCCTTGTTAGGGCAATTGTCTACAATATAATATACAATCGCTTCTACCAATTTACAATTTTTTTGTACATTTTCTCACAACATGGTATATGCAAAAACAAAAACGGCAACGAAAGAAAGGCATTTCAAACGACTTTCTACAAAATTTACGATGACTTTTGCGAAGAACAATGCAGACAGTTTAAAGTAAAACGTACCCAAACATCTGTAGACAAAAGGAAAATGTAGCCGTATAGCAAAAGTTTGTAAAGTATTGTCTGTAATGTCAGTTAATGAAACCAATTGTAAAGTTGAAAACGTTTTTGGTTTTGCAATTGTAAAACGGAGATTTTAGACCGTGCAAACCTTTCGTTGAGCGTTCAAAAACTTTGCGTGTGGAGAAAAAAGGATGCGGAAATCAAAATCGGCGTAAATGCCGGAGTTCTTGCCGGGAGCGGTAACGTCTAAAAAAGCGACGTCCAGAAAATTCTTTCATTTCGATAGTGAATATAGTTCTGTCAATTTCAGACCTTGAAGACTGACATGGCTTCTCCAAAAGGGTGGTAAAAGTATGGTCGTTTCTTTAGCACCGAAAAACGGAGCTTCGTAGCACCGAAAAATCTTGTACATGTCTTAAAAATATATGCAGTAATCATGGTATAGTCATTCGGCAAATTTGATGGGGTAATTTCGGGAACATGCACTGTGCAAAACATGTCAAACCGACGACACAAAAAAAGCTTATTTCACGGTGCAAAAAGTAACAATTTGCACAGTGCAAGGTGAAATTTTGTTTTCGAACAGTGCATGTCACCGAAATCATTCTAGCGACTTAACAGACAGACTAATATTATAACAAGTCATATGGAACCAAATAATTTATTCGTAAAGAACTCTTATATAGAGGTTTACTGCCGGATGAAATTGAACTCTGACAATTTGTGAGGGTTTTAAAATGATGAGTTATAAACATGTTTTTTGTTTGGGAAATTGCTATGCACATGTTCAGCTACCATCAAAATTTATCGCAAGTTCCCCACAAAACTTTGCCACGATCTACGAACACTAACCTATAAAGGCACTATAGCCTCCGCAGCCACATTGTCTCCTCACCTACAATTCTTACCGCCTTCCCTTTGCGAGCCTATGCCTCACTAACCTTCGGCTTGACAGCCCTTCTCTTTTTCATTATATGTAGTCATTTAAAGGCCGACAGAGGCAGAAAAAGAAACTTCATTAAATCTATCGGTTAGCCCAAGAATCCCCCTTCTTTCTCCACCCATTATTCCAGACCAGTCCCGGGGCCAAATTGCCCGTTAGTAAACAACAAACCGGTAATTATAAAATACCAAGCCCGGGCACACACTCCCAACCAGCACTTTATTATTGAGCGTAGAGAATGGAGAAAAGAGTTACTGCGAAAAGGGAAATGGTGTAATGTTGAATATTCAATAAAGTTTTTTATGGAAAAAGTAAAGGTAAAGGGCTGCTAATGAACGTAGAAAGGGAATATGAGGAAAAGGAAACAGTTTGAAGAAGGAGATGATCCACGAACAGGCCTGTTATGGATACTTGGAAAGGATGAGTTTTTTTGCGTCTGAATCAGAAGCATGTGTATTCTACACATGCTTCTGCAAGTTCAATTTACAAGGGAAGTACCCCATGCGCGACGCTCCGATTTTCTTTAAATTTTGAACACACGTCCGCCATGAACTACAGGGTGGGCCACTCGAAACTGACAAGTTGTTTCTTTGAATTTCTCGGCGGAGACTCCGCCGAATTTTCTGAAATTTAGGTGTTTCTGAAGCTGAGACCCGCCATTTTCAACCGACTGAATTTCAAAAATATATATTTTGAATTGACCTCTCCATGCCTTCTCAAAGTTTTGAAACATTATTTTCAGGCCGAAACCGCTAAAACTTACAGGGGAAGTAATTCAAGTGCGACGCTCAGATTTTGATAAAATTTGGCAAAAATTTAGAATGTTTTTTTCTAGAATATATGCGAGAATCCTAGCTTGCGCTCTGCAGAAAAAAATCAAGATTTTTAGATCGAAAACTCGCGAAATTTTAAGACTTTTTGCCGAATTTCGGTTTCTTACCTATTTCTACCATAAAGGGTAATGTTTATACAAAAAATCAATGTTTTCCGCAAGAAACTGGCAAAGTTATAGCCAAAAAAACACTTTTCTCTATGACCGCTTTCCGCGTTTTGTGTACTCTCTCGGCGTCAAAGATGGTTCAATATCTGGGTGGCGCTTGCAAAGCGCGAGCTAAAACTTTCAGTAATTGATATGTAGTACATGCCCGACGTGTGTGCAAAATTTAAAGGAAATCTGGGAGTCGCACTTGGGGTACTTCCCTTGTTAGCTTATATCTTCATCACAAAACTGCTTGTAGAAACGACGCAACGAAACTGCAAAAATCCCAAATACTCGCGCAAATTGATCTTTTACTCTCTAGTACAACATGCATACATAATTGTTTGCTTTCCTTACCTCAAACCTTCCCAATCTCACAAGCTCATTATCTCTTTGGCGTCATTTACATACGTGCCGGACAATAATTTTTTTCAGAAACTCGTATAAAATAAAAGGCCATAGGTCGTAAAAAATAATGGATTGGCACGCAATCCCAACAATTTAGATGTGATTCGTGCACAGAAAATAGCGTCATCGCATCGAAATTCAAAAAAATATTACATTTGACGGCGTCTGAGGTAGTAAAATTGGCAATGGCGTTTCATCTAGCCATATACAATATATACTACATCAAATGAAGTTGAAAATAAAAATTGTTTGGGGGATCTCGACCTTGCTGATTATGAAAATCTTATTCATTTTTTCTGATTTCAAAGCAGCGCCATCGAAAACCCCCGTATTCATGAAAGAAATTCAAGAAAATGGCGACTTTACAGTACTACTTAAGGAAAAAAGTAATGATCAAAAAAAATGAATGTCATTTTCGAAATCAGCACCGTCGATTATCCTAATTTCGACACCTGCATCGAAGAAAAATAAAACTTTTTTGTTTCCCCAATCATATTTTTCCCCAATCGTCCCAGTTCCGATTCCTACCTGGATATAGTAAAAAACTTGTACAGCTTTCGCTTTTGCTACCCAAGATACAATTTTATACAGGGTGTTTCAAGAAATTCCCCGGAAAGTAATCGTCGATTTCTCGGCGCTCAGTCAA